TATTAGGTCTTCGATGGCATCCTTCAAAGTCCGACACTCGTTGGTATTGTGCCTGATGTCTCGGTGGTATTAGCAATATTTTTGTTAATCTCTTCTGCCTGGAGCCCCCCTTATTCTTTCTAGAGTGCGTAGTCTCTTCACCTCACGGGAGACTTCATAGATGTGGGCTATGTCTTGTGTGAGGGGGGTGTACTCTGCATACCGCGGGAAGGGCTACTTGTCCCCACGGTTATCTATTTTCTGTCTTTTTAGGACCGGTTTGAGTCTCTATCATTGTGCTCTTGGCCCCTCCGCTTATGTGATGGGTGATCTTGTCATCTGTGTAGGGCTCTTCGTGGTGAGCTTCTAGCTAGGGCTGCTAACGAACTTTTTACTCGCCAGTGCTTTGCAGTTATCTAATAAAACTTTGCTAGGCTCACATGATCTTCACTATGGAGCTCTTTCCACAGCTCTGTGTTCGGCCTAATACCTACAATTAGCAAAATCTGAATTAACTCTTCGAGCACATTCGTAACCTTTGCTTACTCATTTTGGAACCTCGTTAAATACGAGGTCAGTGTTTTGTCTCTCTCCTGATGAATGTTGCTCAAGTAATTGAGCAGCATTACGAACTGTCTCCTCGCTTGAAATTGCTGCAAGTATAGCAAGGAGAATTATTGCCAAGAACTGATGGAGTTTGCTTTAAGTTTTTTATACCACCTCTTGGCATCCCCTACCAATGTGACCACGAAGTAGCGACACTTCACCAAGTCACAGACCTAGTGTAACTCCATCAAGTCATTGAAATTGTCGAAGGGCCTCCAAGGTCTCCTCTCCCATCGAACTTACTTTCTAGCGCCCTGAATCCTTGTGGAGGCAGGGCCTAGTGAACCTCCTTTGTGAAGGGGGAACTCACTATTTCTTTCGTCGCAACAATGTAAGAGGCTCTTAGATCGTCGAGCATTTTCTGCATACGATCCAAGTCTTCGTTGTGATTGCCCTAGCTGGCTCTATTCAACCTTACCTCGAGCAAGTGAGTTCGCAAATCTGTCACTTGTAAACCCCCTCCATTATGTGCATTGATATGCGAAGTTAAGTCATGATAGCTTTGCTGATAGGTGTTATCGTGCTCGTCAATGCGTTGCTCGCAACATCGGTTATAACCGGAATGTCGATCATTGCCAAATTGGCGCACATGACTCGTCTCACGAGCTTGCGAGGATCAAGCTTGTCTTGGGCGTGGGCTAAGACTGACACGCTAACGTTGGGGATATTGCCGAGTAGGTTGGGCAACCATTACCTTTGTTTTCACCCATTGGTTGTTTCCCTGGCCGCCTTCTCAGGTTAGTTTGCCCACGGGATTCACGCTCGTGAGTGGAGTGCACTTTGTGACGTCGGGGGTGACAGTGGCCCCTTGATGTTGATGAGACAGATTGGTCAAGCTAAATTCTGACCCGTCGAGGTGGTATCGGTGAAGTGTGGCTGGTCAAGGTTTTGAGCGGCTGGTTGCTAATTTCTTAGCTCAACCACGTTCTATTGCATTGCCTATGCAACCATGGTTCTGATCATCTCGACCAGTTGGCCAGTTTCGGGGTTGGATGTCCCCGCCCCCTAGTTATTCGTGGCATGCTAAGTTGGCAACATTGGTGGTCGACGCACATCGGCATCCTGTTGCACCTGTTGATGGGTGGTCTCCACATTGTCGTGTTTTCGATCCTGTACGCACCATCATGGGCCTGGATTGGTTAAATCGTTGTGGCAGTTTGTCGGAATTTATGAGATGTTGGCGGAGGCCTTTTTTCTAGTACCAAAATATTGATACAGAAATCTACACTAACTAGAGTGATCCAATCTACCTTGGTGGGATCAGAACTGGTGTATGTGTGATTACAGATAACCAGCAATGAATGAATAATGAATGTAGTAAAGTAAATAGAAAAAAGGATTTTAAAGTGGTTCGGCGAGATGAACTCTTGAGCCTACGTCCATTGTTCTTTGCAATTGTTGTGAGAGCTTACAATAGTAATTCTAGGAATATTTTCCAACCCCTTTCTCATTGTTTAAGGGGGTTTATATACAGAGTTTGTACAAATGAAAGAGCAAAAATAAAGGGATTACAATTAAATTGAAATGCAACTCCGATATTCTCGTGATTAGGCGTTGTGATTGCGCAAATATTGTTGTCAATCTGATCCTTTCCGAGATATCTGGGATCTAAAGTTATCTAGGAATTGGTCGAATGACTACCAGGATTGTTCGCGACTAACTTGTGCTAGGTCAAGCTATAACTCGACGAGCTTATGCAGGTCAGACAATCAATGGAGTTGAGCTAGCACTAGATTGGGCTATAACCTCGCGATACTCCGACCTTCACAGAAGAATCACACACAACAATAAGCAATATTTGTTCAATTATTCCTAGTTTTGCAAACAAACACAATTGCTATCAATTGACAAATTTTTTTCAATTATATCATTTTTTATCAATTTCGCTTATGATGTTTTGGAGATTTATCAAGTTTGTGACAACTTACCTTTTAATTGACAAATTTCTCGACGTTTCAGGAATTTATTAAATTAATGCTTTTATATTCTAAAACATATAAGGACCTTCTAGTTGGGCAATATTTAGTGATTGTCATATTTTATATCGGATAAAGATTGTTTCACAACCCAATTTTATAAACTTTTTCTTACAACCTCAATGTGTCAATTTGCAATTGGTCAACTCGCAATGAGTCTCGCCTGCTTAATAATGGGTCTCGTCTACTCAATTATGAGCTATCACGTCGGGATAGTAAAAAAAAGTATGTGAGATTAGGTTATAAGTGTTGTATTGCCCTTTTATATTTTTTAATGTAAAAGTACCATGATTGAGGAGGGAGAAAATCTATAATACCATGATTTTATGGTATTAACTGTATCAAAAATTAATGCATACACATTATATGGGGTATTAAATTTTATTTTTATCACTCGCATTCAATGTCAAACGAGATAAAAGTATTGGTTTGCAGTATTATTGATGTAATACAGAATTCTTCATTATTTTTTTTTCATGAGGACGATTGAATCGGGAGGTGAGAGAAGATTAACTGATAAGAATAATATAATAACACATTGAGAACAATGTGCAATAATTTTGTTCTAAATAATTGGTTCCTTACATGCACCTTTGCTTGCCTGAATTACATTGAATGTAAATATGTGCGTTAATCTTCGTTTAAATAATTTATCAATCACATGCTAACGGTAATATGGAGGGACGAGAACGGTAGCAGAGTAGCTATTTATTATGACAGAGCAATTGAATGATGCGGTGCGGCTGTGCAGGGCCTCTAAGATTATGAAGAGACTATTTATTATCCGTCCCTATTGAAGAAAAGAACTCCGGCATGATGGTAGTAGAGTAGTCGATCTGATCCCGCGCGTGGGCGGATATAAATGCCTATAGATGAGGTAGGCGAGGGCAGTTCGCCGGCAAAAGGACGTGTATGGTAGTCTTTTGTTTGATGAGAACGGGAAGGGCAATCGATTGCAACCTTTTTGGATTTTTTTGGGTGTTAGTATCAAAATCGGTTTGAAGATGATGCCTTTTCTTCTACAGCTGCTGCTAATCAGTGGGTTAGGTTTCTTTGGTGCAAGCGGAGGTCCATTATCATGACTTTTTAACAGTTGCTCTTATAAGAACTGCCCACAGTTCAGTTAGAACCCGGTTTATTTGCCATTACTTTTTCATTTTTAGGGGTAATTATTGGTGCATTTAGGTTGTATTCTTGAAGATACTATTGGGGGCTAGAAAGATAGATAGTTGCGTTATTAATTATTTAGGACCACTCTATCAAAATTTTGGACTTTTTTTAGTCTTAAGATTTAGAGTTAGTTTACAATTAGTGAAGACAATCTTCTAAAATGGAAGGGAGAAAGGAATATGGCTAAAGGACATTCTCATTTATCCCAAATTGTTTTCTTGAGCATTATGTTGCCTTGCTTTTCAACAATGATTTAAAAAGACTGTTTTCTGGATCTTTTAATTAGAACTACTTTGATCCATGGGGAAAATGGTATAAATTTATTACTGAGTTGGACCCAATTTTGGCTTGGTCATGACTCATTAGGAGGCAAATTGTTTCCAGAAGGCACTTCATGTTTATTAGGAATTGTTGGAAACAAATTCACCTCTTGGATGATGAAGCTCTTGATGACATTCATATTCTCCTCTAACAATTATGAAATAATTCTTGGAGATCAAGGGCGTGTAAATGTGCCTTGCAGCGACACTGTGCAGGCGCCAGGGACAATCGATTGTAGCCCGCCGAGGTTCATCAAGTTTGTAGCAACGATTACCTTTTAATTGATAGATTTCTTGACGATTTCAGGAATTTATTAAGTTAATGCTTTTATATTTTAAAACATATAAGGACCTTCTAGTTGGGCAATATTTAGTGATTGTCATATTTTATATTTTTGAATGTAAAAGGAATAATACTTTGGGTACTAATGGATGGGTACTAATCTGTGTACTAACTAAAGCATAGTACGGGTACTATGCGCATAGTACGGGTACTATGCTTTAGTTAGTACACAGATTAGTACCCATCCATTAGTACCCATAGCATCACTCATGTAAAAGTAATCCCCTCCCTAGAAATAAAACGATAATAATGGATTGAACCTCATAATAAAGGAGATATATTATTGATGTGATATACATATAATTTTGAATAATGTGAGGATTATTGAATTAAGAGATCATTAAAGAGGATGAACCAATAAGAATGAGATAAAATCAGCATGAAATCTATGTGCGTTAACTTTCCTCTAAAAAATTTATCCACCACATGCAACTTAGGCTCAACCACTTTCAAGGTTAATCTTCCTTTAAATAATTTATCAATCACATACATGGAAACGGAAATTAGGATGAGCGACAATTAATTCAAATGACCTATATATATATATATAAAAAAGAGACCTAAGAGGCCTTCAAGCCAAGCGAGAGCATAAGTGCTTTGAAGACGATGGGTTTTCTCCTACGTTTGCTGCTAATCAATGGGTTAGCTTTGCTGGTTTGCTTGGTACAAGCGGAAATCCATTACCATGACTTTGTTGTAAGTGCTAGCTTTTACTGATCGATCTTCCTTCGTGTTGCTTAATTTTTAAGCATTTTTTTATTGCTGCATGCACATGGCTGACTGACTGATATCTCTGTATTCATATTTTTATGTATAAATCTTCCCATGTCTTCTGATTCTGGGTATATATAGCTAAGGGAGGAAAATTTCACCAGGCTGCGCAAAACCAAGAAAATGATGGTGGTAAACAGCCAGTTTCCAGGGCCAACGATTTATGTTCGCAAAGGTGATACTGTATTTGTTAATGTCCATAATGAAGGAGGTTTCAAAGTCACAGTCCACTGGTTTTTTCTCTCTCCCTCTCTCAAATATTATATATCAGTAAACGACATGTTCTCACCCAAGGTTTGGCGAATCTGCAAGTTCTCACCCCTAGTTTCATAAATTTTAGATTCTCATCCTTAAATTAACACCATTAGGGTCTGACACAATATAGAATGTATTATTACCAAACTGTTGAAAAAATGGCTCATTAGCAAAATCCTACATGGGGCATGAATGAAAATAGAGAAATGTTTAGGGACCTATATAAAATAAGTCAAGGTTAGAAAAGTCCCACATTGCTTAGGAATAAAGTGGGGGAACTTTTGGGGCCTATATATAAGGACCCAAGTCATAGTTATAGTCATCCCAAATTGTTTTTCCATTACACCCCTTTGGTATAGGATTCTTTTATTAAGGACCCTTTAGTTGAAAAGTTTTGTTGTATTTCGCTTTGTCTTGGGTAATTGTTTTTATGCCTATATAGTTTGGGTATTTGTAGTATTGCCCAAAAAGGTATAATTTTCTTTGAAGATAGTAGAGTTTTCTTTTGTAGCACCCAAGGACGTAGGTTATAATACCAAACCTCGTTAATTCCTGGTATTCTTAATTTTTGCATTTAATTTGGCCATTTATTTCTGCTTTAATAGTTGTTATTATTATATTTAAATAGCTAGTATTAGAGTTTATGTTTTTGCTGCATAACAAGTGGTATCAGAGCCTAGTTTTAGGACAATGAGTAGCTATTTGTATGGTTATATCCATGTCTAGAAAAATTCTGTCAACAAGAAGATAAGAGTCTAAGGAGACTGGATTTTAAGTGGGATCGTTTGTGACCCCTCCATTGTTTCTTGGGAATTTTCCTGGTGCGTGTTGATTCATTTCAGTACTTACTACTATTTATAGTTGTTGTTAAGTTTTTGTTAGCTATTGAGTATAATAATTTGTAGAGCTTGGTTATTAGGGACTTTGTCTACCAAGCCAATTGAGTAAAGCACAAATGGCATCATCATTCGAGGATTCATCATCTGAGGCATCACCATCCGCTCCAGTAAAGATGATAATGGTTACAAATGCAAAAATTGATGTTAAAAAATTTGATGGTCAAAATAATTTTGTCTTGTGGCAGAGTAAGGTAGTGGATAGCTTGTATCAACAAGATCTAGATATCGATTTAGAGGAGGAAAAACCAGAAGATATTTATGAGAAAAACTGGGTTAGGTTGAATGTAAAAGTTTGTGGGATGATTCGCTCATGTCTTTGTAAAGAGCAGAAATATCCATTCACGAAAGAGACGTCTGCCAATAAGTTATGGAAGACGCTTGAAAACAAATACATGAAAAGAAGTAATGAGAATCAACTTTATTTAATGAAAAGATTGTTTCGTCTTTAGTTGAAACTAGGTACGAATATTAGTAGCCATATTGATACATTTAATAGATTAATTGTTGATTTGTTAAATTTGGACAAAACATTCAAAGATGAACATAAAGCTATGTTGTTAGTTGGATCTCTTCCGAATGAATTGGATCTCTTCCAGATGAATTGGATCATCTTAGTATTACCCTTCTTCATGGGAAAGAAAAATTGTTCTTTGAAGAAGTTTGTTCTGCTTTGTACAATCATGAAATTTGGAAAAAAGGATCAGAAGGAGAATAAAGATTAGTCAGCAGAGGCACTTGTAGCAAGAGGGCGGAGTCAGAGTCGTAAGAAGGAGAGAAGAGGAAGATCTCATTCAAAGGGAAAACTCAATAAGGATCAATGTGCCTTTTGTCGCGAGAAAGGGCATTGGAAGAAAGGTTGTCCAAAGTTGCAAAATAAAGAGGGAAAAACTATTTTCGATGCATACGTTGTTAAGCGTGAAGAAGATGAGTCAGATTTCTCTCTAGCTAGCCTATTATCCACCTATGGATCAAATGAGTGGATTATGGATTTAGGTTGTACATATCATATGTGTCCTCTCCAAGAGTGGTTCTTTAATTTTGAAGAACGTGATGGAGTTGTTTATATGGGCAATGGTGATGCTTGTAAAACAACTGTGATAGGTTCAATTCGGTTGAAGAATCATGATGGCTCAACGAGAATGCTAACAGATGTTCGGTATGTACCAAAGTTGAAGAAGAATCTAATTTTTTTGAGAGCCTTGGAATCTAAAGGCTTCATGGTGAATATGCAAGATGGAATTGTAAAGGTTTCTTTAGGCGCTCTTGTGGTAATGAAAGGTATAAGGAGAAACAACCTGTATTACTATAATGGTAGTACAATTATTGGAACGACAGTTGCAGTCACACAAAATGATACAGATTCAAAAATGCTCAGACTATGGCATATGCGTTTGGGGCATGCAGGTAAAAAAGCCTTACTTAGTTTGGTGAATCAAGGCTTATTAAAAGGTGCAAAGACCTATAAGCTAGAGTTTTGTGAGCATTTGGTTTTAGGAAAGCAGACAAGAGTGAAATTTGGCACCGCAATCCATAATACTAAGGGTATCTTGGATTATGTGCATTCTTATGTGTGGGGACCTATCAAAGCAACATCTTTGGGAGGTATGCACTATTTTGTCACTTTTGTAGATGATTTTTCCAGGAGAGTTTAGGTGTATGTGATGAAAACTATAGATGATGTGCTTGGTGTTTTCCTTAAATGGAAAAAGATGATTGAAACACAGACCAGCAGAAAGATCAAGCAATTACATACAGATAACGGTGGGGAGTATCGTAGTAATCCGTTTCTGAAAGTTTGTCAATATGAAGGTCTAGTACGTCACTTTACAGTAAGGAATACACCACAGCAAAATGGGGCAACAGAATGCATTAATCGAACTATACTTGAGAAAATTCGATGTATATTGTCCAATTATGGGTTGGGCAAAGAGTTTTAGGTTGAGGCAGTTATATATGCGTGTCATCTCATTAATCATCTACCATCAGCTGCAATTGAAGGCAAAAGGCCGATTGGGGTATGGTCTGGAAAACCTGTTTCTAATTATGACTCTTTACATGTTTTTGGTTCCACTACTTATTATCATGTGAAAGAGTCTAAGTTAGATCCTAAAGCAAAGAAAGCAATATTCATGAGGATTACCTCAGGTGTGAACGAATACCATCTTTGGTGTCCAAGTTCGAAGAAAATAATGTTTAGTAGGGATGTGACATTTGATGAGTCTTCTATGTTAGAAAAGAAAACAGGAAGCCAGATAAAAGTTAACAGTATTCTGCAACAGGTGGAGTTTGAAACAACAATTGAACCAGATAGTGTCCATGAGACAGAAAGTGATTCTGAGGTGACTAATGTGGATACTAAAGATGAAAAGGAGATTCTATCCCAAGAGTCTCCACAGCAACAGGAATCGATTGCATACAATAGGCCAAGACGAGAAATTTGCAAGCCTACTCGTTTTATTGATATGGTGGCTTATGCACTTCCAATCGTAGGTGATGATATTCCTACTACTTATAAAGAAGTACTTAGGAGTTCAAATTGTGAATCATGGAAACCGGCCATGAATGATGAGATGCGATCCTTACATAAGAAGGCAATTGAGTGCAAATGGGTGTATGCAAAGAAGAAGTGATTTCCTAATAGAGAAGATGTTCGACACAAGGTTAAGTTGGTAGTAAAGGGATATGCTCAAATGGAAGGATTTGATTACAGTGAAGTGTTTTCTCCAATAGTGAAGTATTCTTCCATTCTGATTTTGCTAACCTTGGTGGCACAGTTTGATTAGTTTAGTTGGATGTGAAAATTGCGTTTTTACATGACAATTTCGAAGAGGAAATCTACAAGACTCAGCCAGATGATTACAGGGTTGCTGGAAAGGAAAATTGGGTTTGCAGATTGAAGAAATCACTATATAGTTTGAAGCAGTCACCAAGACAGTGGTACAAGCGATTTGATCAATGCATGATGGGCCATGGGTACACAAGGCCTGATATTTCACAAGCAGTTAGTATGGTGAGCAGGGATATGTATGATCTTGGTAAAGGACATTGGCAAGTTGTGAAATGGTTTCTGTGGTATATTTTAGGTATTGTAGATATTGGTTTGGTTTTTGTGCGAAAATGGGAAAATGATTCTCTAGAAGATTGGAACAAAAGATAATCCCATAGATATGTTGACTAAGGTAGTGACAGGGGTCAAGTTCACTTACTGTTTGAGCTTGATCAAATTTTTGCGAGTTTGACTGCGCCATTTGGCACATTTGAAAGTGTTGCAAAATTTGTCAAAAGAATACAAAACTTTGAAGGTTTTCTAATTCGCTAAGGTGGAGATTTGTTGGAAAAATGGCTCATTAGCAAAATCCCACATGGGGTAGGAATGAAAATAGAGAAAGGTTTAGGGACCTACAAAAATAAGCCAAGGTTAGGAAAGTCCCACATTGCTTAGGAATGAAAGTGGGGGAACTTTTGGGGCCTATATATAAGGACCCAAGCCATAGTAATAAGCATCCCAAATTGTTTTTCCATTACACCCCTCTTGTATAGGATTCTTTCATTAAGGACCTTTTAGTTGAAAAGTTTTGTTGTATTTCCCTTTGTTTTGGTTAATTGTTTTTATGCCCATATAGTTTGGATATTTGTAGTATTGCCCAAAAGGGTGTAATTTTCTTTGAAGATAGTGGAGTTTTCTTTTGCAGCGCCCGAGGACGTAGGTTATAATATCGCACCTCGTTAATTCTTGGTATTCTTTATTTTTGCATTTAATTTGGCCATTTATTTCTGTTTTAGTACCCTTTAGTTGAAAAGTATTGTTGTATTTCGCTTTGTTTTGGTTAATTGTTTTTATGCCCATATAGTTTGGGTATTTGTAGTATTGCCCAAAAGGGTGTAATTTTCTTTGAAGATAGTGGATTTTTCTTTTGCAGCGCCCGAGGACGTAGGTTATAATACCGAACCTTGTTAATTCTTGGTATTCTTTATTTTTGCATTTAATTTGGCCATTTATTTTTGCTTTAGTAGTTGTTATTATTATATTTAAATAGCTTGCATTAGAGTTTATGTTTCCGTTGCATAACACAAACTGCCCTTTAACTTTTACTTTTGATTGTGGCTGCTAAATATCATACACCTCCTTGGAAGATGGAAGCTTGTCCATCACACCCGTAAGAACTAGGCAAACCCAACCACCACAATCGGCACCATAGATCGGCCAAAGCCACAGTAACAGTGGCAAGAAGGAGACTAGGAGCGGCACCCCTCACCCTCGCCTGACCGCCACCACCAAGTTGGCCAAATTGCATAATTTCGGCAACTTTTCCTCTCACCCACTACTGCTCCTAGACCATTTTTGCCTGATCCAACATCACCAAGCTCCCTCGTCACCACCATCAGAACCCCACGCCACAATCACCAAAACCCCTCACACTCCCACCCCAATGCACCCACAAATCGCCAATCGACAGACCCTCAATCTCTCGTGATTCTCCAAGTTTATGGCTAGATTCCGACTGGTTTTGACACTAGAAATACCTCTTTTCACAACCATTCGAACCCCATCCTCTCTTCAACAAAACCCACACCTCCACTAGCCTCCCTCACTCGTCGTTTGTCGTCCACGAACTGCCAAGTTGCGTTTCTACCATAGGGGTGTGATTTTCATATTTCAAACTTGAGATGTGGAGGGTGCTTTGAGAGAAATTTGAGATGTGGAGGGTTATTTTGAATTTTCATTTTTTATTTCAAATTTAATGCAGTATAAATGACCAATTTTTCCTTTAACCTTTAAATTAAACTATTTTCTGTTAATTTAAGGGTGAGAATCTGGAATTTATGAAACCAGGGGTGGGAACTTGCAAATTCACCAAACCTTGGGTGGGAACATGCATGTTGTTTACTCTATTATGTATTGAAATTACATACTGGACAAGGGAAAAACGCTTTCAAAATATATGAAATCATTTTATAAATTTTGGGAAGAAAATTTGGAAACATCAGTTTGGATATTTCATTTCGAAAATGTTAATTTCATAATATAATGCTACACATTCTAAATCTTAAAATTTTTAAAACTAAAATCAAACTTTCCCTTTTCATTTTCGGATTAATTTTCGTCAATAAACACACACACACACACACACACACACACACACACACACACACACACACAAAAAAAACACCTTTATTTATTAATTATTATAAGTAATTTTAATAACCAAATATTAAAAATATATTTATTATTTTCTGTTCAAATTCTAACATATTCATTTTTGAATTCTCTTGAAATTAATATTAATTGTAGTTAATTAATTAACAGGCATGGAGTGAGGCAACCAAGGAATCCATGGTCAGATGGTCCTGTATACATTACACAATGTGCAATTAAACCTGGAACAAATGTCACATATGGAGTCATTTTTTCTGATGAAGAAGGAACCCTTTGATGGCATGCTCACAATGACTGGACTAGAAACACTGTTCATGGTGCCATTGTCATTTATCCTCGACAAGAATCCACCTATCCCTATCCTCAGCCTGATGCTCAAGAAATTATCATACTTGGTATTTCGCATTTCATTTACAACTAAAATTAATTTGGTTTAGCGACGTTTCATATTATGTTAAACATGTATGTTCTCAGTCAAGTCAATTTCTATTATTGGTTCTATAACGTTATCGATTCAAGGCATATCGTGTTCTTTCAGGATCTTGGTACATCTACGATGTGAACCTCTTAGTCGAACATGACCTTGAAACAGGGGCGGATTTACCCATATCAGATGCTTACACAATCAATGGCCAACCTGGAGATTTCGCAGCATGCTCTAAAGACCGAGGTGCATATTAAAGTCCTCTATATATAGGTATATACAATGATATTTGACATCAAATAATAAAGTCTTAAAAGTTAAATGTTTTATTTAATCATGGATTGACCAATGTAGAGATCAGTGAGGGCTAGTGACCCCTCTAAAAAAATATTATTTATTTTGAATGTGCCCCTCTGACATTAAATCTTGGATCCATCCATGCACGTAAGAAATGTTTCTTTGATGAATTATTAACAGAGCACACATATCGTTGGATAGTTGATTATGGCAAGACCTATCTTCTCCGCATAGTGAACGCAGTAATGAATGCGGAAATGTTCTTCGCCATTGCCGGACACAATATCACAGTCGTTTCACAAGATGCAGCATATCTTAAACCATTTGTCACAAGTTATATAATGATTGGCCCTGGACAAACCATGGACGTTCTCGTCACGGCAAACCAAAAAACTCTCGGCGGCCAATATTATATTGCTGGCAGACAATTCTACACTGATAAAACCCTTTTCACTGGATTTAACAAATTTAATGCCACGGCTATTCTCCAATACAACAATGGCAACAATACACAGGATCCTGAAACCATAGAATTTCCCACAACTCTTCCTTCTTATGAAGATTACGACGCCGGAATCAGCTTCAGGAACAGAAAGAGGAGCTTAACGGTTCAGGATGTGCCGAAGAATATTACTACTAGAATGTACATTGCGGCAGCTCAAAACCAGTTGATGCTCAACGTTTCAGGAAATGTCACTTTTGCTCTGGCTGCAAGCTTAAATAATGTGAGCTGGGTGAACCCTTGGATGAATGTTCTTCAAGCCTATTATCAGTAAGTTATTTTATCGATCCTCGTCTCTTTCCATAAAATCTAGAATACCATTGAAATACCAAGAATGATAAAATATTGTTTTTTTTGTAAAAATGTTAGAATCCTTTTTCGATACAGGCATGGACGGAGCTAAAAGGGCTACGGATGGGGCAATTGCCCCTCCACAACGTTGAAAAATGTTCATTAAGTAATATCTAAAATGAATTCACATGTTATATGTAATTATTTTCGAAGTTATTAATTTTTTGTTTACAAAATTTTGTCCCTCCTATATAAACTAAATTTCTGGCTGGATATAGGAACATGACAGGATCTTATACTGATGATTTCCCGGACAAGCCTCTGGAGTTCTACGATTTTGTGTCGGATACTTTGCCAGCTAACACGACTGAATCGCTGTTGGCGACGAAGGTGAAGGTGTTGGAATACGGTGAAGAAGTGGAGATGGTGTTTCAGGCAGCCAATGTGTTGAATGCATCAAAGGATCATCCATGCATCTTCATGGGCATAGCTTTTACATGGTTGGAGCTGGTGGAGGCAATTTTGATTTTGATAAGGACCCTCAATCTTACAACTTGGTTGATCCACCGTTTGTCAATACTAATACACTTCCAAAAGATGGATGGATTGCCGTTAGATTCAAGGCGCTTAATCCTGGTATATATGCTTCCTCTTTCACTCAAATTTTAATAGCATAAAAATTAATAACCTCTTTAAACTAACCTTCCTTGATTGTTTGGTATGATCTGTCCATCTCTCCTGTGGACCAATGAAAATTTGTCTTTTAATGAGTGTTTCCTAACACCCACAAATAAAAAAAAAAAAAAAACTTATGTAAAAAGGAAAATGTGTACGTTTGTTCTTGACGTACCTAAAGTAGGAGCAACCACCCCTTCGCTTGGGAGGGATTTAAGGTCGGCACTATGTACATGGGGAAGCATTTCCTCGACTAGCATACCTCAACTATTTGCCGGCGCATTACTTTACATCAAAAGAGGGTTAATTACTTCAGCATGGGAATTGGCTGTGCTAGCGTTGGTCCTGCATCGGATACCCTATATTTCTGCTGATGTAAGCTAGATATTTATATGGTATAAACATCTTAAAGCTAACTACCTTTGGATGGTCAGATAGTTTGATAGAAATTTTTGAATATATTTATTACTTAAGAGCACATAAGTTTAAATTCCTTTTCGGATGCTAATAAAAATAATAAGTGGAGTTCTTATCGCATAGACCAAAGAATATATAAAGAAAATAGGCAGGATTTCGTTTACATGATTTGAAAATGTTGGTTTCATAAGTGAAATACAAATATTAACGATGAATGATGACTTTTGGCAGGGGTGTGGCTGTGGCATTGTCATTTATACAGACATTTGAGTTGGGGAATGAACACTGTTATTATAGTGCAGAATGGAGCAACTCCTGAGACATCTATTCTTCCACCTCCTCCTCACGGCGATGCTCCATCTACTATTAAGAAGAAGACATCACAATTTTCAGCTAAACAAACCACTACTTAAATTAATGGTATTGAATTTTGATGTTCTTCTATGAATAATATTATGTATTGGCAAAAGAAACAACTACTTAAGCTTAGTTTGAGATTGTTGTAATTTCTCGCTTTGATACGACTTTATCTTTATGAATAATCAGCTTTTGTTATAAGTTTTTAACTGTTTATTTTGTTAAATTTCTAAATTGTTTTTACTTTTAGAAAATAATATCCAAAAAATTTAGCTCGAAAATTTTCCCATTGGGCCTGCGAATCTAACCCAGTTGGAAAAACCGACCATCAATAAATTCTAAGTCAACTTGAAAAAAACTACATATAAATCCAAAACACTTCATTCCAACCCGCCCGGCTTCGACACTATGGAGACAGAGAAACAAAAACTTATAATCGAAGAAATCGAAGAAGAAACAAACCCGACCGCAACCGGGTCAGCTCCGAGTCCCAATCCGAACCAGAAAACCGTTAAGACGAAGGTGCCCGAGGTGGAGATCCACTTGTACCGGCAGGGGAAGGGTCCAATCGACGTTTTCAAGTCGAGCTTGTCCGGGTGGGACCAGAACCAGTTGGAGGTCCGAGAAATCCTCGAGAAATACGGGTTCAAGTCGATTTTCGCCTTCTCTCCCGGGTCGGGTCGCGGTGCTCCGATACGGTTTAATCCGAGGAATGGACGGTCGATGCTCGTGTACAAGGATGGTTCTGTTGTTCGCATTGATGGAGAACCAAAGGTGATTTTTAATATTTGTATATTTTTTTTTTTTTTTTTTTGAGTATCATGAATTTATGTATAATTGTTGGTTTAAATGATAGTTTAATTATAGAATTTTGCTGTGGGTGGTAACGTTACTGTAACGCATATAAGAAAATTAATTGTAGAAGTGTGATGTATTTCTGTTTTTTAAATTTTGATATAAGAACCTTGAAACTGTTTGTTTTCCGGGAAAATATGGGAAAGCTGTGTTTGTTTTGTTTTAATTAAATTTTATGGTCCCTTAAAGACTTAAAAAAATATAAAGTAAAATTTGCTAGATTGGATAAGTTTTTCTATGTTGATGTGGAAGTAATGCTGGAGTCTCAAGTGTAAAAGTAATTGTAATTTGGATATGCTTGTTTTTTGTTTAAATTGTTTTAATGGAGGTGTCTTGAAGCTGTTTGGCTGCTAGGAAAATGTGGGGAAAGAGCAATTATGGGTTTGTAAGGGAAGTATATCGCTAAAATGATCAATTGAAGTATTATTGGATATTGGTTTCTTTTTGGAATAATGATATATGCCCTAGAATAAGTATTAATGATTGTAGTCGATGGTTATTCGTTTAATTTGATGTAGTTCATAACAAAAAGAAGTTCATTGCTCATTGTTGATATCATAGATGAATAGATTTTTATCCCTGACGCATGAAATGACCTCTATGAAAACCCAAATATGTGCAATTATGGTTGTTTGCTTAAAATTAATATCTTTGAGCTAGAGAATGATCCTGAAAATGACTTCTAATAGGTATTTTACTTGGTTTTGTGGCAATCTTGGAGAAGTAGTTTATTATGGTAGCTAATCATGCCAAATGATACATTCAGGGACAAACATGTAATATAAATGAGTAGGCTGCGCAAAATATTTTCACTCTTGTGAAGTGACACTATTAAATAACCCACAAATGAACCAGTAAAAGCATCTGTAATCATGCTGTACCTGACTAAATTGGGTCCTTATGGTCAGAATATATGCAATATATCCAACACATGGTTAACATCTCAGTTCTTTTTGAACCCTTCTCCATATCCTTTTCCTAATGTTTAAGATGATTGATGTCCTCATACTTGAGGGTGTATCCCATGAACACTGAAATATATGGCTTAAATTTGATTTATTCGTGTCTAGATTCAGTTATATTTCTTCCAAATTAGCTGTCTGCAAATTTTCCATTCCCCGAGTTAGTCAGAGACTTATCACTCTGTACTTTTTTGGTTTATGATGCATCATGCATACATTTTCTTCTCACTATGGGCGTTGGGATTTCAGAACAAAATTCTTTTGAGAATTTTCTCCTGAATCATAGTACTCATCAAACATTGGTGTTTAGAAGACTAGACAGATGGACATGTAAATTATAAATTTATTGTTCTTGGCATATATGGCATTTATGTTTTGTCTGCTCTTTTTTGTCTAATGGCTGATACTTTTCATGAAAAAGGAATGACGTGTTCCCCTTAAATTTTGTTTTACTTGCAAGTATTTACTTCTTTACATTCTGTGATTGCAGGATTCTGTGATCAAACCTATAACCAAAATCTTATTTGGAGTAGCAGTTGTAGCCCTTCTGATATCATTTGTGTGGAAGGAGAACCCTCAATGGTTTGACAAATTAAGCATCTCTGGGAACTTCCCGCCGTGGGTCCTTGCTTGTGTAGTTATAGTTTTTATCCGTATGAGGAAGAGAACTAGAGACCTTTTAAAGAAGTATGGTTGGTGAGGAGATGCCGCCAATGCAATTTTTATGACGCCAAAAAAGCTTGATTGTTTACTGAAGTTTTGTGAAAAAAGTGGATAGCTATCTGTCATGACCTCTATATCATATATTTATAGCATCGATGATAAGAGATACTGAGCTGGTAAGGCGATTCAATAGATGTTTTGTTTCAGTTTTATTGTTTCTTAATTAGAATCAAAAGGTGGCAGAAAAGATTTGGTTGAATTGTTGTTAAAATTTCATTTTTGGCAGAAGGGAAATGAACTTTTTATTCAATTTGGTTCTGGTTTTTCTCTACTTCATTACAGAGAAGAAAGTATCCTATGATTTCAAAGGAAAACCAATTCTTATTGAATTTGATAACGTTAATTGTATTTAATAAATAAGTTCAAATTCTATAATAGAACCTTGTTTATTTATATTAAAAAATAATTTTTTATTTAAAATTTTAGCAAATTTCATCACTTGTTTGAGGTATAATTCATAGATATAATAAGTGGACTCATTATAAAGATGTTTGCATGGTTAATTGTTTTTTAATTGCATAAACATTATAGTTATAATGTCAATATAAATTAGATTAGAATTAAGGGAGTTTCATCCTTAATTATTAAAGGATTTATAATTACATTTAAGTACAAGATAAAAAGTAAATAATGTCACCCCCCACATTTACATTAAGAGTAATGCTACACTTGCACTATTTTTTTACACCATTTTATAAACATTATGATGTGGCATATATTACAACCACATAAATTCTATTATAATATTAAAGATTTAAAATAATTAAAAATTTGTGTGGTTGTGATATATGCCACATCATGATGTAATGAAAATTGTGTAAAAAAATGATGTAAGTGTAGCATTACTCTTACATTAAATAGAAGACAACAATTATTTATTGCATAACATGATCCACCAAAATTAGACTTGTTAAAATCTCAAAGAATAATTATTGACGTGTTAATGTTACTGTTGAAAAATAAATCATTTCTCATATCATAATATCTATTAATGTGGTATTTATATATAAACAATTATATAATGTCATATCAGTTTGTATATAAGAAATGAATAATAATATTATTATTTATTTATTTATGAAAACCGTTTGACCTCTCTAAGTTCGAAATTGGAGCATCTGTTAAACCTTGTAATATATAAGGGTTTGTTTGGTTTAATATTTCTATCCATATTCTCAATCCTATTTCCAAAATATTTGTTTGTTTAATTTTTTAGGAAATACAATTATATTTTTTTAATTACTTTTAGACCCCTTAAGTTTATTAATTTCATTAAATACCCTCAGAAAAAAGTTTAAAAATTAACAAAAACACTCCCACCCACCCATAGTTGCCAGATTCCGACAAACATCGTCGGTGGTAGCCAGAATCTGTCACAACGGCCTAAAAACGACCGAAAATGACCGGTAATTCGTCGATCTAACCTTTTGCGGGTTGCGGCAGTATATCTAGCCTTTTTCGGCCAGATCCGTGGTGGATTTAGTCGGAAAAGGCCAGATCGACGCACGTCCAGCTAGATCCACGTAACCTGCGTCGTAACGCTAGATTCCAACCAGATTCCAACAGTGGTGATCGAAATCTGACACTGTGGGTGAGTGGGAGTATTTTTGTCATTTTACAAAATTTTTACATATTAGGATGTTTAGTTAAATTAACAAACCTATGAGGTTTTTTTGAAAATTTTTAAATTTTACCTCATAATAATTACCCTATTCAACTATCCAATATTATCTCAAAAATTTTATTCAAAATAATAAACCAAAGGCACTCCAAGTGTCACGACCTTAAACAAGTACAATAATATCGGCTAACCCCTCATAGATTGATGTGCATTTTACTCTTGTGTGGTCAATCATTGGATCCTATTTATTGTATATTTATTACCTTAATTATTTTCATACTAGTTTATCTAATTAAATATTGTATGAAAACTTGCATGGATAATATTGTACTGGGTGTTGAAAAGGTGTTTAATAATTGAATGTTAATAAATCTCATATCATAAAAAGGTAATATAAAGTATACAATCCGTATCCACCTTTTTTTCTATACTATTCATATGGTGCCCTTTTCACGCTTTTTCTTTTTCTTTTCCATCTCTTCTTATATTTTTATTCAATAAAATAATTGAATTACATCTTAAATTAGACTTTTTTTAAAAGAAAAATTAAAATTCATTGAAACGCATATATATCAAGAAAAGCTATAATAATATTGAGATACCGCATCACCTATACAATAAATTAGTTTTTTTGTTTTTTATTTTATATATATCACTCACATATTTGCTTTTCCTATAATGATTTGTAATAATTAACTATAAAAAATACATTATATTGATTTGTAACATTGTCGATATTGGCACCTTTTTGGGTAAATCTATCGGACTTTTAATTTTAAAATTGCATTTAAAAGACAGGTTGTCTTAACTTGTGTCCTAACAATAAAAATATTTATTTATTTCAATACACTTTGTATATAAAGCGACAAAAAAATATAATTTTTAATACAAATATTAAATATGTTCTTAGAGCACAAGATAAGATAATCTTTAAAGGAATGCAAATTTAATATTTAAATGAATGGGATATTGTTTTATTATTATAAAAGTATATTAAACAATTTTTTTAATTTAATTCATTTTGTACCGCAAATTTATATATAAAAAAAATTTATGGCTAAAATTATCGGAATCTAAAACTATAAAAGCCATTTTTCTTTTGCCGCCCATCCCCACAAATGCAATTTCCTCCAACTAAAATAATAACCAAAACGACAACAAATCGCCAAGTTAGCCCTCAAAACGGGCCCACATTTCCCCAGTTTCTCAAATCCTCCTCCCCGGAACCGACCCCACCAAATTAATTCACACCGGTTGGTTCTGTTGCGTTAAAATTAAAATTAAAAAAAAAAAAAAAAAGAGAAAAAAACAGGTCGAAATTGGCGCCCCTTTCTTCATTCTCTTAATCAAATTAAATTCTCTTCGCCCCATATCCGACACCGTTTCTTCTCGTTCATCGTCAATCCTTCCCAATCTCACGCGTAACTGATTCTCGTTTCTCTTCCTTCATTTTTTGGAGGCGCCATGTCGGTGCGGAGAAGAACTCTGCTCAAGGTCATCGTTCTCGGCGAAAGCGGGTGAGTCTCGGTTGTTTTCTTTTTTCTAGGGTTTGAATGTTGGAGATTGTTTCTTTAGGGGCTGAATTGAAATTTTACGTGCTGAGGTTCTTATTGTTGTGGTTGTTTTTGTTAATGTCAGGGTTGGCAAGACGTCGTTGATGAATCAGTATCCTTGGACCAATCGTTTTTTTTCTTTTTTAATTTTTCTTTTTCTATTAAGATCTCTTAAAGTTTAAGCTTGCAGAGCAGTGGTAACGTTACTGGAATGATATGTGATGAAAATACAGCAGTTTTTCACTGTGAATGTTACAAATCGTATTAGTTTCTCGGATTTTTCTTTTCTCTTTCTTTTTTTATTTGTAGATGGTAAAATTTGTGAAACATGAGTCCCTGTAACGTTACCGTACTCTACGGTATTGTAGTGAGAACTTTAGTTGCTCAATTTATACTGTTTATATGGGGGGGTTGGTGAATTGGAAATTGGAAATAGAATTATTTATTTTGTTTTAGGAAGGGTTGCATTGTGTACTGTTGTTAAATTAACGGTTTATTGGAACGTTGATGGGTTAATTTTGTTGGAGTGATTTTGGATTTTGGTTATGAGTAATTTGGGTGGTATTGTGTTCGGTCTTAACTGCTTTGTTTAGATATGTTCATAAGAAGTTTAGTCAGCAGTATAAAGCTACAATTGGTGCTGATTTCGTTACTAAAGAACTCCAAATTGATGACCGGCTTGTCACTCTACAAGTATGTTTTTCTTTTTTTGGTTCAATGGAATTTATGCGTTTTGTGTAGTTTTATTTGAATTTATCTGTTAAGGGGATATGTAATGTTGAATGGCTTTGCCTTATATTCATAGATATGGGACACAGCAGGGCAAGAGAGATTTCAGAGTCTTGGGGTTGCTTTCTATAGAGGGGCAGATTGCTGCGTTCTAGTTTATGATGTTAATGTTATGAAGTCGTTTGATACTCTTGATAATTGGCATGAGGAGTTTCTTAAGCAGGTCTGTGATGTTAATTTTTGTTTAGTTGAATTTTATGCTTTAAAATATGCTTTTCGGGTGTATGTGATGTACATTATTATCTTACTATTTTTAATAATGTAGTGTTAAATTTAAAAACAATAATATTCTAACTTTCCTTGTATTACATGCTTGACCCTTGATAATTTTGACTCTTAGAGGACTTTTTGGGTCTAAAGGCTTGAGCGCAGCTGTTGATTGCCTTTCCTCCATTTAAGCCTTCTTAGCCTGACGAAAGCAGGGTTTGATTCCCATTAGTTTGGGTTAAAACTTCTGAGAGATTTTGAAATACTGAAAATATTTTTCATAGTAATTGCTATTTATGTTATTTCTTCATACCTCAATTTGAAACCCTGTCAGCCATTCACCAGTATTAACGCTAAAATCACTTTTTTCTTTTTTTCTTTTTTTGGAATTCGTCTTGCTGTATGGTGTGACAAGAAATTTTACATAATTATTTAAGAGGTTGAACAAATGAAGGATAATCTCATCTTTACTGGTTTCTTTTGATAACTCCATCTCTTTGAATAAACATTAGAATCTATTTAATGTTAGTCTGGATATATATCAGTTCTTCATGAACTTTTAATGGCTATTTTGTAGTTGTCTTTATTATTATTATTATTATTATTTTTTAATTTGATGATTTGCAAATTTTGCACTTACATTTTCATTCTCTTAGAAGATGACTGTTTGAATGTTAACATAGTTCCCTTTTTAATTCTATATAGGCAAGCCCAGCTGACCCCAGGATATTTCCATTTATATTACTTGGGAACAAGATTGATATTGATGGTGGGAATAGTCGAGTGGTAAGAATGCAAAATTTCAGTGCTGGCTAAAATTCCTTAGTTTGTTCATTCCTTTTTTAACAAACTGTTTGTTCATTCCTTTTTTAACAAACTGGTGTCTCTGCAGGTGTCTGAGAAGAAAGCAAAGGACTGGTGTGCCTCTAAAGGAAACATACCTTACTTTGAGACATCTGCAAAAGAGGATATCAATGTTGATGCTGCATTCTTGAGTATTGCTAAAGCTGCTCTAGCCAATGAGCATGAGCAGGACATGTAAGTTCCTATTTTAGATGTCACTTTCTTGTGTGAATAGCATGCACATAATTTATTAAAAAACTTGGGTTACTCTTGCCCTTAAGGTTTATAAGATAGCATTATCTTGCTTTACTTTTGTATTCACGATCTTTTGATATACTTTTATGAGCCATTAAATGGACTAGATATTAGGTGGTAGAGATATGAAATCTTCATGGACAGGTCATTTATATTTTAAACATCCATAAATAGCGGATTTACATTAATAACAAACAAAAAATGATGCCGATAAACCTTAGCACTAAGTTCAGAAGGTGCAGAGCATGGGATCATAGGCCACTTCACAACAAAATTTCATGGGTAGGAATGATAGTTACATATATATTTCATTTAGATTTTTCCTATTGTCCTTTTTACCAGTTTAAGTACTTTGTGTGAGTGTTTGTTAACTAAGAGGGTGTTTTTTGTGAGTGCATAAACATGAATATTTTACACTTAATTTCACTCATGGTTGATTTCCAGCTGTTGAGCAAGAAAGCATGTAGCTTTATAATCGCATTTGCATGTTTCCATACGTATTTTTATATTCTCTATAATGTCTGCCCTGTATACTAATTTTTTCAGCAATTGCAAGTCAGGTGATAATTGGTTGGTAAAATTAACCAAATAGGAATAGATTGGATTTGTTTGCCTGCCATCAGCTCATTTATCAGCTGAAGTCCAAAAGCTGTATGAGTGCTGGAGATAGGTTGACTTTTTTCACCTAAAGCTTGCCTTGGCCAAACTTCCCTTAATTTTCGTTAGTTTTCTATTTTTTTTCGTTGGTATTGATTATTTCTGAACAAAGTAGCATTTGTTGGTTGCCATAACTACTTTCGGATATTAAAATGTTTTTTACTTCTATAGTTACGTGCTTTTCCTGACAGTCTTCATTTTGAAGTTCTTAAATTAATGATGTGGGTGTGACTTTTCATGTTTGCAATGCATATTGTAGTATACGGTTCAATTCTGATTACATGTTTTAGTGGTTATTAGCTCCTAATATGTTTGACTAACTTCTTAGAATAGCTAATGTGTACTTGGGAGTTGGGATTGTGCTCTTTTTTATTTGCAAAATGCAGGCTGTGTTTGTGTTACTATTTTATCCTATCTTATTCCTATTTTACCCAAAATACATCTTTGTTTCAATATTTTCAAAATTCAATCCTATTTTATTTAACTCAAAATATTTAGATTTTTTAATCCCTTAGGTTTGTTAATTTAACTAAACACCTCTAACAATAAAAGTTTATAAATTGACAAAAACACCTTCAAGTCAGTTCGGGTCATCACCGTCGAAAAGTGGTAAGAATCTGTCGTAATGGCGCACTATCGGCTGGATCTTGCTGGTAGTGTGCCGATCTAGTTTTTTCCGACTAGATATGGCCGTTGACGACCAGATGTGGTCAAAGATCTGGCCTTTTCTGGCCAGATCCATGGTGGATTTAGTTAGAGAAGACCAAATTGACGCAAGACCAACCAGATCTAACCGGTTGTGCACCATTCTGGCGTCTTCCAGCCATCCTCTGACAGTGGTGGCCAATTGCTGGTATTATATGGGTGGGTGGGGGTGTTTTTGTTAATTTTCAATATTTAATTGTAAGGGGTGTTTAGCTAAATTAACAAATATAGGGTGTGTTTTTGTTAATTTTTAAATTTTATTTTCGTAATAATAACTCAACTCAACTTTTTCAAAAATACTCTACCAAGCACAGCTCTTCCTTTGTCTATTTCCTCTTTGAAATAACTCCATTAGGGTTTTCATCAATAAATATATTGATCCACCATAGCCTTAGTCTTCCCTTGTCTATTTCCTCTAAATACTTATTATTCTTATAGACGAGTATTATAAAACTTAATCCTTTCTATATATTTCTTTCGCTTTTTATTTATAGCATGACCATTACAGAAATGGATACATGTGTGAGACATTAAATCCTCATGTGTTTTTCACTCAAATGCAGATATTTCCAAGGCATTCCTGAGGCAGTTTCAGAGAGTGAGCAAAGAGGTGGTTGTGCTTGCTGAAGTGGAGCCAACCTGTTGGGCTGAATAATTACCGATATTTTGGTTTGGTAATTCTTCATTTTTGTTTTTATTCTTGGCAGTCCTTGTGATTCATGGCCATTTTTGTATACTAAGCTTTGCAGTTCGAGGCATGCTCAACTGTTATATTGATATTGGAAAAGACTTGTTATTTGAGAAGATTTTACGTTGTAGTTGATTGTTAATTTTGGTTTGGAGTTGGAATCAAATTTTTTGGGCATGAATGTGATGCTCATTTGAGTTGTAGTCTGCTGGCTGCCACTGAAAATTGGGTGGAGTCATTTATTGTATTATGTTTCAGAATTGAACTTGGCAATTTATTAACAAATGTATCAGTGAAATCATATCTTTAATTTTAACGATTTCACTTCCCTTTGTTCAAGAATCAAAACTAAAGGTGGAAAAATAACCCGTTCGGTCCGACTCATGGCGGGTTAAGCAAAATGGTAGGTTGGGCCTAACTCAGCCCGTCTCTTGGCTAGAAGGGTTGGTTCAGTTTGGCCCACCAACCCTAGCCCAATGGGTTTTGGTGTGAGCCGGGTTGGGTTAGCCCAAAATTTTTTTTCTTCTATGTAATTTATTTTTAGTTAACTTTTCAAATATCAATAATTCAATTAAATTAAATTTTTTTGTTAACATTTCAAATATTAATTCAATTTTAATACAATTAAATTGTAATATAAGAAAATTTAAATTTATTCATTTATTAAAACATAAAATAAGAAATAAGAAATTTCAACAATTATTGTTTCGTTAAAAACTTTATCAAGAAAAACCTAATTGGGACAAAAATTTGGTAAGGAAAAAAGTGTGTAATAATTGACAATTAATTTACAAATTACAAAACAACTAATTTGAGAGTTGACTGAGACATTTCTCATATATATCATCTATATTACAAAATTAAAATTATTCTATTAAACTATCGTCGACAATCTCGTATTGATCTTGATGGTGCGACCGTTCTCAATCTCGAAGACATGTGAGGACTTCAATCATTTTTTGTGAAAGTTTAGTCCTCCTTTCATTTAAAATTCTTCCACTTGCACTAAATGTTTGTTCGGATGAGACGATTGAGATAGGAACCGAGAAAACATCCAAGGCAAGTCTTGATAATACTGAAAAAATACATTTTCTGATTTTCTAATATTCTAAGACATCAAAGTTGGCTCTTTGTTATAGATCTACTAGTAGCACATTGGTGGTTTCCAAATATTGGTGAAGCTCATTACTCTATAGCTGCATGGAGGACATTACATTTGTTGTTGATGCTTCTGAAGAGGAAGCTGTGCTTCGGGTTCAGGTCCTCTTCGGCCTATTAAGTGCACTCCAGGAGTCGAAGTCTTCATTTGTTTCTTTTGATTCCTCGGGTTTTTTGCCCCTTCGCTGGTTCCCATACATGTTTTCATATTACAAATATACCTCTGCAAGACACTCTCTTATCTCTCCTAGTTGATTAGCATATGCTTCGTCTCGTAAATTTTCACTTAACATGTCTAAACCATTTTCTAAATGCGCTAATTTAATTCTAGGATCAAATATGGTAGGTAAACAATAAAGAAAAGGAATGGGTTTTTAATATTTTTTTAAAATTTTAATTTCATTGTCTCTATTGGTCCCGCTAAAATTTCATTGTTTCTGTTTTTTTTTTTAAAATAAATTTGAATTACCAATGGAGTAGTAGAATAATACACACCAAAAAGTTATAAAGTGGATTGATAAAAACAAATTTAAGAAAATAATGAAATTTTAAGCTATATGTCAATCATTGTCTACCAAATAATGAGGATCTCTATTATTTGCTACAAAATAACTAATTAAATTTGCATAAGGTAAACATGAATCAAACATTAAATAAGTATTCTTACATCTAACAGATATGTTTAATGCATAAGTTCTAGAAGACATATTTGATTTTATACAAGCATCTTGAAATTTAGTATTTCTTTTATTACTACTAGTAATCCAAGCTAAATAATCTCTAATTCTATCAATATTATTTCTAATTTTTTTCATATCATTTTTCACAATTAAATTAATAATGTGACACGTACAGCATTGGTGAAAAAACTTCAAATTGTCATAAAAATGAAAATTTATTTAAAAAAAAAATCTATAGCTATATTATTAGCACTTGCATTATCTAAAGTTAAACTTATCACTTTGTGAACAACATCATAATCTTCTAAAACTTCAACAATTTATTTATAAATTTGTTGACCATTATAATTCACATCCATTAATCTAAATCCCAATAAAGATTTATTTAATTTACATTCGTTATCAAAATAATGACTAGTTACACAAATATAATCTTATTTAGCTCTACCACTCCAAATATCGCAGTTAGAGCCACACTAACTTGACAACTATGTATTTTATTTTTTAATTCTAATTTCATTTTCCTAAACAATTTTATTAAATCATTTCTAGTTGTAGTTTTGGAATAACTTTTAAATCCTGAAAAAAATGATTTTTTAACAAATATTTCAAAATATTTATCTTCGGCCATATTAATAGGTTGATCAGTTGCAACAATATATAAAGCTAATTGTTCTCTATATACATCAAAATTATAACGCCAAGTAGTATCCATATTAGTTATTTGAATTTAATTAGTTTCTTTATTTTCATGTTGAATTATATGTTTATTAGCATGCATTTTTAAAGCACTAATACCATTATCTGCATCAACTTTATAAATATTTCCACTATACTTGCATCTTGCTTTCTTCACTTGAACTTCATTTTCTGTTTTATAAAACTTATCGAAATGCACCCAAACGTCTGATGTGTGCATGTCGTTGGTTTCGACTACAGTTGATGAACCCGTTTCTGCTTGAGATGGAGTTGGACGAGGACGACTTCTAAAACCACCGAGAGCTGTAGTAGCATGAGAAGGAAGGGGGAGAATATTATGAGGTGTATCGGATTCCGAGAATAGGAAAGCATGACTATTTGAATCTACTAAATTTACGTTAGTAAATTCAGTGGGACTGGGATAATTTCTTTCATCATCGAAATTGATGGGATGGAAATATCTATTCATTCTAGTTAAAAAAATATATATATACATAGAAGAAATAAAGATGTGAAGAAGGAGAATTGAAATTTGCAAATATAAATTGAAAATTGCAAAAACTAATAAAAATTAAAATGAAAGCAAATTGACAACAAAGAGAATAATTTAGAGATTTCAATAGAGAAAATGAGAGAATTTGGTATGTGAGGAAATATGAGAGTTTAGGCCCTATTTATAGTAAAAAATAGGAAAAGAAAATGACTAAAAAAAACCCCTCCAACTACTATAAAACGGTTATATTTCAAGGGTAAAATGGGTATTTGTAAAAAATAAAAAAATAAAATAAAATAAAATAAAATAAAATTATGTCAAGTTGGAGAAGTTTTTTTAAAAATATATATATATATAACCCGTTAGGTCGCCAGGTTAGCCTATGAAGGCTCAACCCGTTCGACGGGGTATACGCAGACTGTGTTGAACTCGGATTGATGCGGACCAGATTAGGATTGATCTATCTAACTCAGCCCATTTGTTCCACCTCTAATCAAAACTTTTAGCCTTTTGATGGACAAAAATTTTCGTTTCACCAATAGGATACACTTTAATTTATGACCTTTACCTTTGTTTACAAGTTAATTAGAAATTAAAACGAAGGTTTTACATCTGAGACATTGCCATTTGATTTCACCCAAGGAAAGGCAAAAGTTGTTTCAAATAATCCTGTTAAAAATTTTAGAACAAATATGTTAATTATAAGAAAATTTCTATCTATATTTGCTGAAACAATCTTCATAAATCCGATCCCTGATACAATTTGATACAGCAAGTGCCAAAGGCACACAGAGATCCATACATATACAAGAAATCGCTCAATATAGCAGGCGAAAATGGAATGCTCTCTGTAATTTGTACGGTTAATTAATCGTACATAATCTGGCAGCCTTTGAGCTCATCAACTTTAAACTTTTACAGCATCTCTCAGCAGCAGGTTCTATCACACCAGTTTTCTGCCCTACCATGGTCAATTATTAAGCTTTTAGACATAGGACAGTACTAATTCAAATCTGCAATAAACTTTGTCAAAGTTGAGGTGAAAAAACAATCATTTGGCATTGCAAAAGAGTACTTTGATGATCACAGTACAGTAATCATAAACAAGTAACAGTTCTTGATATTTCTGCCTGTGCTAGTAAGAGTACCGTAAGTCTTTGTATTTGAAACTTGCCTCTTTCATCATTCTATTATTTTTTCCATTAATGGGTAAATATTCCATTCAGATTTATGATAATTCAAAACACTCACAGTTGGTGTTATGAAGTAAATTGAAATACATTTTTCTAAACTTGCCTATTACTAGTGTTCAACAAAATGAGGCAGAGCGGATCTTCAGAACGCAGGCAACACAGCTGCTGGACAATGTAAACACATGTACTGATGCTGAAACGTAATGAAAAATAGTTATCAGCAGTTCCAAAATAATTGATGCGCTATCAACAAATTTTAACCCTTCAAAACACAAAGATAAATACATCATACAAAATATTGCATTATCTGATGCATATCAGTTAATAAAGGCTACTTAAATGGATTCATAACATTGCACATGTTTACAAAATGCAGTTTTTTAGAGGAAATAAATATAAATATAATCATGTAAAATGATATTACCTGCCGAAACATATCAATAGGATCACCCAAAGGAATGCATTAAACCAACTTGATTCCTTGTAGGCAACCCAAACCTGAAATAGCACATAAAAACATAATGCATTAGTTATCCAAACAAAGGCATTAGATTATTATTAACAAGTTCACAGTTACTGTTATTCAAACCCAATATGGCCATTTTTGATACTAAGCTTGCAGTTCGAGGCATGCTCAACTGTTATATTGAATTGGAAAAGAATGTTTTTGAGAAGATTTTCGTTGTAGTTGATTGTTAATTTGGTTTGGAGTTGGAATCAAATTTTTTGGGCATGAAGTGATGCTCATTTGAGTTGTAGTCTGCTGGCTGCCACTGAAAATTGGGTGGAGTCATTTATGTATTATGTTCAGAATTGAACTTGGCAAATTAACAAAAGTATCAGTGAAATCATATCTTTATTTAACGATTTCACTTCCCTTTGTTAAGAATCAAAACTAAAGTGGAAAAATAACCTTCGGCCGACCATGGCGGGTTAAGCAAAATGGAGGTTGGCCAATAGCCCTGCTCTGGCTAAGGGGTTCAGTTGGCCCACCAACCTAGCCCAATGGGTTTTGGTGTGAGCCGGGTTGGTTGCCCAATTTTTTGTTATGTAATTATTTTAGTTAACTTTTCAAATATCAATAATTCAATTAATTAATTTTTTTGTTAACATTTCAAATATTAATCATTTTAATACAATTAAATTGTAATATAAGAAAATTAATTTATTCATTTATTAAAAATAAAATAAGAAATAAGAATTCAACAATATTGTTCGTTAAAAACTTTACAAGAAAAACCTAATTGACAAAAATTGGTAAGGAAAAAAGATGTGTAATAATTGACAATAATTTACAATACAAAACAACTAATTTGGAGTTGAATGAGACATTCTCATATATATCATTTACATTACAAAATTAAAATTATTCTATAAATATGTCGACAATCTTATTGATCTTGATGGTGCGACCGTTCTCCAATCTCGAAGACATGTGAGAACTTAACATTTTTTGTGAAAGTTAGTCCTCCTTTCATTTAAAATTCTTCCACTTGCACTAAATGTTGTTCGTGAGAGAGATTGAGATAGAACCGAGAAAACATCCAAGGCAAGTCTGATAATACTGAAAAATACATTTTTGATTTTCAATATTCTAAGACACAAAGTTGGTTCTTTGTTATAGATCTCGTAGCACATTGGGGTTTCCAAATATTGGTGAAGCTCATTACTCTATAGCTGCAGAGGACATTACATTTGTTGATGCTTCTGAAGAAGGAGGTGCTTCGGGTTCGGTCCTCTTCGGCCTATTAAGTGCACTCCAGGAGTCGAAGTCTTCATTTGTTTCTTTTGATTCCTCGGGTTTTGCCCCTTGCTGGTTCCCATACATGTTTCATATTACAAAATACCTCTGCAAGACACTCTATCTCTCCAGTTGACTGCATATGCTTCGTCTCTAAATTTTCACTTAACAGCTAAACCATTTTCTAAATCGCTAATTTAATTCAAGATCAAATTGGTAGGTAAACAATAAAGAAAGGAATGGGTTTTTAAATTTTTTTAAAATTTAATTTCATTGTCTCTATTGGTCCCGCTAAATTCATTGTTTCTGTTTTTTTTTTTAAAATAAATTTGAATTACCAATGGAGTAGTAGAATAATAACACCAAAAGTTAAAGTGGATTGATAAAACAAAATTTAAGAAAAATGAAATTTTAGCTTATGTCAATCATGTCTACCAAATAATGAGGATCTACTATTTCTACAAAAAAACTAATAAATTTGCAAAGAAACATGATCAACATTAATAAGTATTCTACATCAACGATATGTTAATGCAAAGTTCTAGAAGACATATTTGATTTATACAAGCATCTTGAAATTATATTTCTTTTATTACTACTAGTAATCCAAGCTAAAATCTCTAATTCTATCAATATTATTTCTATTTTTTCATACATTTTTCACAATTAAATTAATAATGTGACACGTACATTGGTAAAAAAACTTCAAATGTCATAAAAATGAAATTTATTTAAAAAAATCTATAGCTATCTTATCACTCTACTAAAGTTAAACTTATCACTTTGTGAACAACATCATAATCTTCTAAAACTTCAATAATTTATTTATAATTTGACCATTATATTCACATCCATTAATAAATCCCAAAAAGATTATTTAATTTACATTCGTTATCAAAATAATGACTAGTTACACAAATATAATTTATTTAGCTCTACCACTCCAAATATCGCAGTTAGAGCCACACTACCTGAAAAGTTTGAATGTTAACATAGTTCCCTTTTTAATTCTATATAGGCAAGCCCAGCTGACCCCAGGATATTTCCATTTATATTACTTGGGAACAAGATTGATATTGATGGTGGGAATAGTCGAGTGGTAAGAATGCAAAATTTCAGTGCTGGCTAAAATTCCTTAGTTTGTTCATTCCTTTTTTAACAAACTGTTTGTTCATTCCTTTTTTAACAAACTGGTGTCTCTGCAGGTGTCTGAGAAGAAAGCAAAGGACTGGTGTGCCTCTAAAGGAAACATACCTTACTTTGAGACATCTGCAAAAGAGGATATCAATGTTGATGCTGCATTCTTGAGTATTGCTAAAGCTGCTCTAGCCAATGAGCATGAGCAGGACATGTAAGTTCCTATTTTAGATGTCACTTTCTTGTGTGAATAGCATGCACATAATTTATTAAAAAACTTGGGTTACTCTTGCCCTTAAGGTTTATAAGATAGCATTATCTTGCTTTACTTTTGTATTCACGATCTTTTGATATACTTTTATGAGCCATTAAATGGACTAGATATTAGGTGGTAGAGATATGAAATCTTCATGGACAGGTCATTTATATTTTAAACATCCATAAATAGCGGATTTACATTAATAACAAACAAAAAATGATGCCGATAAACCTTAGCACTAAGTTCAGAAGGTGCAGAGCATGGGATCATAGGCCACTTCACAACAAAATTTCATGGGTAGGAATGATAGTTACATATATATTTCATTTAGATTTTTCCTATTGTCCTTTTTACCAGTTTAAGTACTTTGTGTGAGTGTTTGTTAACTAAGAGGGTGTTTTTTGTGAGTGCATAAACATGAATATTTTACACTTAATTTCACTCATGGTTGATTTCCAGCTGTTGAGCAAGAAAGCATGTAGCTTTATAATCGCATTTGCATGTTTCCATACGTATTTTTATATTCTCTATAATGTCTGCCCTGTATACTAATTTTTTCAGCAATTGCAAGTCAGGTGATAATTGGTTGGTAAAATTAACCAAATAGGAATAGATTGGATTTGTTTGCCTGCCATCAGCTCATTTATCAGCTGAAGTCCAAAAGCTGTATGAGTGCTGGAGATAGGTTGACTTTTTTCACCTAAAGCTTGCCTTGGCCAACCTTCCCTTAATTTTCGTTAGTTTTCTATTTTTTTTCGTTGGTATTGATTATTTCTGAACAAAGTAGCATTTGTTGGTTGCCATAACTACTTTCGGATATTCAAATGTTTTTTACTTCTATAGTTACGTGCTTTTCCTGACAGTCTTCATTTTGAAGTTCTTAAATTTATGTTGTGGGTATGACTTTTCATGTTTGCAATGCATACTGTAGTATACGGTTCAATTCTGATTACATGTTTTAGTGGTTATTAGCTCCTAATATGTTGGACTGACTTCTTAGAATAGCCGTTGTGTACTTGGGAGTTGGGATTGTGCTATTTTTTATTTGCAAAATGCTAAGGCTGCGCTTGTTTTACTATTTTATCCTATGCTGTTTCTATTTTACTCAAAATACATATTTGTTTCAATATTCTCAAAATCCAATCTTATTTTATTCAACTCAAAATATTTAGATTTTTTAACCCTTTAGGTTTGTTAATTTAACTAAACTCCCCCAACAATCAAAGTTTATAAATTGACAAAAACACCCCCAAGTCAGATTTGGGCCATCATCGTCGGAAAGTGGCAAGAATCTATCGTAATGGCGCACTATTGGTTGGATCTTGTTGATAGTGTGCTGATCTAGCTGGAGAAGGCCAAATCCATGGTGGATCTAGCTGGAGAAGGCCAAATCCATGGTGGATCTAGCTGGAGAAGGCCAAAGCGGCGCAAGACCAACCAGATCCAACTGGTCGTGCACCATTCCGGCGTCTTCCGGCCATCCTCCAGTAGTGGTTACCAGTTGCTAGCATTTAACGGGTGAATGAGAGTGTTTTTGTTAATTTTTAATATTTTATTGTAGGGGGTGTTTAGTGAAATTAACAAATATAGGGGGTGTTTTGTTAATTTTTAAATTTTATTCTCGTAATAATAACCTAACTCAACTTTTTCAAAAATACTACTCAAAATATTCTACCAAACACAGCAAGTTTCCTCTTCGAAATAACTCCATAAGGGTTTTCATCAATAAATATATTGATCCACCATAGCCTTAGTCTTCCTTTGTCTATTTCCTCTAAATACTTATTATTCTTATAGACGAATATTATAAAACTTAATCCTTTGTATATATTTCTTTCGCTTTTTACTTATAGCATGACCATTACAGGAACGGATACATGTATGAGACGTTAAATCCTCATGTGTTTTTCACTCAAATGCAGATATTTCCAAGGCATTCCTGAGGCAGTTTCAGAGAGTGAGCAAAGAGGTGGTTGTGCTTGCTGAAGTGGAGCCAACCTGTTGGGCTGAATAATTACCGATATTTTGGTTTGGTAATTCTTCATTTTTGTTTTTATTCTTGGCAGTCCTTGTGATTCATGGCCATTTTTGTATACTAAGCTTCGCAGTTCGAGGCATGCTCAACTGTTATATTGATATTGGAAAAGACTTCTTGTTTGAGAAGATTTTTCGTTGTAGTTGATTGTTAATCTGGTTTTGGAGTTGGAATCAAATTTATTGGGCATGAATGTGATGCTCATTTGAGTTGTAGTCTGCTGGCTGCCACTGAAAATTGGGTGGAGTCATTTATTGTATTATGTTTCAGAATTGAACTTGGCAAATTTAATAACAAATGTATCAGTGAAATCATATCTTTAATTTAACGATTGCACTTCACTTTGTTTAAGAATCAAAACTAAAGGTGGAAAAATAACCTATCCGGCCCGACTTGTGGTAGGTTAAGCAAAATGACCTAGCCTGCCTCTTGGCCAAAAGGGTTGGCCCAGCTTGGCCTGCCAACCCTAACCCGACGGGCTTGGTACGAGCTGAGCCAAGCTAGCTTGGAATTTTTTTTGTTTTTTTGTTTTTTTTGTTTTATGTAATTTTATTTAACTAACTTTTCAAATATCAATAATTCAATTAAATTAATTTTTTTTTTTTTGTTAACATTTCAAATATTAATTCTATTCTAATACAATTAAATTGTAATATAAGAAAAATTAGATTTATTCATTTATTGAAAAATAAAATAAGAAATAAGAAATTACAACAATTATTGTTTCGTTAAAAACTTTACCAAGAAAAACTCAATTAAGACAAAAACTTGGTAAAGAAAAAAGAGTGTAATAATTGACAATTAATTTACAAAACAATTAATTTGGGAGTTGACTAGACCTTCCTCATATGTATCATTTACATTACAAAATTGAAATGATTCTATAAAAGTATTATCGACAACCTCATATTGATCTTGATGGCACAACCGTTCCCAATCTCGAAGACATGTGAGAACTTTAATCATTTTTTGTGAAAGTTTAGTCCTCATTTCGTTTAAAATTCTTCCATTTGCACTAAATGTTTGTTCGAATGAGATTGTTGAGACATGAACTGAGAAAACATCCAAGGCAAGTCTTGATAATACTGGAAAAATACATTTTTTTATTTTCCAATATTCTAAGACATCAAATTGGTTCTTTGTTGTGGATCTGCTGGTAGTACATCGGGGGTTCCCAAATATTGGTGAAACTCATTACTCTGTAGCTGCATAGAGGACAGTACATTCATTGTTGATGCTTCTGAAAAGGAGGATGTGCTTCGGGTTCGGGTCTTCTTCAGCCTATTAAGTGCACTCCAGAAGTTGAAGTCTTCATTTGTTTCTTCTGATACTACTTCCTTGAGTGTTTCGCCTCTTTGCTTGTTCTCATACATGTTTTCATATTGCAAAAATACCTCTGCAAGACACTCTCTTATCTCTCCTAGTTGACTGGCATATGCTTCATCTCATAAATTTTCACTTAACATGTCTAAACCATTTTCTAAACTCGCTAATTTAATTCAATGATCAACTATGGCAGGTAAACAATAAAGAAAATGAATGGGTTTCCAATGTTTTTTAAATTTTAATTTCATTGCCTCTATTGGTCCCGCTAAAATTTCATTGTTTCTGTTTTTTTTAAATAAATCTGAAATTTTTATAATTGTATGTATTACCAATGGACTGGTAGGATAATATATACCAGAAAGTTGTAAGGTGGATTGATAAAAAAATTTAAGAAAAGAGTGAAATTTTTTAGCTGTATGTCAATCATTGTCTACCAAATAATGAGAACCCTATTATTTACAACAAAATAACTAATTAAATTTGCAAAAGTTTCATCTAACGGACATGTCTAATGCAAAAGTTCTAGAAGACATATTTGATTTTATACAAGCATCTTGAAATTCAACATTTATTCTATTACTACTAGTAATTCAAGCTAAAGAATCTCTAATTCTATCAATATTATTTCTAATTTTTTTCAGACCACTTTTCACAATTAAATTAATAATGTGACATGCACGACATTAGTAAAAAAACTTCAAATTGTCATAAAAATGAAATTTTATTTTAAAAAAATCTATAGCTCTACTATCTAAAGTTAAACTTATCACTTTGTGAACAACATCATAATCTTCTAAAACTTCAATAATTTTATTATAAATTTGTTAACCACTATTATCCACATCTATTAATCTAAATCCCAATAAAGATTTATTTAATTTACATTCGTTATTAAAATAATGACTAGTCACACAAATATAATATTGTTTAGCTCTACCTCTTCAAATCTCGGCGGTTGGAGTCACACTAACATGACAACTATGTATTTTATTTTTTAATTCTAATTTCATTTTCCCAAACAATTTTATTAAATCATTTCTAGTTGAAATTTTAGAATAACTTTTAAATCCTGGAAAAAATGAATTTTTAACAAAATTTTCAAAATATTTATCTTCAACCATATTAATAGGTTGATCAGTTGCAGCAGTATATAAAACTAATTGTTCCCTATATACATCAGAATTATAACGCTAAGTAGTACCCACATTAGTTATTTGAGTTTGATTGGTTTCTCTATTTCCATGTTGAGTAATATATTTATTAGCATGTCTTTTTAAAGTACTAATGTCATTACCTGCATTAGCTTTATAAATATTTTCACAATACTTGTATCTTGCTCTTGAACTCCATTTTTTTGTCTTGTAAAACTTATCGAAATGCACCCAAACGTCTGATGTGTGCATGTCATCGGTTTCAACTGCAATTGATGAACCCGCTTATGCTAGAGATGGAGTTGGACGAGGACAATGATTACGAGGACGACTTCTAGAACCACCGAGAGCTGTAGTAGCATGGGAAGGAGGAGGGAATATTATGAGGTGTATCGGCTTCTGAGAATGGGAAAGCGGGATTATTTGAATATACTACATTTACGTTAGTAAATTCAGGGGGACTGGGATAATTTCCTTCATCATCGAAATTGATGGGATGAAAATATCTATCCATTCTAGTTTTTTAAAAAAAAAAAAAAATGGATATAGAAGAAATAAAGAATTAAAGAAGGAGAATTGGAATTTGGAAATACGAATTGAAAAATTAAAATGAGGGCAAATTGACAATAAAGAGAATGAGAGATTTCAATAGAGAAAATGAGAGAATGAGAGAATTTGTGATGTGAAGAAATATGAGAATTTATGCCCTATTTATAGAGAAAAAAAAATGACCAAAAAAACCTCTCCAACTGTTATAAAACTGCTATATTTCAAGGGTAAAATGGATATTTGCAAAAAAAAATAATTAATTAAATTTTTTTGTCCAACTCAACAGGTTGGACGAATTTTAAAAAAAAAAAAAAATATATATATATATATATAACCTGTCAGGTCGTTAGGTTGACCTATGAAGGCCCAGCCCACCCAACAGGATATATGTTGGCCGGGTTGAACCCGAATTGATGTGGATCAGATTAGGGTTGACCCGCCTAACCCTGCCCATTTGTTCTAGCTCTAATCAAAACTTTAGCCCTTCGATGGACAATAACTTTCGTGATACACTTTAATTTATGGCCTTTACCTTTGTTTACAAGTTAATTAGAAATTAAAAGGAAGATTTTACATCTGAGACATTGCCAGAATGACTGTCATTTATATGTATCTTAAAGCATTTGATTTCACCCAAGGAAAGGCAAAAGTTGTTTCAACAAAATTGTCCACAAAGATGACAAAACATAATTAAGTTTTAATTATTTCAACAACGAAATTAACATCACCATTATTTAAGGAATCCTCTACCGACCTCCATAATTGATCACTACAGCTTTTGACAATTTGTATTCAAAACACATTGGTAAAGAGGCTCTCTTGAGTTTATATTGTTAGTTCCTTCACCATATTCCAATACCTTCACTCTTGTGTCCTTTATTCTGAAAGAAATATTGGCTGCTACGATCTCTGCAGCGTTATCATAATGAGTCGATGGATGATTTGGAATTTTGCTTTATAGATCCCGCTCATGTTCCTCCATTAAGAGATTAATAATACATTTAATCAACCACTCCGGACTCCTGGGTGGTCAGGTGGAACGATAAAGATTTTTGGATATACTACTCAAAAGTCAAAAAGTTTCCCGTATACCTACAACCTCCAAGAATGACATTTTGGTCATGAGGTTTAGATCATGTAGAAGTTGAAAAGTGACACTTAGGTCATCCTCAGTTATTAACTATTTGAATTTAAATGAAAAAGTCTAAAATACCCCTAGAATTGTTTTTATACCTATGATATTAGAAATTAACATAACTTAGAAAAAAAAAAGTGTTAATATATAATCCTGTTAAAAATTTTAGAACAAAAATGTTAATTATAAGAAAATAAAAATTAACAAACTAGGGTTGTTTTAGACATCCACATCTACAAAACCTAAGTGTTGCGTTCAGATTCTACTGAACTTTATTTACATAAGCCGAACCTCAGGGAGCAAAATGCATTTAATTTATGAGAAATGATGTACATATAGTTTCATTATCAAATTAATTATTCACAAAAATAATTGATGGTCAATACAAGAAAATTACAATTATTGAACTATATATATATATATATATATATATATATATATTAATGTTTACATCTGTAATGCAATTAAAAAAAAATGTGATAAATGGACAAAAGATGGAGAAAGATGATTATTAAACATATGGATGAGTAATGTATTAACTTTGAGATTAGAATAGGACAATAATTTTATTGCCATACTATAATGTCCTTCATTATTCAGCTATTCTTTTATTTTTATTTAAGTGCTGCTGCTTCACAATATGATCTCTTCTCAACGATCAATTGCAGGCTATTATAACTACGCAATGTGCCCAACATAACCAAAATGAATTTCTATATTTGCTGAAACAATCTTCATAAATCCGATCCCTGATACAATTTGATACAGCAAGTGCCAAAGGCACACAGAGATCCATTCATATACATGAAATCGCTCAATATAGCAGGCGAAAATGGAATGCTCTCTGTAATTTGTACGGTTAATTAATCGTACATAATCTGGCAGCCTTTGAGCTCATCAACTTTAAACTTTTACAGCATCTCTCAGCAGCAGGTTCTATCACACCAATTTTCTGCCCTACCATGGTCAATTATTAAGCTTTTAGACATAGGACAGTACTAATTCAAATCTGCAATAAACTTTGTCAAAGTTGAGGTGAAAAAACAATCATTTGGCATTGCTAAAGAGTACTTGATGATCACAGTAATCATAAACAAGTAACAGTTCTTGAGATTTCTGCCTGTGCTAGTAAGAGTACCGTAAGTCTTTGTATTTGAAACTTGCCTCTTGCCTCTTTCATCATTCTATTATTTTTTCCATTAATGGGTAAATATTCGATTCAGATTTATGATAATTCAAAACACTCACAGTTGGTGTTATGAAGTAAATTGAAATACATTTTTCTAAACTTGCCTATTACTAGTGTTCAACAAAATGAGGCAGAGCGGATCTTCAGAACGCAGGCACCACAGCTGCTGGACGATGTAAACACATGTACTGATGCTGAAACGTAATGAAAAATAGTCATCAGCAGCAGTTCCAAAATAATTGATGCGCTATCAACAAATTTTCACCCTTAAACTGGTGAGATGAGAACACAAAGATAAATACATCATACAAAATATTGCATTATCTGATGCATATCAGTTAATAAAGGCTACTTAAATGGATTCATAACATTGCACATGTTTACAAAATGCAGTTTTTTAGAGGAAATAAATATAAATATAATCATGTAAAATGATATTACCTGCCGAAACATATCAATAGGATCACCCAAAGGAATGCATTAAACCAACTTGATTCTTTGTAGGCAACCCAAACCTGAAATAGCACATAAAAACATAATGCATTAATTATCTAAACAAAGGCATTAGATGATTATTAACAAGTTCACAGTTACTGTTATTCAAACCCAAAATTTCACTTCTTCTAGAAAGAACATCAAGAGAATAATGAAAAAACATACTGACTGTTACTCTCAATAATTATACTAACTGTTTCAAGTAATTGACCATGGCTTCAGTCAACACAAGAGCAAAGGCCATTAGCAAGCTTTTCTGCAGATCTTGCTATTCTGGACTCTCATATGCAAGGCTGAAAAGACATCTAAGATGCACTCTGCATCATTTGTTGCAAATAGATTTACAGTATTTTTGTTTCTATGAAGTCCAAACTAATTACTAAAATGCAGAAATAATCATTTATTTCTTCTCATGCATACTTTATACAAAATAAAATTTCACTGCGTAAATTATAAAGGATAGCTCTTTCTGCCGCATATGCCACACACAAGTTATCAACCAATTAACAGTTCTTCATGAGTATTGATTAGTCACTCTGATTCCCATATAAGAAGCTAACCCAGATTTAACTTTTGAGCAGAACTGCAAATATTAACTACTTTAAACATACCGACAAAGCCACAACATTGATATAGAAGTCAATTAGTGTTGCTGACATCCACCTGCAGACAGTTTAACAAACTCATTAGATTGACATGGCAAGCAAATAACCCACAAAGTGAAACCAGAAGAAATTTGAACAGAAGGACAAAGACAATCATGTGCTAGCATAAAGTAAAGAAAACCATTACAAGGTTCCAACACATGCATCAGAAGCACCTGTCTGATTATCGAGACATTTAAGAGGTCAGATTCTAGTCAAAATTGACTAAATATAGATGGCATGCTTTGATAATCACAAGTCTAATTGAGCACGTCATTCAGGGATCCACTCTTATTATCAGGCAGCCAAATTATGCAAAATATCGAACATTAAGATGAACAACCTATAGCTTCAAGCACATTGAATTTCCACCCCTCGGGGTTTGCCAACATTCAGTAAGAAAAATCATTTCTATCCATCCATGAAAACATCTTACAGCTATGAATTCTTAAGACATAAATGGTGGTATATCAGCAAAACAAAAGCCATAGCTCCGACACACTAAAGTTCAGTTAGATCAATCTTTATTATAAAACACTAGAACTCTCAGATTTACAGTCCCTATCATATGAACCACGCATAACATTTCCATATCTAAATTAGTTTTAGCATTTCCTGAATATTATTTTTGTTGTTCTAAATCTGACAAAGTTGCAGAACATTCATATAACAGCTCATAACACAAGGGGACTGCCAGGAAAAAAAAAAAAGGGAAAATGATAATAACTAAGAGCCAATCTAGAAAAATTAAAAGAATTTACAATATAAGTACAACAAACAAATAGTTAAGGCTAACTGTCCTTAGCTTTAAGATCAATATTACTGTAAATCCCCACCAAAGAAATTTCTAGTATACTTTGTACATTCTTCAATAATATAATTTACAGGGTGGGCAAGCTATTGGAAACAAAGACAAATTATTTAAACGAAAAAACTTACGGGGTTAAGAGCTCTTTGCGAAAAGGAGAACCATCAGTCAAGATAGTGTAAACCAGAGTTCCCAACATCAATAAACCCAAAACACCAAAAAGGATTCTGGCAGCCACAACAGGGGAGTTCTTCCTTTTATGTTCCATACTATTGTTAGACAAATAAATTTCTTATAAGTGCAACTCAATTAGAGAAGGAAAGACAATAATAAAGGCCAACAAGAAGGCATAATGCTCAATGTAGATACAATCCCGTAGCTTTACCAATCAATCTATAATTAACACATTATTATAAGGAATTGACTCTATAAAAGTAGTGAAAAGCTTCAGGAGTTAACAACTCAATAGAAACTTTGAAGAAACACTTGTATTGATTGTTTTATATCCATCGATTTCATTATTTACCAGTGCACAACTATGCATACAATATACCTGAAGATATTTGGACATACTTGATTGGATTCCGCAACAGAACATGGTACATGGCATCTTGTAAAGATTCTTGAGGTGACAACTTGAGAAATTGGATGAAAATGTAAACACAGGTGGTAATGCTGGAAAAGAAAAGAAAAAAAGGTTGAGGGTAAATAAGGGGACCTGATAAAAAAGTCAATTAGCATTGCATCAAAACATGTATCGATATTCATAATGACATAAGTAATTACCAAAAGCTAATCAAAAACTTCAATATTCATCATAAACAATAATCAACAAAATAACTTCATATGTTCAACATTGGAAAGAAGCAAGAGATGAGTTGCATATAAAGCATCATGTTAGAATGTCCGCTTCTATACATCACATGGTGATATATGGAATGTTTTCTAGGACTAAATTACTTGCAACTAATACATGATAATTGCATCTCATTCAATCAATAACAAGTATGACTACTATTCCATGAATCTGACTAAATCACCAAAGCTGAATACGATTTCTTGGCGAAAAATTGTAGTCAGAGAAAAACAGAGACACCAACAGAAGAACTGCAGAGCACGACACAAATCGACTTCTGGTTACTAATGAAACAACAGCATTAATATTATAATCCGTATAAATGGAAACATCATTAATCTCAAAAGCTTAAGCAATTAGAAATAGCCCAACAAAAATAGTAAGATAAAAACACAAGCCACAAGTGCAAATCCAGATTAAAGTAATACTTATGTATCAAACTCCAACACAAATCAATTAAGTTTGGATTCCGTATTTAGGAACATAAATTACCTACCTGCCAAGGCATACAAGGAGAATTATCCATATAATTGCACTAATCCAGTTTGATTCCTTGTAGGAAACCCAAGCCTGATACAATATACAAGTCCATAATTAAGTACAAAAACTAAAATTTTACTTATGAAGAAAAAGAAAAAAAAAATAACATCTTTCTTTCAGCCAAAAAAAATAAAAAAAAAATAAATTAAACTGAAAATCAACAAAAGATTTACTTAAAGCAGTAACAATTCATACCGCCAAAGGAACAACGTTGATGTAGAAATCAACCAGAGTGGCAGCCATCCACCTGAAACAAAAGAACCCATTTACACATACATTGTCTAAAGAAAACAGAAGAGAAGGAGAAGAGAAAGAGTTACAAACGGAGTTAGAAGGTCTTTGCGGAAGGGGAGGCCATCGGTGGAGATGGTGTAGCCGAGAGTGACGATCATGAGGCAGCAGAGCATGAAGAAGAGCGTTTTGAGGACACTTGCGAGAGACATAATGATCGCCGATTCAAAGAGAACACAGAGAGACCACAAAGTCTTTGAGTTTTGTGAAGGGGGATTGAGATGAACGGGTTTTCAAAATGTGGGCAGGGTGCGTCCACGATGCTCAACCAGAAAAGGAGGGAAAATTAACTGACGTCATTTCCGACTTTTTAACTACTGATTTTTCGTATTAACATTCGATTAAACAAATAATTCAGATTAAATGATAACATTTTAATATATTTATTTAAATTTTTTTTTTTTTTTTTTTTTTTAAGATCAATTCTGTGTTAGGAATGTGCTAAGAATCAAATTTCAGTTAAATCTTCTGCATTAGAAATTCAAAGAAAGATAGTTTTTTATTCGTTCCTGACTTGGGTAAATATCATTTAGGTCCACGAAGAAGCAGATCCAAGATATTTGGGTTTTTGTGACATTTACTCAACTACAGGGGGTAAAGTAATATTGATCCAAAGAGACAACATGTCGATATAACAATTAACAGATATGTTCTTTTTCATGATGATAGACATATCGTTAACATACTTATTAAAGACGTGATTTGTCGTTCTATTTATAACTGACATGTTGCTAAAATATTTATTTAATAGTTGACATGTCGTTTGCTTAGTGGCGGATTTACTTAATGACGAGTGGGGATCACGGCCCCCACTCAAACTTTAAAAAACTTCATATTGTATAAATATTTATATTTAGTTGCATTTTACCCATTATAAGACTTTGACATTTTGCCCTCATAAATTTTTTTTATTTATTTTTTGCCCCCATCAAGTGAAATTTCTGAATCCGTCACTACGTTTGCTAATCGATATGTCGTATTGTCAATATAACCCTCTTTCTTTTTAAGAATATAAAACCCCCCAAATGTGCCAATATTAAAGGACTTATTTAATAGTTATCACAAATAATATTTTTAAATTCGTTTCTTGAACGGCATGTCGTCCATCTCGGAAACCACCTGTCATCTATGACACGAACCATGTCGTACTTTAATGGTTAATAATTTTTAACCCCTGTCGATGTGTAAATATCCTATAAAACCTAATATCGCTAATCTGCGACTCTGCGTGGACTAGAATGGTATTTTCCCTGAACATTTTAACTATATTGATATTCTCTCTGTTCAAATTGTTTTCGTTCCTTTTTTTCTTCCTGAAAAATCATTTATTTTTAGAATTACGCCATAAATATACTCTTCAATTACATAACAAATTGGGTTCATTCGATGAACAGAAGAAGGAAGAGGAAGATTGCCTCAGCCATTTGTTTGTTGGCTAGGTTGAATTTAACTGAACGATGATATATTTAACTGCGATTGATCTTACGAAATTCTCAGTCATTTTTTATGAATCTAGTTTTTTATAAGATTCGAACTAAGGCATGCAATTTCTTTCACTAAAACTGTAAAATTTCCATTTTCTTTCCAGCACTGCTACTCTTTAACAATTTTTTGTGTCATAAAACAGACACTGCTTTTGAACCTTTTTGTTTTCTCTTCATTATCAATGGTATATTTGATTATTAGTAGAATTATTATGGAAATTAATCGTTAATTCCAAAACCATTGTCTGTGTAAAAGGGAAGTTGGTAAGGAAATGAAGGTGACAATGGGGGAGTGTAATCGCCGATATACTGGAGAATTGCGCGGTGACATTTGTTTTGTCATATCCAGTGAAAGCTAACTTGTCACTGTAAAATTGTCTAGCAGCCATGTAATAGTGAGAAGGAGTCTGGTTTGTTGAGAGCAAAACATCAATTGTTTGGCCATGGTGAAGGGTTTTAACCAGGCTCCATCCATTCCAACTTCCCAATCATAAAGGAAGTGATAAATTACCTTTGGAGAATGCACAGAAGTATCCTGGTTGCCCATTGACAACATAAGAATCTGATATGGGTAAGTCAACCCCGGTTACCAGATCTTCTTCAACAAGTAAAGTATGTTCACATCATAGGTATACCAGATTTGAGGAGTATTCTTAAGACTTTGCTTTGCGTGTGTGTAATGATAATTCTCCAACCAAGTATGACGATTTTTTGTCCATCAGGAGTTGGATATGGATGGGAATAAAATGTTAGTTGTTGAGGGTAAATGACAATGATGCCGTGGACGGTGTTTCGAGTCCAGTTACTATGAGCATGCAACCAGAGCCAGAGGGTGCCTTCTTCTTCGGAAAATATATATGACCTCATATGTTAAGTTTGTTTCAGGTTCTATTAGGTACTGTGTGATGAATACCCTGGACCATATCTGACCATGGATTTCTCGGCTGCTTCACTCCATGCCTGGGAAAAGAATACTAGTGCATATAAATCACTAAATCATTACCTCAATGCGTTTTCTTATTGAAACTAATTAATTCATAAATTATTCGTGAATTATTTTATATCCCTGTATACCTTAGCTTGTATGTGAGATACTCAGAAGCGGAAGAAGTAACTAACAAGAAAAGAAAAGAACAATAATAATATTAATTTATTAGCCGAAAAAGTTGGAAGATCAGAGAATATTTAACGACGGATTCCAGATGAAAGGGCGCTTGTCAGAAGCAAAAAGTACTAATAATTAACTAGCTTGAAATTAATTAATTAATCAAACTCTTTTAGTAATTTCTTAAATAATTAATCACCTGGGATGATTGGGTGGAGTGATAAAGACTCTTGAGTATATTATTAAAAAAAAATTTGAGTTTGATTCCCCTTAATAGAGGTGTATAGGTAATCACTGGATCAGTTTATCCTATTGTTAACTTCAGATTTCGGAAGATTAGTTAAGGTGTGTATAAGTTAACCTGAATGTTTTAGTCACAAAAAAATTAAATAAATAAATAAATAATTGAGATTTGATACCTAATTCATTCTCAAAATCCTTAAGTAACCAACAATTTTATGATTTTGTCTTTGCCTCCTCCTCTTATTTTCAACCATAAAATTAACTCTTAGTTGAATACAGGCATATATTGTTTTGGGTACCCCATATCCTCGCACACACTCAATCTGTTTAGCAAAAGTATGGAATGTTTAGTTAAATATTCAATATAATTTTTAAAGATTTAGTTTCATCCAAGTAACGGCCTTAATTAGTAATGAGGATTTAAAATAGTATTCGTTGATCAATTTAAGAGATATTCAATAACTAAAAGAAATATGATCCTTTCTTTCTTCAAATGGAACAAATAAAAGCAAAATTCTACAAGCAAAAAAGCAAAAAAGTTATATATATATATATACTGAAAAAGAAAATATGAGATTCTTTTTATTAAAAACAGCAATGCAAATTCTTATATTTATTTATTTATTAAATTAAAACTCAAATAATAGAAAATTTAACAATAAATAGACTTGTTAGCGTCAATAATATATTATTTTTTTAAAGCTAAATCAATATAACAGAGTGTTTAGTTTATAAATGTGAGTCAAATAATTAACATCACCCAAAAACTAAACACTTTTATCCAATAACATTAACACCAATTAAAGCATAATTTAACCATTAATTATTACGATTTAATAACTAATTTTCTTAATCTAATCGCTACATAAAATATTCATAAGAGATATACATTTATTTATTTGTTCAATAATTTATATTTACCTTAATTTAATTGTATTGTTAAACGAAAATTCTTCATTTCCAGGATTATATTTTAATTCATCCAACCACCCTTTATAAAAAAATAAAATAAAATTTTAAGACAGTTTAAAACTTTAAATAATACATAATAATTTTAAAAAGAATAAAATAAAATTGTCAGTTAAATTTTTCTCTTTCACTGTTTATTCCTTAATTATCTTTTTAGTACCCAATAGCCACGACAGTTCAGTGTGCCACGTGTCCACTTCTCATTGACGCATCAAATAGTTCGTGAGTTCGTCTCACCCACGCCAATCTCTCTTGACTACTTCGTAACTAAACATAAACCGAAAAGAAAAACCAAAACAAAAACGGAAAAACAGAAAAACACAGAGACAACATCGGACCCCACACCACTTCATCCATCGCCACGTCATCATCCACCCACACGTGCGCCTTTAAATGCTTTCCTCATCCACCACGAAACAATAACTTCCAAACTTAAAACGCACCGTTTGAGTCCCCACCACTCACGAGACCCTCTCCCATACGTCAACCATATTTTTAATTAATAAAATACAACCGATCATATCTTGCCACATGCTCATCAGTTAATGACAAGTAATGTTTGTTTTAATTAAGCTTACATGGCGTGAATTAAATGGATGGAAGCACTACATAATGTTGGGTACGTTTTCAGGGAATCAAAATCGCACTCTCATTCCTGTATAAATTCTCTCGCTTGTCAGTTCATTCTATTTCCCTCCTCTTTCTTTTGCTCTTCAGAGGAAAAAAAAAAAAAACTAAAAAACAAAAAAAAAAAGAAAAAAATTACCAAAAATAACCAAAAAAAAAGTTGAATAAATATTTACAAAAATATCGAAATTCACATTCCATTTATATCAAGGCACACTCCAAACCCTAGTTTTTATCTGTAATCGTCTCGGCTTCAGATTTTTTTTTTTTTTTGGTACAGTTTGAGGATCATTCTTCTAGTTTCAATTTTTGTTCTTGTTGTTCGGTTTGATTGAGTGAGAGAGGGAGAGATGGCAACAGCGGGAGTAGCCGCGGCAGGTACGGCGGTGGCGACGGCGACGGCGGCGTTCGGAAATGTGTCGCTGTACGTAGGGGATCTGGAGGAGAACGTGAACGAGAGCCAATTGTATGATCTGTTTAGCCAGGTGGCTCAGGTGGTCTCTGTTAGGGTTTGCCGTGATCAAAACAAGCGATCTTCGCTCGGTTATGCGTATGTCAATTACGCCAATCCACAAGACGGTAATTTCAATTTCAATTCAATGTGATTTAATTCAGTTGAGAAAGAAGTGTGTTTGCGTTTGATGATGAATGTGATTTGATCGTTTTGAGTGTTTGTTTGTTTGTGGTATGAGAACGCATTTTGTGTGATCAATGTGGGGTGTTTTGTTGGATAAAGTGCAAAGTTAGTTTTTTTATTTGAGAATTAATAATTATTATTTTGTTTATGTACTATTCTATTAATGTATGGTAATTCTCTCTCTATAAATATGTATTGTTTACTGGGTGGGGTTGGGATCATAGTGTGGGATTATTATTTTTTTAATTTTTTAAAAGGTGTAGATTGCTAATTTTTAGTTTGTGTTAGATTATCAAATTAAAGTTACGAAATTGAAATCTAACCTAAATAAATTGTATGCATTATGGAATGTTGAGATACAGTAACTGAACAATCTAAGGGTGTCAATCATCCTTTTTATTGGTGTGCTGAGTTTATTTTGGAAAGTTGAAGAATTGGAGTTATTAACAGGATGGTTTTCAAGTCATGCCACAGATTACTACTAATGACTTCTCTTTTCCTATTTTTTATTATCATCTCAACTAGGCTAATTTTGTATTCTTATAGGTACTTTAGTAAGATTTTTTTACCATTAAGGTTAACATTTTACTAGGAAAAAAAAAAGTATTTTTATGCTGGTTATCGTCAATTTTACTGGAAATTGGTGGTTGTGATTTACATTAGTTTTTATATAATTTATTATGTTTAGTCTTTTGTGTTTGATATATAGACATATAAGTTGAGCACACACACTGTAGTTAGTGACTGATTAATCAGAAAGTGGGAATCATGTCTGCTCTGCATATGCTCTATTTGCACTCAGATTACTTAACCATATTAGGAGTTTTAAGTAGTTGTTGTCTCTTTTATGTTTTCTTATTCTTTGTTAAGTGTTGTATTGACTCTGTTTATGATTTTAAATTGCAGCTGCTAATGCCAAGGAGATTTTGAACTTCACTCCTCTCAATGGGAAACCTATTAGGATTATGTATTCTCATCGAGATCCCAGCATCCGCAGAAGTGGATATGCCAATGTTTTTATTAAGAACCTGGACGTATCAATTGATAACAAGGCATTGCAAGACACTTTTGCTGCCTTTGGTAATGTACTTTCTTGCAAAGTCGCTCTTGACAGCACCGGTCAGTCGAAAGGATATGGTTTTGTGCAGTTTGAAAATGAGGAAGCTGCACAGAATGCGATTCAACGGTTGAATGGCATGTTGTTAAATGATAAACAAGTTTATGTTGGTCTTTTTGTTCGACGCCAAGAGAGGGCTCATAAAAGTGTTTCACCTAAGTTCACTAATGTTTATGTCAATAATCTCTCTGAAATCACAACTGATGAGGACCTTAAGAAAGTTTTTGGCCGTTATGGTACCATCACCAGTGCAATAGTTGTGAAGGACTCAAATGGAAAGTCTAGATGTTTTGGTTTTGTAAATTTCCAGATTGCAGATTCTGCTGCTGCCGCAGTGGAGAAGTTGAATGGGACCACCAATGGTGACAAGGTTTGGTACGTGGGCAGAGCACAAAAGAGATCTGAGAGGGAGGCAGAGTTGAAAACTAAATTTGAACAGGAAAGAATCAGTCGATACGAAAAATTGAGAGCTGCTAATTTATATCTGAAAAATCTGGATGACAGTGTAAATGATGAAAAACTGAAGGAATTATTTTCTGAATTTGGAACTATAACATCATGCAAGGTATTGTTTCATATAACTTACTTCCTAGTTTTTTAATTCCTATTTTGACTGTTCTTATTATTTTTGCTTTTTCTACTGTTACATATTTAGTTTTGGTTTTTTCCTCAAATATAACTCTTCCAGGTAATGCTTGATCCGAATGGGGTGAGCAAAGGCTCTGGTTTTGTTGCCTTTTCTTTGCCTGAGGAAGCTACAAGAGCTGTAAGTTGCTTACTGTTCATTCTCAGAAACTTCTGTCGACCATGCTTTTGCATTATTTACTTGCTTGGTTTGTTTCTTTATGCATAAAGTTTTCATCTCTCTCTCTCTTTTTTGGTTGTAGTTGAATGAGATGAACGGAAAGATGATTGGCCGGAAACCTCTCTATGTTGCTGTGGCCCAACGCAAAGATGAAAGAAAGGCTCGGCTGCAGGTGATTTCTGGTTGCATGTTTTGGTCATTTTGGAGACCTTTTATTATAGATATGGTCATCCTTGAAGGAGATTTTTTACACACCATGTTGTTGAAAGCACATTTTATATTTTTTGAGTCCAGTGATCATATTTTTCATTTTTAGGCACATTTTGCTCAAATCCGAGCACCTGGTGCAATGTCACCTCTGCCTTCAGGAATTCCTGGGTATCATCCTGGGGCACCTAGGCTTGGTCCTCAGCAGCTTTATTATGGTCAAGGTACTCCTGGTTTAATGCCCCCTCAGCCCGCGGGATACAGTTTTCAGCAACAAATTTATCCTGGAATGCGTCCTGGTGGACCAAATTTTATAATGCCATATCAAATTCAAAGGCAAGGACAGCCAGTTCGGCCAATGGGAGGTGTGAGACGAAGTGGAAACCCCCAACAAATGCAGCAGTCGCAGGTGCTTTAAAAAACTTTCTCCTATTCTTTTTCCTGCATCATTCAAATGGTCTAAATAGTATTGTCAATTTGTATGGTTATTTTATTAAATTTACAAATACGGCGGATTTTTTTTTCAAATGTAAGACTTGTTTAAGGATCCTTGAAATGCACAGTATTCTTAATGTTTTCACGTTAAGACTTTAATAGGCTAGGAGTGCACTACTTTCTAAATGTTTTTTTTTTTTACTTTAAGCCTTTAATAGGCTGGGAACTTGCTTAGTTGACATATTATGACAGTTTACCAAATTATTTGTTAGGTGCTCTACCCATTATTTTCTCCTCTTTTTTTATATTTGACTTCTGACAAAAGCAGACTTGGTTTTAGATTAAAACTTCTCAGTGCTATTTGGCTGATTTATCTTGATGATAATGGTGTGCTGTTCTGATTTCTACAAAATGTTGCTGTATGTAGATCCTGTTTGGGTTATGTGTTTTAGTAATGTTAATTATTTGTTCATATCTGATATTATATCTGACCCACTTGTTTTTAACTTTTGGATTACTCCTATAGGGACTTAGATACCTGAACAATGCAAGAAATGGAATCGATCCATCTGTTGTTTCAATGATGCCGATGTCCTTTGATGCTTCGGGAATGCCTGTGACTCCTATTGAATCCCCGCGACCTGGGCCAGTACCAATTTCAACGCTTACATCTGCTTTGGCATCTGCCAGCCCAGCTGACCGCACGAGGGTATGCAATATTTTCTTCCCTTGCTTTTAAACCTAATTTGGTCAAGGTTTCAAGGTTTTTTGAATCACAAATACTCAAAAGCCTAACTGGGTTACTGATCTTGTTCCACATACAGATGCTTGGTGAACAGCTTTATCCCCTTGTGGAGAGTGTTGAGCCTGTTCATGTATCGAAGGTGACTGGAATGTTGCTGGAGATGGACCAAACAGAGGTGCTCCATCTTATCGAGTCTCCAGAAGCTCTGAAGACGAAGGTGGCTGAGGCCATGGCTGTTCTTCAGGAAGTTGCAGCAAGATCTGATGTTAACGATAAGCTTGGCTCGTTGGCGCTGAATGAATGAAGTGCCTTTGATTCTTCTTGGTAAATACATTGATTTACAGGTTCCTGGTTTCGAGCTCATTTTTTAAGGGCTGATGCGCTGTCATTGTTTCTGGGGTTTTCACCTAGGCTAATTTTCTAGGTTTTTTTTTTTCCTTTGTGTTTGGTCATTAACTTCCAGCAACTTGATTGCTGCAATTCTTTTAGGCTTTTGATTCAGTATGGAGTTTACTAAAGGTCTTAAGTTTTAGGATTATTATCGGATGTGTTTCCCTATTTATTTTTGCACAGAATGTTTTTATATGATTAACATTATAGGATTTGATTTGGGATATTGGTAATAGTATTTTAATCTGACATGTTCATGTTTGTTTACATATGCTTTGATATCTTTTGCGGAAATGACTCAAATTCTTTCTCCCTATGAACTACTTTTTCACTAAGTGCATGGATGGCTGAGTTGGTCATAAAATTGCCTGAATTTTTAGTATTAGATGCCTTTTAGCACATATTGCACGGTTGCACAAACAGTTTTATGCAGAAGTGGAAGGTTTATGGTTATCGGAAAGCTTCAAATGAAATCGGGGTGAATGTCATCTTCTACTCTCTGATCATTTGTCGTGGTCTCAAAAACACCATTGCTCCAATTGCCTATTTGATCTGCAATCTTTCTACCATTCAAACCTTGCAATTCATCTTCCTCATGGGTTAAGTAATTATCCCATTTTGAAGCAGCTTTCCCCTCTTTCGGCAAATGAGGCCTCTGCTTCTTATCACCTTCTCCCCATTTCGAAGCAGCCTTGGCCATTTTTGTCTGGCGAGCCCTTGGGGCAGCTTTGGTCATCCCTGGCTCCATGTCATTTTGAGTCATGTAATCCCTGCATTTTGAGGCAGCCGTGGCCTTTCTAGCCTGGCATGTCTTTGGCTCTATATCATTTTTAGTCATGTTGGTGTTTTTTGGCTGGCAGGTCACTGTCTCCATGTCATTTTGAGTCATATAATTGCTCCATTTTGATGCAGCCATGGACATTGTTGCCTGGCAGGTCGTCGGCTCCGTGTCATCTTGAGTCAAGTAACTGCTCCATTTTGAGGTAGCACTGGCTCTAGCCTTCTCATGTTCCCTTGTCTCCTCGTCTCCAACTTCAAAAAATTCAAAATATAAAGTTCTATGAAAACACTTTCAGAAAATTATCAATAAGCTAATGAAAAAATGGCTGTGATGAAACCCAATCACTACAATTCATAATACTTTGTCAACACAATCTATCAAGCAACTAAACAAAGAAATTTGTAATTACCTTGACCTTGAGAATTGAAAAATGTTTTCTGAAGTTCATCATCTCCTTCCCCACCGGTTGTTGTATGATACTTATTCAACTTGGGTTTCTTATTTGGAATCTCTTCTTCAATCTCTGCCTCAAACCCACCTCCCACACCACCTAAATTCATCAATTTCAAACATTTGATAAGAGGTTTGTATAACAGTTTCAGTGTCTTCGGTTTATATTGATAGTTTTTTTTTAATTATTATTATTAAATAAATAAAAAAAAAAAGAGGAAAGAAAGAATAAAAAAAAAAAAAAAAACCTTGTTCTTGTTCTCGTGAGCGCGAGAGTTTGAAGGACTGGACGAAGCCAGAAGATCCTTGGCCATGAATCCCTGCGCAAACACCTTCCGAACGGACTGCTTCTCGTTGCAAACCACGCACGTCCACTTGTTGCTGCTCTTCTCATTTGCTTTACCTGGTAATCGAACTCAATACAAATACATACTAATCAAATTTATGTACAGAAAGTGTATATGAAATCACCAAAGAGAAAGATTGGAGAAACATATAATTTGCCTGCATCATTGAGCACTGGCAACATTGAACGCGATGAAGATGGTGTTTGGCATTTTTTTTAGTTTAGATTTTCGTTCAATTTCTGTGATCGATTTAGGGTTTTGATTTTTTTGGCCGAGAGCTTTTATCTGGAAAATTTGAGTTTTGGCGCAAATGTTTTTAACTTTTAAAATTTGGGTTTTTAGGATTTAATGGGCCCAAGTTTTTTGTTTGGACTACCTGACTTATCGAATGGGCCATTTGGGTTAGATTTTTGATAATGGCCCAATCATTCATCTATTGATTTCATCACATAATTAAAGCCTTATCGGATTTGTGTTTTTTTTTTTATAATCACTAATACTATACATACATCATTTTCATACAATATTTTCTATAATATTATGTGATAAGATATGATTGGCTAATTTAAAGTTAAATTAAACTTTTACCCATCACATCTTGACACATAATATTGTATGAGAATGTTGTATGGAAATGATGATTGTAGTATTTATAATAATATATATTAATTTCATTACCTTTTACCCACGTCTCTCTCTCTCCTCCCTTTCCTTATTCAATTCTTCAAAACGTAAGCTTTAAACTATAGTAATAATCATTTACGTATGCTGATTTTAAATGCTTAAAATACAGAAGTTAGAAAAAACCAGAGAATATCGTAATTCATATAATATTAATAAAATATATATATAAAAAACTTATACGTGAAACTTTTAATATGTAAACCAAAGATAAAGCTGGTACACGAATTTAGGGATTTAAGAATACTTTACATTAAATTGACTAAAAAAAACATGTGTCATACACACTAATGCAATAAAAGAGCGTTTGTCATACGCATACGCTGCTGATGCGGAGAAGAATTTTTCCAGAAAGAAGTAACTGTAAGTGTAACTTAACCTTCACAATTCTTCACTAACGTTCACATAAGAACAGTCTCCACTTACACAAACAAAATTTCAGTTGGGCTTCTTCCCACTTCACAATTTCTCCAAAACCAAAAACCTCTCCTTCTTCCTCTCAAGTCTAGACGCTTCTTCACATAAACCCCACCACCCACCTCCACTCTTTTCTCCCCCTATGTCTTTAGATTCCCACATTGAGAGAGTCCTCTGGACGCCCGACCAAATCTCTCACCGGGTCGCCCAGCTCGCCGCTCATATCACCCTCGATTTCCAACCCGTTTCGCCGCCGCCCGTCGTGGTGGGTGTCGCCACTGGTGCTTTCTTGTTCTTGGCCGACTTGGTCCGCCAAATCCCGCTTCCTGTCTCCGTTGATTTCGTTCGCGCTGAATCCTACGGCTCCGGTACTCAGTCTAATGAAGCACCATCCGTTTCCATTAATCTTAAAGTCGATGTTCAGGACAAGCACGTTATCCTGGTATTCTTATCGTTATCGTCTTTGTTTTCATATAGTTTGAAATTAATAAAAATACTAACTTTTGATCATTTCAATTTATTTATCTTATTTTTAGTAGATTGTTTTTGTTGTAACGAGCTTTCTGATAAATTTTATGAAACTTTTAAATGAAGATTTATGATAAATTTTGGGTGGTTTATGCTAAATTTTATGAGTTCATTGAAGAATTTATAGGTTTTAAGTCTTTAAATTCTTAAGAGTGCAAAGTTAGTGATACATTTCGGATTTTCTATGATATTATGGAATTTATGAAATTTTTATACTTATTCTGTGGTCAGGTTGAAGACATTGTAGATACAGGATGCACTTTATCTTGTCTCATTGCACACCTGAAATCAAAAGGAGCATCCTCTGTATCAGTATGCACTCTACTTGATAAGCCGGTGAGACGAAAGGTTGAGGTGGAGCTTGTGGGTGAAGGGAAATTCTATTGTGGGTTTCAGGTAAGTTGTGCGTGTGTGTGCATCAGAATGCAATGCCCTTTTGCAAATTCATGTGGTCTATAAAGCACACTGTTGCCAATCCTTTGATATCACTTTGTTTTACTGGTACTTATTGCCTTTATTGATTTGAATTTTTTTTGAAAGTGGTTATAATTTATTTCAATTACTATGAAGAACTTGGCCATGTGTCATATACTAGTCAACATTGTGCAATGATTTCCCATTATGTCGTGTTGTTACGTTAGGTTCCTGTGACCTGGTGAGGAACTGACCTCTGTTCACCATGAGTCCATGACCAGTAATTTTATGATGTTCAATTGTATCTCAGCACTGGAATATTGTTGTACTGGCAGTGTTTAAGATGAATATCCTATATGCCTTTCAGCTCATTCTGGGAAGACTAAAATAACATTTTCTTAATTGTTCATTTCTTCATAGCAACCAATCATCGATCTTAAGCTAAACTGTTTCTTAATTTTTACAAAGAAAAAACTATATTTTGTGGAAGGTTTCGTTTCACAATTGTGTTGTTCTCTTAAGAGTCATCGTTGATGATTCATGTGTATTTATGACTCTGTTTAACTCCCAAACTAATCACAATATTGTTAATTTTGTTCCTCAGTTATTATTATAAGTGACAATCATGGCTGGTGATAGATGTGAACGTGAACATGATCTCTTTGTACTCTTTGTGTGCAGTGTCCAGACTACTTTGTTGTAGGCTACGGAATGGACTTTGCTGAACTATACAGGAACCTACCATATGTTGGTGTGTTGAAGCCGGAATACTACAAGTAATTTTGATTTGCAACTTCCCCTGGAGCAGGTTAATGAAGTATTCAATGAAGTAGAACCTTAGTAATGTTCATAGAATATTGATTTTACTATCAAGTGTAGTTCTCATTTTAGTTCCTGATAAGATAAATAGTGCTAGGTTACAGCGATCTCTATATTAGGTTGATTATTTGTCTTCTGATTCATAAATTTGAATCAGTTTTTAGTCTTGGAATTTTGAATTAGAACTCTATATTTTCCCATTGGGAAGCCATGAAATACTTAGTTCATTTCAAAGTTGTCATAAAACAAAATTGAATTTATTCTGATTAGTTGAAAGTTGCAAATCTATGAAACATGTTGTTATCTTGGTTTGATATGCAATTAGATTAGACAAGTACTGCATCCCTCTGAATCAGCGTTCTATTTAGGACCAATTGAACTCCATGAGATAAAAGCTCCGATGTTCCTCTAGTAGCTCATTGGTTTTGTGATCAGATATTAACTGACTGGTTTTAACTTTAAGTACTACATAGATCCCTTTTCCCTTGGGCCTCCAAGCCTTTTCTCGAGGTAGCAGCCTGGGCCCAAGGTCAACCTGCCACATAGGCGTAAGATTATTTATTCATGCTCTGACACCATTTGATAAAAACTCACTCCCAAATCGATAAGAATTGGACTGGACAGTGGGCGTTTGGTACAATTGGGTTCGGCAGTAGGCTTTTTGTGGACTTGAGTGTAACTTTCCTTGGAAAACTGGTTTGCCAAGGGAGGGTGCTCAAGCCCTTTATACCCACATGCCTACCATTTTCCTTTCAAATGTGAGATTCTAACAGAAAGCAAGATAGGGTGACCCCATTGGTATTCATAAAATGGGTATGTGTATAGTATAGTTAAGTTACTTGCTGCACAAAAGATACATTGATCTGGGCAGGGGTTGAGTGAAATGCCCAACAAGACTTCATAATAAAAAAAAGAAAGGAGTAACGGAAAACAAACTACCTGCAGTGCTTTCAGACTGATAGGTTTCAAGTTATGTTCGCTTGAAATAGTTCAGTATTGTTTCTACCAAGCTCAAGGCGATTTCAGAATATGCCTTCGATTGTGCTAGTTAAAACAGATATCTAATAGGGAAGTATAAACCTTGAATTGTTGTCATCATGTTTCGATTGTGCTAGTTAAAACAGATATCTAATAGGGAAGTATAAACCTTGAATTGTTGTCATCATGTTTACATTTCCAGGTGATCCGGTGCAAACTAAAGCCTTTGGCATTCCAAAGTGCTTGCATTCAGTGGATTATGATACATGGGAATGGAATTTTTAGGATCGCTTCATTGCAGACGAGTACAACGAGATATCCGGGGCCCCTGAAGACAAAAGGCAAAGGCAGATTCTGCCTATCACAAATGTAGACTGTCTAGGGCTCCGTTTAGTTCAAAATTTGGGGGTTTTGGGAAAAGTTTTTTGAAAAAAGTTAAAAAAAAGTTGAATTGGGCGGGTATTACGATGTAGAATTTATAAATTAATAAAATACCCTTTATGTTTGTTTTTTTTACAAAATACCCCTTATAATAAAACATTAAAAGTTAACAAAAATACCCCTAACCCACCCTCAAACACCCCCAGCCGGCGACCACCAACGGAGGTGGCCGGAGTCGCCGTATGGGCGCATGACTGGTTGGATCTTACCGGTCATGCGTCGCTATTGCCTTTTCCGGCTAGATCTACGGTCAGATCTGGCCGTATTTGCTCTCAACGACGGCCAACAAACGGTCGTCGTTGATGGTCAACGACGACCGTTTGTTGGCCGTCGTGATCGAGTGTTACGGCCAAAGATCTGGTCGTCAACGGCCAGATCTTTGGCCTTAGATCTGGCCTTTTCCGGCCAGATCCACGGTGGATTTGGCCGGAAAAGGCTAGATCGGCGCACTACCGGCCAGATTCAGCCGGTAGTGCGTCATCCTACCAGATTCCGGTCATTTTCCGGTGGTAGTGGCCGGAATCTGGTAATGTGGATTATTGGAGTGTTTTTGTAATTTTAAAAAAAATATTTAGGGGTATTTAATTAAATTATCAAATTTAAGGGGTTTAAAAAAAGTTGAATAATATTGAGAGTAGTATTCCCAAAAATCTGAGTTTTTTGATATTTTACTGTTTAACTTTTTTGGAAATACTAAAAGTAGTATTCCCAAAACTGAAACAAACGCAGCATAGATAATTCAAATTGACTGTTCTTTTTATAACATTTCAGAAGAGCTTTTTGCTTGGCTGCAAACGCCCAAAAATAACAATGTGGGTGTTTTTGTTTGGGTTGAACAGCGGCCTTGGGGATTGATTTTATTCTTGTCAGGATTCCCAAGTACTTCGGAGTAAAAGTAAATTTTATCATAGTATTTTAAACTTATTGATTTAAAATAATAAAAAATAAAAAAAACTTATGAATAGCATATCGGTATTATCATAAATCAACTAAATATCTCATCCGGGGAGTGAGAGATTCAGAGTCAAAAAGAGGATTCCTCACTTGTTTCTCTCATTTAAAATCAGATTTTATCTCATATGGTTATTATTATTATTACCTTTCATGTGCATTTATAAGATTGAATTCATCTCCTTTCTAAAAAGAATTATTTTTTGAGGAATCCTATTTGCGTTTGCGATGTTTGGGCTGAATTTGGGCCTACAATCTTTGGTTTCATGCGGGCCCAACAAAACATGTAAATTTCACCTTTAGAAATTAGTAACAACAGAAGTTTTTGAGTGAATTCGTCTTAGGAATCTTAAAAAGTACTTTTATTTTAATGTTTTTTTTTTTTACTCTTAAATGAGTTGAGATGACATGTCTGAGCATCGGTGTTAAAAAATAAAATAAAAACACAAGACCTTCCAACGAACTGACCTCAACTCAACTGAAGAAGAAGCATCAATCAAAATCACCATGAAAACAAGAACCAAATCACTTGTTTTCAATCTTTCAAAACTCCTTTCTTCAATCAAACCACCGTTCCTCAGCCTCAGACCTCTTTCCTCCACCACCAACCCAACTGAACAAGCCCCACTTCCTTCAAAACCCTCCACCGACAATAAGGACTCTTTCATTCTTGAAAGTTTCAGGCTCAGACAACTCAAGAGCTCTCTCAAAAATAACCCACAACAACAGAACAAAACCCCAGAACCAGCGTCTTCAAATGCGGCGCCCTCTGAAGTTGTGTCAAGTTTTGAGGAACTGGGGTTGAAAGAGGAGGTGATCAAAGCTGTGGAGGGGCTGCTAGGTGTTTTTGTTCCTAGTGAGATTCAGTGTGTTGGGATTCCTGCTGTTTTGGATGGAAAGAGCATTGTTTTGAGTTCTGGTTCCGGTTCTGGGAGGACTTTGGCTTACTTGTTGCCTCTTGTTCAGGTATATTATCTTTATTTAGTTGGTTTTTTCATGTCAAATTCTTCTGGATATCTTTTTTGTTTAGTTTTTCTTTGTGGGTGTTGTGAAAGTTTTGAACTTGATGCTAGAGTTTGGTTTTAGGTTTTACTTGAGAGATTGTACCAAAAAGTCAAATCTTTTCTTTCAAGATTACTCATGTTTGCTGAATTTTTAATTGATTATGGGGTATTTTAATAATATTGTGTCTATTCTATGTATCATGATGCAAGTTCAATTGTTTTTCTTGTAATATATTATTTTCCATTCTTGCTAGCTTTCAAAGTGATCTGCATTTTTTGTAGGTCCTGATTTTGATTCGAAAATAAAAATAGGAGTGGTTTTGTGAAATTGAATATCAGAATATGTTGATATTCGAAAAGAATTTTGATCCCAATTTGATGAAGGAGAATCTCTTAATTGGTTAATGTTGTGCAGATGCTGAGAAGGGAGGAGGCATTGTTCAGTATGAAGCCCAAGCATCCTCGAGCGATCGTGTTATGCACCACTGAGGAGTCAGCAGACGAGGTTCTGTGTGCTAGACTCTCGTATTGTACTTTCTGGAGAATTTACATCTTAGATGGACTGTAATGAGATCACCCTTAAAAAAATGATTTTTCAATGTTCTTTGCAGGGTTTTCGTGTAGCAAAGTTTATCAGCCATTATGCTCGATTAAAATCTTCGATGGAAAATGGTGGAGATAGCTCAAAAGCCCCGGAGGACGTGTCAAATGCCCCAATTGGCATACTAGTTGGGACCCCTAGGGAGGTTCTTCAGTATGTAGAGGATGGAAGCATTTTATGCAATGACGTCAAATATTTGGTCGATATACTAACATGTTAATTTATTCAAGGCTTTTTTTTTCTGTGTGCTGTTTTCTAAATATGGATATGTGGTGTCAGTATAAGTTTTTCTTTAAATTTTAAAGGTCCCTATATTGAATGCCTTGCATGTTTGTTGATTACAATAATCTTGTGACAGGTTTTGGATGAGGCGGACACCTTGTTTGAACATGGGTTTGGTCCTGAAATTAGCAAGATCTTGAGCCCACTAAAAGATTGTGCATCAAAGTCAAGTAACCAAGAATTTCAAACTATTTTGGTCACTTCCACAATTTCAGAGGTATGTAAATGCGTTGACATCTCAGGAGAGTTATTGTATGTTGATGCAAGAGTGATGTACCTTTATACATGTTCAAGTTAATACTATACTGTCAAATTACATGTCCGCATACTGACCTTGGTAATTATCTTATTCAATATTGAAGATGCTTGGCAAACAGGGATCTTCCCTTATGGAGCGTCTTGAGCATGATGTTGCCGGAAAAGTGACTGCAATGTTGATTGAGATGGAGCAAGAAGAGACATTTGATCTCATTGAGTCTCCTAATGCCCTTAAGAAAAAGGTGGCTGAGGCTGTGAATTCTCTTAATCTGGATGCTTCAGGATCTTGATTCTCAAATCACGTATCACCTTTGTTCTCTTTAATGAAAGAACAATGCATGAGCCGATTTTTCATGGGGGCTTGATAGGTTGTTAAATAGTTCTTAAGGTTTCTTTTTTAATCAATTTTCTAAAAATCGATGCCATCCCACTAGGTATGTATTAACCAGCTACTTGATTACTGAAATACACAGGTTTTTTACTCGCTGTACAGTCTGTGCCGAGGACTCGATGTGTTTAGACCATAGTTAATAATCTAATATTATGCTTATTATTCACTGATATCTACCAATGACTTGGCTAATACTTCTGGATTTGAGATGATTTCCTTGAGCCTTGAATTTTCTCTATGTCAGAACAATGCTAATATTTGTATATCATCATTATGTGTTGGACTACGTTCTAAATTACTTATAGAATTCTGAGAGCTCTTCTCGAGTTTTGAAAACTGAATATTGGAGCTCTGATTGGGGAGTAGAACACATTTGAAGATTAAGATCAGTTGAGCGGTCTGCGAAGTTTCATTTATCCGTCTTTTGAAATGCTCCTGCTTAAAAGCTGATTAATTAATTGTTATTGTTGACTCATTTGCAACTCTATGAAAACCTTGAACATTTTACAGATGCAAGTCCTCAAAATTTTGGTTACAGTTTTGCAGCTTTTTTCTTGAGGAGTTGCTAATGACAATCTTCTCTGTATGGAAGATAATTTTGTAATATAGAGAATTACATTTGCCATAAAATTTGGCTCCTAAATATTAGATATTTAGTGTTTTATATAGTAATAAAGATTAGTTCATAACCCAATTTTATAAATTCTCTCTCATAATCTCGATGTGACAGTTTGCAATTAGTCAGCATGCAATTGGGTAGGTGAGACTTATATCGAGCAAGCGAGACCCACTTGTGAGCTAATCAATAACGAGCAAACAAGACATATTTACGAGTTGTCATGTCGAGGTTGTGACTTGTGAGGAAAAACTTGTGAGATTGAGTTGTAAGTATAGTATTGTTTATTTATATAGTAATTATAACTTTCAATGTTGCGAATTCTTTGTAAGAGCACCTTGTTGGAATGAATTATATGGCTGGCATTAGGGGTGTTAAAAAAAATACAAAAATCGGTTCGATTACAGTTCAAAGAATTAAAAAAAAACCAGATTTTAGGTTCAGTTTGGGTGAAAATGCAAATTGGTCAACCGAAACAGGCTTACTAATATATATATATAAATAATTAAAATTAAAAAAAATGATCTTAATGGATATTATATATTAAAATAAAAAAATTAAATTTATTTGTATCAATTTTTAATATATTGTTAGTTGTGGTGAATGGATATGCATGTTTAATTTTTATTTGGATATGTATTGTTGGTATTTATAATTTAATTTAGGAAAAATTAAAAAAAAAAAGTTTAATCCAATTTAAGGAGAAAACCGGTTAATTGGTTTTTTCAAAGCGATTAACCGGTTTTTTAGTTAACCAAAAAACCAATATCTTTCATTTTCGATTAAAGAATTTTTCTGAACTAAAACATCGATTCGGTTTAAAAAAGTGGTTAACTAGTTTGGTTGACCGCTTTCAATCACCCCTGAGTGGCATATTGTCCACTATTCTTCCATAGATTGAATGTCCTAAAGATGAACTTCCGCCCCTCCAGAATAGTTATCCGCAACAAGGTTTACAAAATGGAATGAGCTTCAGGATTCAGCGACTAAAAAGATCAACTTCTATCCCTTTAAGATTGAAAACGGAATGACCTCTAAGATTCAATAACCTATTTATTTAAGAGTGTATACCCAAATACATAAAATGATTCTCTATATCTTACAAACACGGTATCGTTAGACAAGTTCAAAACCTTGAGTGGGAATTATTTTTATGTGAAGAATTCATCTAAATTGATCTATATTGAACCCAATATATTGTGAATATTATGTTAGTTATTAAGGTTTTTTTTTTTTTTTCAATTTGTTTTATCCATTGTTGATACAAACAATCTCTATATGATAGAATTATAATTATAAACATGAATATGCAATATTCATTATATAGAATAGTATCAATAATTTTAACCAAACCCTAATGTTTTATATAATCAATTAATCACCTTTCATATTACAATAATTATATTTATAAACCAACACCCTTCAGTTTCCATCACACATCCTGATTCAGCATAGAAAGAGGACATGGAACATTTCTGTTCCAGTCTAGTGTGAGCCTAACCCCGAACCCAAACACTCCAAAAATATAAAAAATAAAATAAAATAAAACACAAACAGATAATTCATCTTCATTGTAACACACAACTAAAACCCCAAACCAAGCCAAACCAAACCAAGCCAAAACCCTTCTGCAAAAAATGCAGAAAGCTATGGCGTTAGGAACGTCAAGAACACTCCTTTCTATGTCTCTTCTCTCCTCAACCAAATTTAATCGCTCCCCATTTCTCAAATTTCCCAAAAAATCCATTACGGTTTTGTCAGGGTTCAGGCCTCTATGCTCCTCCACAACACCAACAATATCAATTGACCAACCTGAGCAGCTTAAGCACTCTATGCTTCTTGAAAGACTCAGGCTCAGGCATCTTAAGGACGCAAATAAACCAACCCCACAACCCAAAACTCAGGAACAAGCTGTGAGTTTTGGGGAAAAAGAGGGTAAAGGTGGAGACTTTGATCATAAGAAGAAGAAGAGGGTGGTGAGTGTGGGAAGTTTTGAGGAGTTGGGATTGAGTGAGGAGGTTATGGGAGCTGTTAGAGAGATGGGTATTGAAGTTCCTACTGAGATTCAGTGTATTGGGATCCCTGCTGTTTTGGATGAGAAAAGTGTGGTCTTGGGTTCACATACTGGCTCTGGAAAGACCCTAGCTTATTTGTTGCCTCTTGTTCAGGTATTATTTTACAATTTCTATTCTTATTATTTTCATGGTTTCTTGATTGGTTGTGTGATCACATTTTTCCATTTGATGAACTGAAACTTTAAGGTGGATTTGGTGCTTGTTTTGATCATTTCTTTTGTTTCATTTGTGTGTTATCTGGGACAAGTTTGGTTTTTTCTACTGTTGTTCTTGTTGGTCAGTTGAATTTTGTGTTGAAAGGTGATGTTTACTAGAGTTTTCAGTATAGTCGGAGTATTAGAACGTGTTGTTCTGAGTGGTCTTAAAGTGTCTTCTTGATTGCGTATACTTAAGTATATCAAATTTTAAGTTATCTATATAGTTGGATATTCAAGATGATGTGTTTCTCCTTTTGTTCACGACTTTGCTTCTATCCGAAAGTTGTAAATATGATTTCATGTTAGCTAAGTCGTAAAATGTTATGGTAAATTCTAGAGGCAACCACTTGTGATTTCTAATTCTGCAGTTGCTGAGACGGGATGAGGCAGAGTTGGGTAGGCTAATGAAGCCCAGACGTCCACGAGCTGTTGTGCTATGTCCCACAAGGGAGCTATCTGAGCAGGTTTTTGTTTACACTATTTAGTATTGTTAGCTAAGTCAGTATGTGTATATTTGATCAATGCAATTGAATATTTTAAGTGGGATTTATAGGTTTTTCGTGTATCAAAGTCCATTAGTCATCATGCACGATTCAGATCTACCATGGTCAGTGGTGGTGGTCGGTTGAGACCCCAAGAGGATTCGTTGAATAACCCAATTGACATGGTAGTTGGGACCCCAGGTAGAATTCTTCAACATATTGAGGACGGGAACATTGTTTATGGTGACATCAAATATGTGGTGAGTACTTGATGTTATTCGATGTTTGGGAATTAAAGATTTTTTATTTGCCCTTATTGCAGTAACTTTGGTTCACTTCATGGCATTAACAATTTTTAGTAGGTGTTGGATGAGGCGGACACCATGTTTGATCGTGGTTTTGGTCCTGAAATTCGCAAGTTTCTTGCCCCACTTAAACATCGTGCAACAAAGCCTAATGGCCAAGGGTTTCAAACTATACTGGTCACCGCAACAATGACAAAGGTATGCCCTGCTGAAACTTCCACTGTACGGAGTGTGCAAGATCTGTTTTAGAGGGCACTTTTGATATATATGTTTTTTTCCTTGCCACGTTCTGTGTGTATATATAGATATAGCTTTTGAAATGAATCCAGTGCCTTTAATGTATTTTTCTTTTGTATTGAAAACCCTAGTTTGGTAAATGTCCTTGTGCTGGTTTTGCATAGTATATAATCTGTGGAATTCAAGCTTATTGTAATGTTACTATTCTTCCTTTTAAGTACAATTATAGCTGCAAATTTTTAAGTTCAGAAATTTCCTTTCATTAATTGTAATAAATGAACTTTCTTCACCACTTTTATGGTTTTAATCAAGTTGGTTACTGGCCTTTGTGATATTGTCAGGCGGTGCAGAAGCTGATTGATGAGGAGTTTCAAGGAATAATGCATTTACGAACATCAACATTGCATAAAAAGATTGCATCTGCTCGACATGATTTCATCAAACTTTCAGGATCTGAAAATAAGCTGGAAGCATTGCTACAGGTCTACTTCTGTGGTTCTTCGTTATTCATTTTTAATTCTCAATAGCCATGGCTATTTGATTGAATGATAAAATGTTAATAGTTGTAGACCAGCTTTTTAGTTTATCAAATATTTGGCTTTATGAGGCTAAAATTCATTCGTGAGTTGAGACATGCATTTCAGTTTGAAAAAGTAAAGTCTATGTCAGCTTTGTAATATAGCATTCTGACAAAATAACTTACATGGTTTGAATGGTGATGTGAAGGCAGGTTCTTGAGCCAAGCTTGGCTAAGGGAAACAAGGTGATGGTATTCTGTAACACATTAAACTCTAGTCGTGCTGTTGATCACTTCCTTAATGAGAATCAGATTTCGACTGTCAATTACCATGGTGAGGTGCCGGCAGAACAAAGGTGAGATTATACAAGATGTTATCTTTTCCTTTCATAATGTCTTAAATTTAGCCATTTACGTATGGTTTTTTCTGAAGACATAAAACTTTATGTGTGGTCTAATTAAAAAACTCTCATTTGACTGGAATGGGATATAAAGTAAAAACCTTACACTTGAAATCTATTTTGCTATCTAGCTGCTCAAAAAATAACAATTTGGAGAACAACTGAATAACTGTTTTATGCTCTATGACTTAATTTGTTATGATTAATTTATTAATTAACGGTTAACTGATTTCATCAACTGAGCTTTCCTTAGGCAGCTGATTTTACTTAGTAATGCCAACATACTTTGTTTCTTACTTCAGCATTGGTCTTTGCTACTTCAAATTGATTCCTTTTCTTTTCCTTATTTAATTATTTATTCTTTTTATTGAAGGTTGTAATAATAAATAGGATCTTTACAAAAGTGAACGAGCAATCCTCTGGAAAAGGACTAGGTTGAGAAAGCAAAAAAAAATTATACACAATTTATTTACGAAAGAGTCTAAAAATAACAACCAACTAAAAATCTGACCAGAACATGTTTTGAGAGCAGAAAACGAAAATGATGCCAAATATATTCCAGCTATACATGAATGTTTCTTCAAAGTACAAGCTCAACTGTCTTTCTTGTAAGCACAGGGTTGAAAATCTCAACAAATTCAAGAATGATGATGGAGACAGCCCCACATTGGTCTGCACGGACTTGGCTGCTAGGGGACTGGACTTGGATGTAGATCATGTTATCATGTTTGATTTCCCACTGAACTCTGTAAGCGTCATATCTGTTGTCAAGTTGTTAATTTCCAGTGGCTTTCTTTCTTTCTTTTTTCCCCTCCAATTGTGTCTTTCTTTTCTTTTGGTTGGAAGTTTACTCAAGTTCTTTGGCATTTTAGATCGACTACCTGCATCGTACTGGAAGAACTGCTCGTATGGGTGCAAAAGGTATAAATGAAATTATTGTCAATATATGATTTCCTTTTTACTCTTTTATCACAGTCAGTAATTTCAATACTCTTAACCAATTTTTTTTTATGTGCCATGCACAATTGTTCTAAACACTCGCTCTGCAAAGTCCTTGCAGTTTTATCTATGAGCTTTGTCAATTATTCTACCAAATACTGACCAAGGACAATGTATTGCATGGAAATATGCTGGACAACAGTTTTTATTGTACTGCATATATTTTTTTTCCTTTTTCTTTTTCTCTGTTCATCCCGAGTTTTAATAAATTCTTGTTTTTTTCCATGTTAAGATGAACTTATTTCTAACCAAAAAAAATCAAAATACAAATATTTTTTTATGCCATAACTATTTTTGCTTCAACTAATTGGTGTCCCGTTACAACTACTTGGCTTTTGCATATCTTTCCAGCTCTTCCTATTTGCATGTAAAGCTATATCTTCTTTACCTCTCTTTATATGCAAAGAGACTTTTCTGATCAAGTAAAGAAATTCTTGTCATGTGTGGCAATTTATAATCTGTGAAACAGTGGAGGCTAAATTCCTCATCAGTTTACAATATCCTCCTACTATCACAGGGAAAGTGACAAGCTTGGTGGCCAAAAAGGACATGTTGCTGGCTGAGCGTATTGAGGAAGCAATTAGGAAGAATGAGAGCTTGGAATCTCTCACTAGTGATAATGTCCGAAGGGACGCTGCCAGGGATAAAATAACACAGCAGAGGGCGAAGATTGTTAAATTGGTTAAAGTGTCAAGTCAAAAAAACAAGACTAAAGCTGCATCGGAGAAATCCTCTAGTGTCCACACCAAGGTTGCATCTACCCATACCTCAACAAGAAAATCCTCAACCACAAAGTCTGGAAAAACATCTGCACCTGCAAAATCTTCAAAACCAACATTTAAGGTATCAAAGTTGAAGTCCTCCAACGCAAGTAGCTCCAAAAAAGCCTTGTCAGGTGGGAGGAAGCAAACAGAGAGCAGAAAGCCAGGTGCAGGGAAATCTAGAGCTTCAAAACTACCCAGCGCAGGGAAATCTAGAGCTTCAAAACTAAGTGTTGTTGGGTTTAGGGGACGGGCTTCTTATTCTGACAAGAAAGGATCAATGAGGCCTAGTTAATGGTAAAATTATAGATAAAATATGCATTAATTTATTTTCTATCTTTTCCTCATTTGTATGTTTCTTGACTGAAATTTTTTTATAGTTTATGTAGTAATATTTGTAATTTTGTATCTTTACTATTATTATGATAATCAAATGGTAATCTTTTGTCTAGATTGATTTTCCCTCGGTGGTTTTTTGAATTATGTGATCTTCGACATGACCTTATGTGTAAAAATTCTTTTTGAAGAGTTATGAGTAATGAATGATGTTGGTTTGTTGTGTTGACAAATGCATACAAGGTATCAACATTCATTATGACAGAAAGATCAGAGTACACTAGAACCTTACAAGGTTCTTACAATGGAAAACAACTCTACTGTATTCTGAAGAGTTTCAGTGTCAGTCTCATTACTTCCATGTGAGTAGTGGCCGAGGAGTTTTCTGAGGAGTAACAACATTTCCTTCAGAATCATATATGATGACACCAGAAAAATCGGGCAACTGGCACTTCCCTCCCATGAGTATGTTCTTCTGCCAAACTGGGGCTGCTTGCTGTTCGCAGCTATAAATACTTTCATCCCTATTTCTGAGTTGATACTCCTGTGTATGCTGTACCATAACTTCATTGTTGAGCTCTATGACAGGATCATCATCAAGAAAATCGTAGCAGGCAGCCCTCCAGTGATGGCGCCATTTGCGCGAATGAGAAGCACACATGAACAGTGCAAAAGCACACAAGAGAAGGGATGCTGCAGCAAGCCCTGCTTGAGATGTGCTCAGTGGTGCTGGTTTGAAGTGAAGTTGGCGAGCCATGAGATGATGATGAGAAGACTGATGGTAAGTCTGTGCTTGAGACAATGAGGGAATTTATATGTTTGGAAAATGGATTTGTTAGTATTTAATATTGAGAGCTTTAAGTTGAGGATATGCTTTTGAGGATTTGGTTTTGTTATAGTCACTTCACTTGCTTCTTCCGGAACAGTTGAACAAATCAAGTTCAGGGATAACTGCTCCCATTAATACTTTTGACTCGGTCGGGAACTTAATTGGTATTTTTGACTCGTTTATAAATATAATAAGTAAGTTTTGAATAGGGGATGAGTTCTAAACTTTATTCAAAGGATAAAATTTCAAACACTATTAAAACGAGATGATTAAGATAATACGTAATGATCGTAATTTTTTTCGTTCATTTAACGGGAACTTACTTGACAAAATGTGTAAAAGATGTTACAGAATGGATGATTAATCAGAAATTTTGCAATAATTAAATTTAAACTGTCAAAAATAATAAAAAGAATTTTTATTTATTTTGAAATGCCATGATAATTGTCCAATCAATTTATCATATGTTATTCCTAAATCTCTCCAATATCTCTTATCAATGTTGGGACAGATAGAAGAGAGGGTAACGGTACCGACTACCGTGATATTAACTTCTTGTAGCATGTGTGTGGATACCGGGTGTTACGGTACCCACTGTACACGTGTACCAACAAGTTCCGTATTGTACGCTCTAACATACAGTGGCTTAATTCTGAACACCTTGGCACTTTTCTCTGAGATAGATCACTTCCTCATTAGGGTTTAAGCTTTTCTTTCTCTCTCTCTTTTCGTCTTGAAGATGAATTCAAACCTCTCAAAAATGTACAAACGCTCACAAATTTCACTTTTTAAATCCGTCTTCAACAACCCTTTGGGATCTTCTCCAAGACCGACTTCTCCATTTGCTCTCAATCCACTCTCTCAAATTCCAACTCAGCCCCAACTCGGCCGCGACTCAGTCCCCTCCTCGAAGCGTCAATTTTCTGTAACCCCATATTCGTTAACCTCGCAAAAATCCCATTTTGCTAGACCCAAGGGAAGTCCGAGAAGCTACTACAGCACTGAGTCTGGGGCCGAGTTGGATTACAACAAAGAAGTGGACATGATAAACCTCAAGTTTGCAGAGGCGAGAGAGGAGATAGAAATGGCGATGGATTCAAAAGAGACGGTGTACTTCAATGAAGAAGCCGAGTGTGCTCGAGATGCCGTGAAGGAGGTTTTGGATAGGTTTGAAGGACTCTTGGGGAAGCTAAAAGAGAATGAAAAGGAAGCTTTGCAGAGGTCAATGGGGCTCAAGATTGAGCAGTTAAAAGCTGAGCTTCAACAATTGGATGATTGACTCATGAGGTTGGAAGATTTTATTGTAATGAATTAAAGATGATACTTTTAATAATAAAATTTGAAAGTTCTTTTCAAAATTATATAATTTTGATCATTTAATTTTGTTTCATGATGCATGATTATATGAGATTCAATTTATTGTGATGCATGTCTTCTTGGAAATTGGAATGTTGCGCTCAATGGTCAACTAGTGCTTGTTTAGTTCCTTGCCTGAGATTTTGTTAAAATGCATGAAGTCTTGAATTTTTCTCGAGCCTCCTCTGGAATCTACATTATTGATCTCTCAACTCTAACTTTTGCATTATCGTGTTATTTTTGGCACCCAGTTCCTAGTTATGTAGTTTGAAAATGTGTCACAATAGCTTTTAGTACAGTTTAAATGGTGTAATTATATTAACTCGGCAGAGCTTGCGTATGGATTATTTGGGATTGGTAGATGGTCTAAATTCGACATTATGAAAATTAATATTGCATACTTGGCACCTACTTACAGAGGCATCTTTTTGGAGTATCAGAATGATGAAACCTTCATCTCAGAGAACATCTAGCCGATGGAGTTTATTCTGGTTTATGTTTTGGATTCTGTTTATGCTCTAAGTGTGTGTTTATATTATTAGTATCTATGTGGGAAGTATTGCTTTTATCTCTTAGGGTTGTGAGTAATAGTTTACTTGTTTAGTGTTGATTCTTTGCTCCTCATTCCAGTGTAACCATTTTCTTACAACATACTGCTAGGTGAATTCATCTTCTGATGGATTATGCATTGAGTGTCTGTAGTCTGTGGCTAAATTTATAAAAGGGATGGTATTACTCTATTCTAAGTGAATATACACACGTGCACGCACAAACGCATATTTGTTGGATTCTAAGTGTTTGATGTCAATTTATTTACTTGTGAATCATTGGATAGGAAAGTTTTGCTTTCGAAGTACATTCTGAATTGTAGCTCAGAATCCACAGTAGAAGTTTTGCTTTCGAAGTACATTCTGAATTGTAGCTCAGAATCCACAGTAGAAAACTTTTCCACTTGAACCCTGTCTTAGAAATTGTTTGTGCACTAACTCCCATTCCTTCCAGCCCGCAAGTATCAAACTTGTATAAATCATAAATACCATCTAAGCAACTAAATGTGACATTGAAACTCTGTCTGTTTCTCAGAAACCTATGAACAAATATTCTCCAAAGAGTGTAATTGGCAAGAAGTTGAGTCATTTTAATTTATTTTTCAGTTTTTGATTGGTAGAGCAGGTAGGAGTCTTACTAGGTTTGTGGTGTTGAGACATCTTTCAAAAGCAGTTAATATCTCACAGAATGACTGACAGTTATATGAAGGCCTTTGTTCGATTCATTAGTAGAAATACCGTTTATAACTTTTAGATATTCCTCTGTTCAACACTCTACTAGTTTGTGTTTTCTGAGCTATATCTGCAACTGCAACAGAGCATTGTGTTTCTTAGCCGTTTATTATGGAAGATTTTAGTGAACTCAAGTTTTTGGTTTTATCTTGACAACTTGAGATGGACAATATTCCGTTGCAGGCTGGTAGCTGTCAGTAATCATCTAGATCATAATGACCAAATAATCTATATGGAAGCTAAGATCTGACCTTGTATTTTGCAAGCTGTGAACCTAAACCACATCATGAATCCCAGAAAGTCACAAACCTAATGCAAACGTTGTTATATTGAAAATTGTTAGGAACCTTGAGCTTCATCATGCATTTCATAAAAGCGGGGAGCAAATTCACTTGCCGGTATGTATGTTTGTATCATTTTCTTTGATGTTACATAGATAGCGTTTAGCCATGCACTTCTTCAGTTAACCTCGGCCAAGTGGCCCAAATCTATCAACCACAGTAGTGAGCAAAGGAATTCTTGAGGCCTATTGGGAATCATTTTTCAGATTCAATTTTGAAAATAAATTTGAAAAGGGGAAACTAAAATTTGATTTTATGTGTTGGCTTGTGCTTGAATGAAAGCAATCAATCAAATATAGGTTGATCGAAATTGGAAACTTAAATTTGATTTAATGTGTTGGTTTGTTTTGCAATATCGTAATGAAAGCAAAAAATCAAATATATGTTGATACGAAATTGGATTCAAAATCCAACATAGTACTTTCTTCTCAGGACAAATTACTGCAACAGATGACGTTTGGGAGGAATTAAAGAGCATTATGGCAATAACCCATGTTTGGTATGGTTCATATAGTCCTAGATGCAAATTCATCGTGGCTCTAATCCTTCTATCCTAAACCCAAATGAGAATCGACTGATAATCTTCAGGTCGGGCATGAGTCCAAGCATTGAGGAGCAGTCGCTTCTTCTTCATTAGGGTATGGTACCTCGCGTTCATGGACTAAATTGTCATCTCTAATTTCTTCTGTTCGATTCCAAACTGAAAATGTACAAAATCATTTCCAGAGAAAGAGGATAAATAGATGAGGAGCACAAGTATAATTTGCAACCGATGACAAATCCTACTGAATTGTTTAACCTTAAACCCTGCTGTATGAACATTTTTTGGGGTTATGGTTTTGGGTGCTTTGCTTAGTGTAATAATGTCAAAACTCGAGAATTTTGAAGCAAATTTTATGTGAGGTCACGTACAAACACTCAACTTTTTAAAAACATAAAATAATTTTTACTCTACTTAAATTCATGTTGGCCTCACAAAAATGAATTATTAATTAACATATTTTGAACTTTTCTCTCCTCTTCATTTTCTTTTCTTTTCTCTCATATTATTTTTTTTCCTTTTGGTTGGATATTCAAGAAGAGTAATGCTACTCTTTTAGATAATAAGGTAAGATGATGCTTTTTTTTTTTTTTTTTACTAATTAAAATTTGTTTCTTTTAGATTTCTTAATCGATGAAATATCATGAGCTATGATTTTTTGTTGAATTTAATAAATGAGTTTGAAATTTGAAGATTAAATTCTTTGATTTTGATGTGAGTTTTGATTTAATCTTGTTTATGTTAAGATATAGATTAATTAGTTATTGTTTTTAAGTTACGTTTGATAAATTTTGATTAGTTATTGAGTTAATTTTGAATGATTTAAAGAATTATTGAAACCCTAAGTTGTAAAGATTTGGAGATTTGATTTAATTTTGATATATCGGTTAATTGTTCGATATTTAGGACTGGATTCTTGAGTTTTAATTGGTTTATGGGTTGAACTTTATTAAGTTAGTAGAAATTATTTGTTATAAGATTTGGGGTTTTCGTTGTCAACTTAAATGTTTTAACTCCACTAAATAAAATATCCTGACTACGCCCATGCCAGTGACATATGAATTACGCTAGACTGCTGGTTGTCTACTAGTTGTCCATATTGCTCAAATATATGATTATTTCTATTGATATAGACAGACGGTTTCAAAATTTCACCAGATTCATTAGAGAATCCATGAATATAAACACTTCACAAACGGTGTTTGACTCTCTAAATTGTTATTTTAATGGAACCTGAACTTGCACTTGATTTTTCAGAAAAGAAATCTTCAAGATTGTGTTACATCAGATCTCCAATGACAAGGAAAGCCTAAGAGGCATGAGGGGAACATTGGAATATGGACAAGTATGGCTTTGTTTGCTTTAAGTGAACGAAGAAAGAAAGATTTTAAGCAATTCCAAAATCCTGAAGCACTAAGGATGAAGACATCTCAATATGAGCGTGGAAATCATGTTGAGAAAGGCATATAGGGTTTTGTTCATGTGATGTTTTTATGGCCCTATTGCCAATTGGTCCATAGTCCCTTGGAACGATTTGTGTAGGAACATCCCCTTTGAAGATGCACCAAAACAAGAGTCAAAATGTCCTCCACCTTTCTCTTTTAGCATTATACTCACATATTTCCTGTGATCACCAAACAAACAAAAAGAAACCGTAATCATATTTTCTTCATATGTTTTATATCATGCCCTGTCAGGTTAAGACACTGCACCTGGATATTGGATTTTGCTTTGTTTTGTACTTGATGAGGAAAAGTATGTGAAGTAGAGTGATTATTGTATCTTATGAGATCTTCTTTTTTGCAGAAAAATTAAAACATAAGTGTGGACCAAGAAGCAACTGAAGTGAGGGGAACCCAAATCTATACATGTGGGGGAGTGGGAGGGAGGCATGGCCCTGCTTCTTCTTGTCTCCTTTTTTCCCTGCCTCTTTGGTCCTACTTCCACCATGTTTTTTTTTTCAGTCGCTTTCTCCATCTTTTCCCCTTTGCAATATTTTCTCCATTTTTCACCTCACATGCAAGTCCCACTCCTATTTTTCAGTGCTTTCCATACATTTTTCACATCCCACATCACCAGTTACTTTGCAACTCATAGGGCCTGTTTTGAAATATGATATTCTGAAAAGTTATTCTAAATAGGATAGGATAAGATTAAATCAAATAGGATAGGATTCTGAGAATATGTTTGGTAAAAACATTTTCTGAAATATTTAGTTTATTTTTTAATCTCCTACATTTGTTAATTTAGCTAAACATCTCTCTCCCCTCAATAATAAAAGTTTATAAATTGACAAAAACAGTCATACTCACCCAACCGACAGTCGTCAGAATGGTGTACAACCGGTTGGATTATGGCCGGTCGTGCGTTGATCTGGCTTTTCCCGATCAAATCTACCATGTATTTAACCGGAAACGGCCAGATCTACGACCAGAATTTGGCCATCGTGCATCACTCTAGCGCCGACGGTGGTTACTGGCGACAGTGACTTAGGTGGATGGGAGTGTTTTTGTTAATTTATAAACTTTTATTACGAAAAGTAATTATATATTTTGAGTTGAATAAAATAGGTTCACAAATATGTTTTTACTCTTTACAATAGGATAAACAAATATGTTTTTACTCTTTACAATAAGATAGGATAAGATTTGAAAAGTGTACCAAACAAGCGATATTTTCTGGTAGTTCAATATATTTGTCACATCTCACATCACTTATATGCATGAATTTTAATATATTGTCACATTCCATATTACCTATGTGCAAGAATTTGTTTCTCGGTTTCACACACAGATCTCCAATGAACGCCCTTCATTGAAAATGTATCTATTTGATTGATATGACCCAAAACTATAAAATTGATCTAAAGACCTGACAATATTATTGATAACGTGTGTATAATATTCAACAATGTTGAATAAAGTTTGAAAGAAATTATTAATGGTTCTTACTCTTTCTTCTAGATTTCAATATGGTTCTACAACTCATGATAGCATTTCTGTTTTTTGTTTTCTTGCATTATACTTGGAATATTTTCCCTGACAATGTTCAACCTAAAATCAGGCTGAGATTCTGGTGGACTTTGAAATGTTTCTGAGTCTCCTGATTTCAGGCAAATATTCAGGAAATGAGTAACATGAAATAGGGAAAGATAAAAAAAACATGGTGAAGTTGCACCAGGAAAACAAGAAACAAACAAAACACATTGATCATTCTAAAACTGTACAAGAAAACCCCAAGATCACCATCTAAAGCTGCTCTTCCTCCTCTCATTTTCCTTAGTTACAACACTCTCTTTTATCTTTGGATGAGAAAGAAACTCAATTACTAATGTTCTTGAAAGAACTAAAAAAGTAAAAGAGCCAAGAATTATAACAAAACTAACCAGAAATCTAACTTTGATTTGAGGACTGTTTTATTAGAGGTTGAGAAGTCTTGCCCCATTCTTCAGGAGGGCTCTTCACCTCCATTAATAATGCAATGACTTCCTTCATTGTCGGTCGCTCTGCAGGCGAAGAATTCACACAGAACATTGCAATGCCTAGTGTTTGAAGCATTTCCTGCACTATTTGATCCGGTAAACCTTGGAGTTTGGTATCTAGAATAGATATCGCTGGTTCGAAGCTTCCCATTTTCTTTTTCACCCATTCGACTATATGTTGCCCATCACCCACATGGGACTCGACTGCGCTCCGGCCACTTAGGATTTCGAGCAAAACCACTCCATAACTGTACACATCACTCTTCTCGGTTATGTTCATGGTGTATCCATACTCTGCAATGTTGATCACACAATCATGTCAGATATGGAAAAGATAACTTATTGAAAGCTGAGCAAACATGAACAAATTTCTTATGAATTTCCTAAAACATGTTAAATTGATTATATGAACTGAAAAGCATATCAAATGTAAAGGAAATGAACAAGAACTTGCCTGGGGCGATATAACCATAAGAACCGGCAACTCTGGACATCACGTGGTGGTAATTTGGGGAGTTCATCAACTTTGCCAATCCAAAATCTGCTAGATAAGCCTCAAATTTCGAATCTAGAAGTATGTTATTGCACTTGACATCTCTGTGAAGAATAGCGGGAACACAGTCATGGTGGAGATAAGATAGACCCTGAGCTGAACCGACAGCAACCTTGTACCTCGTCTCCCAATCCAAGTTCCGATTTCCTTGCAACAGCTGTTGTAGATTACCATTGGAAATGTAGTTGTAAAGTAGAAGCTTAACACTTTTATTGGAACAATAACCAAGGAGCTTGACAATGTTTCTATGCCTAATGTGTCCAAGAATCTGAATTTCAGCCGCAAAAGAGTCAACTGGTTCTTCATCTCTTTTTGTTTTCCAGAGCTTTTTCACAGCAATCAAATCCCCGTTGGGCATTTCAGCCCTGTAGACGACCCCAGAACAGCCTTTGCCAATTACATTTTCATCTTTCAGGCAACTCAGGATGTTGTCAATAGTGAAGTTGAGTTTCTGGAAGGGAATGAAAGTCCATGGATAGGAGAAATCTTCAGCTCCGGAAGAAGAAGGCAATGCTCCCGATGATTTCTCCACCATGTACCTATGATTTCGAGTAACTAAAATCCATGAAGCAATAACAGATATGGTCACTGAAGCCAGGATCACAGAAATCAAAGCTATAGTTTTAGCAGACTTCAATCCATTTTTTCGAATGAGACTTGAAGAACAAGTAGACCCATCGGTGGATACGCACAGATTGGGGTTCTGAAGATATGAATTTGAAGATAGAGTTCTGAAAAATGTTGTGACAGGAATAGGACCTGAAAAGTTATTGTAGGAGATATTCAAGGAAGTGAGACTAGTAAGGGAACTCAGAACTTTGATTTTGCCATATAGCATATTATGTGAAATATCGAGCGATTGCAACTGTGTCAAGCTAGACATTGTTTCCGGGAGCTCTCCTGTAAACGCGTTTGAGCTCAAGTCCAAACTGATAGTTAAGCTTGTCACATAACCAATTTCCGGTGGAACTGGACCGGATAGGCTATTATAGCTCAAATCAAGCAGAGTAAGTTTCTGCAAATTCCGAAAGGATTTCGGAATTGACCCCGTAAGAAGATTGTTGTTGAGAATGAGCTTGCTCAAGTAACTGAAGTTTCCAAAACTTTCAGGAATTTCCCCAGTAAAGCTGTTTCTACTGAGATCAAGCTGTTCCAAATTCACAAGCTCCCCTAACTGAGATGGAATTTCTCCAGTAATGTAGTTATTGTGCACATCCAGTAGCTCAAGAACTGTAATATTGGAAAACTCAAAGGGCAGACCACCAGAGAAATGGTTCATGTACAAATCAAGAAAGACCAAGTTCTGCAACTGACCAATCTCTTTCGGAATCTGCCCGGAAAGCTGGTTTTCCCCCAGCCTCAATCTCACTAATGACTGACAATTCGCTACACTTCGCGGCAATTCTCCAGATAATGAATTCCCTAGAAGCAGAAGCTTGCTCAGCTTCTTCAAGCTGAAAATCTCCTCCGGTATTGACCCAGTAAGCTTGTTCCTCGAAAGATCAAGAGCATATAGCTCTGTGCAGTTGCCAAAAGAGGACGGTATCGTTCCCGACACTGCATTACCCCACATAAAAAAGCTCTGCAAGTACTTCAACTTACCAACTTGCCATGGAATAGCACCTGATAATTGATTCTTATCAAGCTGGAGAGCTGTTAAGCTAGAACAATTACTTAACTGCCATGGAATCAAACCATTGAGCAAATTATCAGACAAATGAAGCTGCTCAAGAACCGCTAGCTTCCCCAAGTCACCAGGAATTTCACCAGAAAGATCATTAGCAGAAGCATCAAACACAACAAGTGCTGAACAATTTGACAACTCAGCCGGAATCGGTCCAGACAAAGCATTGCCCCATAAAAGCAAACTGGTAAGTTTCTGCAGCTTACCCAATTGAGGGGGTATTGAACCAGTGAGCTTATTCATATGCAAATACAAGTTTCTCAACTCCACACACAGCCCAAGGTCAGGGGGTATTGAACCAAAAATCTCAGTATCATAAAGAGCTAAAGTTTGAAGATTGATTAAGTTACCAAACGTAGGTGGAATCAGACCAGAAAGTCCAGTGGCTGCAACTCCAAATGTTGTGAGATTTGTGAGTTGTCCAAGCTGTGGAGGAATCTTTCCTGTTAAATATGGATTGCCCCCAATTCTAAATTCTTGAAGAGAAACAAGAGACCCCAATTGAGATGGGATTGAACCATTAAGAACATTGTCTTGTAAGCAAAAGACTTGCAGTGAAGTGAGGTTGGCAAGCTGAGGAGGGATTCTTCCGGAAAGTCTATTGGAGTTCAGAAAAAGAAACTGAAGCAATGAGAGCTGGCCGAGTTCCGGAGGAATGGAGCCAATGAGGGAGTTTGAAGAGAGGTCTAAAAGCCGCAAATGAGTGAGCTGGCCAAAGGAAGGAGGGATGGTGCCTGAAATGTTGGTGGAGGACAGATTAAGGAGTTGAAGAGAAGAGAGAGAGGAGAGCTGTGGAGGTAAAGAAGACAAATTGAGGAAAGTGTTTGGTAAAGAGAGGGAGATAACTCTGTTTTGAGGAGAACAAGTAATGCCTTGCCATGAACATGGAGTTAAGCTTGAAGGGTCCCATGAAGAGAGGATTGAAGAGGCTGCTTTTGTAGAAGGACCAGCTGCTGAGAGAAGAGAAAGAAGAGCTTCTCCATCAAGTGAAAGTGAAGAAACCAAAGTGTTTGTAAAAAACAAAAACAAGAATGAGAAAAACAAGAGAGAAGAAAAAGATGAAGAAGCCATAGAAATTAACCAAAAAAACAAAAACCAAAAAAGGAAAAAACTTTGATGGCTAATGAAGTTTTAAGAAATGGGGTTGCTGAGAAAATAAAGGTTAATGTAATGGTGGAAGTCTTGGTAATAGTGAAGAAGATAGTGAAAGTCCACTCTTGGAGACAACATGCATGTGAAAGAGATAAAAGAGAATGCTTAAGCTTCACACTAAAGAGTTGAACTCAAAACTCAAAACTTCACAAAAACAAAACAAAGATAAACTCTTTAACCTTCAATCTTCATCAATGGAGGTTTCTGATCAAAAGATCTTCGATTTAGCAAGCTCTATGAATGCATGCATGGAACTCCACTTTCACGCTCATGCATGCCATGAAATGTATACACAAAATGACTAAATGGTTTCAGAAGTGGGTGGTGGTCACGGCGGCGGTAACGGTGGTGGCGGTGGTTTGAGAGTTGAGAGATTGGGGTTGTTGAGTTTTTGAGAGAGTGAAGATGGGTGAATTGTTTGTTTTGGTTTTGGTTTTGTTTTGGATTTAAATACTTTGAGAGTTAAATAAGATTTTTAATTGAGGGCGCCGCTGCTTTTTATTTTTTTTTTTAGTATTTAATTAAATTTTATTTTGATTTTACTTTTTGAATGGCCAAGTTGCCCTTCGTTTTGTTATCCAGTGAAGAAGCAATGAAGCTTAAATGTTTTTGGTCAGTTTCTTATACCCCTTGTTTGTCCTACTTCTCCACGTGTCACAATAGAGGGATTTCTCAGCCAGGTGGTTCCAGAGAAATGTACCCTGATTTTGAGGATGTCCAGGATGACGGTTAAGGCTACTCTGTGTAAACTAAAGTAACTGATCCGACGTTCAGGCTTTGTCCTCAACTGGTAATATCTTTCAGCATAAATATTATCTTAATAAATTGGTTTGTTGTATATCAATTGCTAAAATGAATCAAATATATAATTTGATAAAAGAGTTAAACCGAATCAATAACATTCCTAATCCAATAATACAACCATACCCAATAAAAAATAGGTGTAGTTAATCAATCGATATTTTTTTTTTTTTTTTGTGACTGGGGTGTTCGAACCAGTTACATGCATCTAACCAATTTTTAGGGTCTGAATGAAAGATGGATTGGTAAATCCCCTGTGGTCACCTATTAATGCGCTAGGCGAACTTAATTCAAAAATTATATTGAACCATTTTACTCTTTATTATCATGACATCCAATGGTGGTTTCGAATTGATAATGTTATCGACTAAAAACTTAAGAATACCCAAAAGAGACATGGGTGAAATGAGAAAAGAGAAGGAATCAAGAGGAAGAAGGTGGAAGTCTACAAGGTGAGGCAGAGTGATGTGGTAGTTGCATTGGGAAAGGAAGAGTTTTGATGATAATAGCTGGGGGATTGTGAAAGGTAAAAGTGTTAGAGCAAGCAACCAATTTCAATGTCTTTTATTTATATTAATTTCATTTATTATTTATTATATTACATAGTTTTATATATACATAATAAATTATTTGGCCTTAAACGTGGGGTGTCATATTATTTAGTTTTTTGTTCAAGGGTGGCGTGCTATAGAGGAGGAGCATCTTTATATAGCTATGTAACAAATTCGAATACTAACATCTACACCTTATACTTTCAATTTTCAATATGATCATCTCCCCCATTCAATATTCGTAATGTAACAAATTCTTCTTTAAAATTACATCACTTATCAAATGTCACATTAAAACTCATTAACGATAGTCAATATCATAACACCTAACATCTGGATTTGCAACCATCAACCCTTCATCAAAAAACATTATTGAATTGAAGGACTCAAACTCAGTTTTTTTTTTTTTTTTTTTTTTTTTTGTATGATCGGAGGTTTCCAAACCAGCTTACGCGCACCTTAACTAATCTCTTGGGACCCTAAAGTTGACGACCAAGTAAGCCCCTCAATAACGACCCTTATTAGCGCCTATGAGGACTTAAATTCAAGAGTTTATAAAACCTATTTTTACTCTTTTACCATTTAGTCATTCACTAGTCAAACTCTCGTTCACTGGTGCTATAGGATGTGACAATAATCCTATTCCGATTCGTGTGAGTCATATTTTAAAACCTAAAGGTGTGTGTATATATTAGTTTGAAATCAAAGGGGTGTAGATGATATTTATGAAAGAAGTTAATATAAAAAGAAAATTTGACAGTGAAGTTACTGTGGAGGAGTGAAATTAAGTAAAGATAAAAAGGATGAAATTACCGAGGAAGAGGAAGTGGGTTTGTTTTGGGAGTGGGGCATAAAGATAATAGAGAGTTTAATTAAATTGGGAATAAATTAGGGCACACTTCACGATTAGGGTTTTTGATTTAGGTTATGTCTTATCTTTTAATTTAGCCGCACCACATTTCCATCTTATTACCTCTTTAATTAATGTTATAATTAAATTTAAGTTAGTTATTTATTTAGTTTAAATGGGTGTTTCTATTTAACCTTCTTTTATTTATAATAAATTTGAATTTTAATTACCATTTCTTAAGGTAGAAGCATCATTAAACTCATGCATTAATGAGTTAACTTGCTTAGGTTAATCAAAGATTTTATTTTTATTTTATATAAATTAAATTGATTAATGAAAAAATAAAAATAAAAAGGGGATTAGTTGCTTAATAAGTGGACATGAATATCGAAAAAGAATCAAATTGGGAAAATTAAAGATTGCATTAATTAATAAAAGTAATTGTAGGGAGGTCCCAAACAGTTCCCTTTCAAAGCTACAAGACTCATATAAAAGGGTCCAATGTTTACTCTTAATCCGCCGCTAATCTTTGTTTAATTAATTCATTAATTATAAACATTTATTATATCTAATTACTATTATTAATAAATAGTACTTGGATTTTTACTTTTTTAGTGGGTTTGACCACAGTTTGACCTAGGATTTAATTGTTTTCGCTCTCTCTTTGTCTTAAGAAATTAATTAATGGGATACTTGGCATGTCTTGATTAGTCAGTCCACTAAGATTTGGAGGAGCTAAGCCAACCACAATTCCACAAGTGGATTAATTAATTTAATGATTAATGACCCTCATTTTAATTTATAAATATATATTATATTTGATCTAACTGAATTACAAATAAATAACTTAGTTTGAGAAATATACATTGTTTCCTACAAAACGTTAATTCTATAAATTTAATTAAGCTTTAACGAAGTTCTCTAAAAGAACTACCTCTAGATAGTTTGACGGTTCACTTAAGACTCTTAGGTGTATTACTCAAAAAGTCTTCAATTCGAATCTTCATAACTATTAATAATGGGTAGCCATTGGAGACTTACATGACCGCCTCCATCAGCACCAACGTCCAGAGCTTCCTCCCGGAGAGGACTAGTTAAGATACACGCAAACTGATTCGACACTCCCAGATACCAAAAAAAAGTTCTAAAGTCATTATTGTCCAACTTCTAGAAATTCATCTTTTTTTTAATTAAAAAAAAAAAAAAAAAAAAGATGCCGAGTTTGAGGGAATCTTTCTCTACTTATATTTTAGGGTTTTGAATTCATGGAGCCCCAAACCTAATGAGTTTAGGGCATGCCGAGTATCTAAATAAATGATGGTAATGTTTGTTTATTATAAAGAAGACAAAAGAAGAAAATGCTACATAAAATGAGGCTGAGGCGCAGCCTAACTATTATATATGATGAGCTGTAGCTTTCTATCTCTTACAAACAACAAAATATCTATATATGAAGACATATTTCTGGAATCCTGCTTCTATTTTATATACATTCTTTAACATCATCTTTAAATTCAACACTTTCTCAACCTACCTATCAAGTCAAAAGATTTGTTTCCCACTATAAACGGAAATCATGTTTTATTTCATTTATATATAAAAAACTATGTACTCAAGCTGTTTATGCTATATAGAAAAGAGAGGTTTGTAAAATTATTAAACAGAGAATCTTCTCATTATATCATGTAACAGGTTAAATTACAAGAAAATTGTACTAAAATAATACACATGTACAACAATTCATCCAACAAGGCTGTTACAATTACATGCCTTTGTTTCTATTGATTCTGACCTTGAAATAACGATTACTTGCCTAACAAAATTGATTGATCACCCAAGAGATAATGGCTAATACAAGATTCTTCCTCTTCGCGAGAAACATGCGCACACCCTTGTGCAGAGGGCGTAAGAAGGCATAAGTCCACTCTTTTCCCAGTTTTAGGCATGACAATGCAGGCATAAGGGTGTAATCTGAATTATTTTTCCTTCTCAAATTTGAACCACTTCCAATTTGCACACAAGCTTGCCTCGTTGTCGAAAGGTAGAGTGTCGGTTGAAAGGGTTCTGAATTGGGACTTGCTGAAACAGCGGGTAGTTTCTGCCGGTACTCTTTGCCATCTCTCTCGCTTCAGAAAATACTCTCTTCCAAAAGATATGCAATCAATATATTAGTTAAGCTCTATAATGAACTACAGAAAGCATCCCTCATCAAAAAAAAAAAAAAAAAAAAAAAAAAAAGTGGAAAGGAAGAAAAGAAAACTAGATGAACCTCTTTGTTTGATATAAATAGGCCAGGCTCACTTTCGAGGTCAGCGATACTGCAACATAAGGGAAATTTTCATCAGCAGATAGTAAACGCTGCAATTTTTGGCACATTTCCCAACAGAAACATTTGAAAGCTGTGTTAGGCCTTAGGAGTCTTAGATAAATAAATGTCCATTAATAAATACAATAATAAATCATCAAAACCTCATAACAAAGTACACACGTCACAGTAGTAGTAATACTAATGAATAGAAATAATTTTATGTAGATATCAGTTGAACTTGATGGTTCTGTTGTCCTCAATATTGGAAACTAATACAAAGCAATCTTCAAAAACAGGACATCATAATATGAAGTACGAATGAAAACTTCTGAATCAAGATGGGAATTCAGGTAGCAAGTCATGAGTATTATTTTCAAAAGTAAGAAATATTTGAAGCATCAAACATGCATGAAAAAGATTCAAAACCAAGCAAGCCAAACCTCAATTACCTGAGAGCTATTTTGTCAGGGAACATTGACTTCACAACAAGAACTTTGACCTTCTCATCCTCCTTAAGTAAGTCACTAACAGAAGTAACTCGGGTGGAGCTAATATTTGAAACATGAAGCAACCCGCTGAAAATCATTGAGAAAATTAGGACATTTCTTCAACTTAAATTCAATTCACGCAAGAAAACACACAGTCAATGTCTAATGAAATTTATGCAAAAGATCAGAATATACTAAAGCTGCTTACAGTTGGCCTGCACAGAAAATCATGGGTAAATATATACTTGATACTTGTACATGACCAGAAAGACCATTCACATAAAATTTGGACCAACTAAAGGAAAGAATACAGACAAATGTGCACCATCCTGGAGTCATCTTATACAGCAAAACTTCTATAAGAGAGAATTCTTTGATTTCAACAAATGCAAAGTCTAAAATTATGAGGTCCATAGGGCAAACTACAGTCTACAACATGATTTACGCTACATTTTCTTCCGTCATTAAGTCGTCACCTTTTTTTTCTTTTTTATTTGGCAGACCATTTAGTTATAACTTCATCCCATCCAATCAATAATATTTGGAAATATTTGAATTCAAAGCATACGTGCACATGGAAATTTCCAGCTAAGGTCAATGTAGGAACCGCTTCTTTTGTTTCTTCACTGTTGTTTTTTATCCCACTCAAACTCTCTCTATCTAACCCTTTTCTTTTCCTATTTGGTGCATGGAATGAACTCCAACAAAGTCAAACCAAACACAATAGCACCTCTTTTTCTTTCTTCCCTATATTTTGACATTCATCATCCAATCTCTCTCCCTCAAACTTTTCTTTTCATATTTGTTAGTGCTACTATTTGTTAGTGCTACATGTCACTATGTAGCTATTTTCAAAACAATTATATTAGCTATCTTTTTATTTTTATTTTATTCCAGGCCTTTTAGCTCAGATTCATGTTCTCAAATGTATTTCTTCAAGCAATGGACCAAAATGGACAACCAATAGATCGATATACATAGACTTCATTGCAGAATACACTAGCCAACCGAATAGCTAATTGTACTCACCTTCGGTTTGTGTCACCTATCCTTATTTGAGCTCCATATGGAAAGATTTTCTTAACAGTTCCATCTAAAAGTGTTCCCTCCTTAAGATGTAAAATTGCCTGCCACATTTAAGGTAAAGTCAGCAGGCCTTCTTTTCTTCCCATGAGAATCGGTACCAAAAAAACCAAAGAATACATCAAACAGCAATAAGAGAAAAAGTAAAGGAAATGCAGCACTGAAACTGACCCAAGCTTCCCTCTCACTCAGTATTAAGTCATTAGTGGCTTCATTTATTCGAGTAATTTGCACATTAATTCGGCGCCCCACCTACGACATCAAGAAAACAAATGCATAAGAAACATCCAATCAATTAAAAAAAAATGAATTGGAAAATAAACATAAAGAAAGCATCGTAGCTAAATTATCAAAAAATTCAGTACAGTTAAGGTGTACAAGGCAACGTGTCAACTATAAGTGATCTTCTTATGAATTTCTAGATAATGTAACATATAATAATGCAACTCTAACAACAAAAGATAGTTAATGTAACAATTATTTCAAAGGGTTTAAATTGACGCATGAAGATAATCATTATTCCTCATAAATGCCTCACGCGTACAAACAAAAAGCAAAACCAATTAAGTGGCCCAGAGTTACGTCATAAAAAATTCCATAGAGTTTTAACTAACATTTTCTTTCAACTCAGTGAAGCTGTTTACTCTGTTCAGCAACTCAGCTTTTGGAAGGAACGCTCGTAAACCCTGAAAAAAAAAAATCTGAAAATGATTAACACTTGACACAGATGCACACATGAAATGAACAAACATATAAAATAGTTCAACAAACCTCAATTCTTGTGAGAAGACCACCAGTATTCCACTCCGTAATTTTAACCTCGATAGGTTCATTTAGCTGTTTTATCTGTCCAAGACTTGGTAAATTCATCAAAAATACTCAAAATTACTTTGTAAAACTTGGATTATCACCCAGAACACATGGCATTGACTGGAAGTTAAATGGTTGCAAAGAAAAGTAAAACATCTAAACATAATTAAAAAATAAAAAAAAAGAACTATCATGTATCTCAATTTATGAAGCAGATAAAAAATATCTTAATTGTTAATGCTTTAAAATGAAATAAAACTTAAATACCTCATACAAGTTACATCATTCTAAAATAACATGTTACCTTCAGAGTCAATAAAAAGTAATAAACAACGCTCATAAGTTCTGTATCAAATTAACAAATCCACAAAAACCATGCAGAAAAAAGCAAGAAAAGAACCTGCCTCACTCGATGCCAAGCCAGCTTTCGGAATAACCGTCTAGTTGAAAGCAACGGCCGACCACTGAGGGTCCTCCCAAGAACCTCAGCAAACAGAACAGTTCCATTCTCCACAACAGGTCTTCCCAGCCCTGCGTCCCCACTTGTAGCATCATCACTCTTAACAATTCCCATCTTCCCTCGAACCATAAACTCCTCGGCATCCTTCTCTAAGTCACATAACAAGAAATCCATCTCTTTGTCATACAAAGGCAACACTTCCTTCGTCAACATTGTACCTAACAAGTCTGCCCCAACATTCACATCAAGCTTATTCTCATTGCCAGAAACCACAACACCAACAACAAAATCACCCGGTTTCGGCTCATAATACTCCACACTGACCTTCTTATCTCTCTCTACATTATCATCCACATTAACACTCTCATTATTAACTCCCTTCTCTTCAGCATCCTCCACTGACTCTCTAGGCTTAAGGAACTTCAGAAAAGGCTTTATAGCCTCTTCTTCATCAGGTTTTTCAACTTTTTTCTCAACTTCAGAAACAACCCCATTATCATCTAGAGCTACATGACTAGGCTTATTCAAAAGTTCAAGCTCATCATTCTCTAATTTTCCATTAATTTCACTCCTTTCAGGCAATTGGGTACTCGAAAACCCATCAAAGCCATCGTTTTGAGAGCAAAATCCAATATGGGTACTTCTCAAAAACCCAAAAGTAGTTTTAAACACAAGGGTTTTAGATGACCACAGTATGGAAAAGGAGCGAACTTTCAGAGTCTTAGGCTTGTTTTGAACTGTGTTGCTGTGCAGAAAACTGAAATTATTAAGAAAGTTTAGAGACTTACAAGGTTGAATAAGAGTTTGCATCTTCTCTTATCCTGGGCAACTCATCGGCTAATTCTCTAAGCTTTTGTCCAAAGAAATCCATTGCCGCTTCCCGGTTTGCTTTATCTATTCTTTTTCAAAGTGTTAAACGGATTGGGCCTATGATGGGCTTTACATAAAGCCTTGCAGGGCCAAATTGAGAAGCCCATTTTGTCTGTCAAATTTTGAATAAATTTTTTTCTCAAATTATAAAAGTTGGCATAAATCTCTTTTGAAAATCATTAAAAAAAAAAAATAGTCAAATTTTTATGGCATTTATTATAAATCTTAATGAGAAAAATTCTTTGACTTTTTTTCTAAATCATCGAGGCACTTGTAATTACACTTAATCTCATTATATATAAGAAGATTAAATATATAGTGTTAGGATAATGTAACATGACATTCGTGGGTTGGGGATCTAGATTCCCCGACATCCCCGTCTCGGCCCTCTTAGGGTTGGGGATGGGACCGGGGACCCCATTCCCCGGCCCCGACCCAACCATATCTTCAACTCTTCATATAAAGAGTTAATTTGATACTCTAGAAAGTTATAACTAATTCATTGCATGGGAAGTTAGCTTTATTTATTTATTTATTTGAATGTGAATGATTGCAAAAGAGATTGGATTATATAAATGTATATAAGGATCAATATTTTTTATCTTAACTTAAAATATTGACTTAAATTTTCAACCATTCATTTAATAAAGGGCCTTTTTAAAAAAAATTAAAAAATCATATCCTTGAGTTAAAAGATATATACCCCACATAAACCATTTTTTAAACAATTATTAGTAATATTTTTTTTTCAACTATTGAGTTAAACATTCGTCACGGTTGAATTTTCATTTCAAATATATCGACTATGAGTATTTAATTAAACACTTTAGATGACTAAGATCTTATTTAAAATATTTATCAACTATAGAACACATCAGTCATGTATATTATACTCATTTTCAATTACTTGTACTTAACTATCAACTATCGTGTTCGATTATGACTTTTGAATGTACAAACCCTCGTGATATAAGAATCATTTACGTTGTTAATCAACTCACAATAGCATATTATAATTAACACCTACATTGGAGATGACGATAGATGAATACTTGCAAGAGTAATATACTAATTTGATAGCAAATCACTAACTAGTTGGATTCTAGACGGCAATAAATATTTAATTCGACTAATCAATTTGGGTAACATTTAAAATTAGGGTTAGAAGTGAAAGCTTGATCAAATAATTAATTTTGGCATTTTTCTAACATTGATGATGACATTTGCTATGTGAAAAATTACAAAATTGATTGCAAGGGTAGGTACACATAGTTTATTGTTAGGTTTTCTTCCATGAGCTAAGCATTATCTTTAAAGAGTAAACGACTTTTTCCCACCTAAGGTTTGCCTTAATTAAACTTTATTATCCAAAAAGTTTCAAAATATCACTTTCTCATTCAAAGTTTATATCCAGTTAATAACAAAAATAAACTTCAATTTTTCAGCCAGCATTCGGCTAGTTATCAGGAGCCAAGGTAAGAGAATTTTTGTAGAATAGAGGCCAGTGGATCGAGTGGTGGTAACTGTTTAAATATTCGCAGTCAAAAATCAACTAAGAATATGAATCTCTAGCTTTGCGGTGACCAACAATCAGCGAAAAATCGGGTGTCAGAGTGAGAGGAGTTTTACAGAGAGGAGATTGGAACTTCAAATGGTGATGACGAAGAAATTTTTCACCACCGAAATCGGTTTTGGGTAGTAACGAAATACTAACTTTGGGTAGAAAAGTGGCATTTTAAAACTTTTTAGGTGGGAAAGTGTCATTAAGGCAAACCATGGGTGGGAAAAATTCGTTTACTCTATATTTAAAATAAAAAATTACCCTATTAGTTTTCACTCATGCATAATTTATTTGTTTGTTTATTTATATATGACACCTAAGTAGAAGATATGATAATTACCAAAAATTAAGAATAGTTTCGTTGACTTTATTTAAAATTTTATGAATATCTACGTAGATAAAAATAATAATAATAATAATTACGACGCTTTTTTTATAGTTAGCACTAAAAACTACATTGCAAAGATATTTTCTGCCATGATATTAAAATGTGTTGCAAAAAGAGTGTTTATATTTATATGTTTCGGAGCCAAATTAAATTGAAATATCATAAATCTATATTAAAAGAATTTTTTTTTATATATTTTTTTAAAACTAAATTAAGTGATCAATGTATAATTAAACGAATCTCAATGTAGATAAATAAATTTAAATTAAATCTTAAGAAAAAAAAACCCTTGTTATATTGTGTAATTAGAAAATGCATAAAAACATTAATCGTAAATTTGTACAATGTATGATCGTGAATTTGAGAAATATGTCTCATTTGAGGCCAAAATTTAGACACAAAATAGTATTTCTAAAACCATAAGTCTTGTAGTTGGACGATAAGACTTTAGCCATCTGGGTGGATTATCCAGAGGTTTTGTGTTAAAGTCCCACCAAGTAGCTATCTATCACATTTGTAGTTAAATTAATTGAGATGCGCGTAAACTCACTCGGACACCCCATAGATTTTATTCGTAGATTCCCTAATCATCAAAATCCAAGTTGTAAAATAAATGATTTTGTGAGTTTAATTATGAAAAGGAAATTATATAAAATAATTATGAATAATAACAATTGAGGCGATAATAAAAACATTCCTTGACTTGGTCTCAAATAATTGAGACAACTTATGACTCTCTTCACATGCCATGCCCCCCAACACATTGATGTTATTTAGAATTTTAGATTTGGTGCCGAATGCCAAGTTGCCACGTGTTGGATGAATTAGAATTAAATTAATACTTCAAGATTATAATTAGTAATAGAGGGGACTTTCCAAATCTACCGCAGTGTTTACCTTTGAATCAAGTACACCCCTTTTAGTTTTGAAATTCTCTCTCATATGCTTGACCCTGGAAAACTTCTATAAAAATAACCTAAAAGCTTAAGTGATTGGGTAAAACACTAAAGCCATAAAGGTTATTTTACAATGGATCTAAAAGCTTAAACTATTAGGTAAGGACTTATACCTTCTCACATAATTAGATTTGGCAAAACGGGTGGGTGGGCCGGGTTCGGGTCGGGTCTTCATGGGTCCGGGTCATATACGGGTCAAGGTATATGAGTCTAAAATATTGGACCCATACCCTATCCTATGAGGGTACGGGTGGACCTGCGGGTACCCGTTTTTTCTCTCTCCAAGTTTTAAATTTTTTGTTTCACCCCTAATAGTTTTTAATTATGACAATTATACCCCTAAAATTCCTACAGTTTTAATTTTTTACATTTACACCCCCAAAATCAATTACTCTAAATTCAATTCAATTTAGAATATAAATAAATGGGAATCAAAATAAACAAATAACACATAAACAAACACAATAAGTCAATAACATATAATACAAAACTATAAATACCAAAAAAATAAACAAATACATAATCACTAATACACATAAACAAACACAAAAAGTCAATAACGTAAGATAAAAAACTACAAATATCAATTAAAATAAATAAATCTTTTTTTTTTTTTAACGGGTTGACCTGTATAACCCGTTGAATATACGAGCTGGGTACGGGTCCAGAAAAAACAGGTCCAAACATTGGACCTATACTCTATATTTTTTACCTGAGTACGTGTCAACCCGCAAGTCTTGACCCATTTTACCAGGTCTACACATAATATATAGATTTTTTCACGTGAAAACTAAAATACTTAAGCTGATAGTACAAGCTCAAGTTCCCTCACATAAAATATGGATTGTTTCACATGAAACTTGGGTTCGATGATAGATCATTTTGAAAAGAGATTGAAGTAATTGATTTAATTCATTAATTGAGAATAATTAGTTATAGAAGAACTATTTGATCTATAAGCTTAAAATGTTTAAGTAAACTTGTAATATTAATTTTGAAGTCCAATACATTATCAAGTTACTTGTTAAATTTAATGGAAATTGTACCAGTGCAGGAGGTAAACGATGTTTTAAAAACATGTTTTTGGTTTTAAATGGAAGATAGAGGAAGGTTAATGAAATTTACCCATTTTACCATTTGATTGATTAAATGTACAAGGACGTCAGGAAGAGTAATATATTTAATAATGAAGTAGTTAATCGATTATGCGTTGATTATGATTAAATTAAATTTATAACTGTTAATTAAAAAATATATTAATTAATATATTACTAATCAATCTTGACTTTGCTTCCATGTTGTTGGCATAGTACTACTTTTTTTAAAGTATTATTGTTGGATTCAATCAATCAAGAAATTGTATTCACTAAAATAATTAAAAAACTCTTTTCTAAAAACAAAAACAAGAAATTGAATTTTATATTTTTAATTATCCGAACTAATTTATGTGCACCTCAACTAATTTATTGGAATCCTGAAACTACCGATTGGGTAAGAATTCTAGTAATTATCCCTATTAACAATTAATAAAGGATTCGAATTCAGAACTTCTTAAGTAATACATTCAAGAGTCTATATCAAACCACTCAATTACCCAGAAATAATTAAAAAATAGAATTATTAAACACCTACTATGTATATTTTTTGATATGAAAACTTAAAATTATTTTATTTTTCTCTCACCTTTGCATATTGTTAGACATGTGTAAATAAATAAATAAATTATAAAATTGCTAACAAATAATTTGAATATTGTAGAAGAGACAAAAGGTTAATATAATTGTATTTTTAATAAATAATAATTGCTGATGTGCAAATAATAATTATTATGAAACCCCAAATATTTTTTGTTGGGTCAATCAGTATTTTATTTTGATTTCATAATCCGATGTTATTAATAAACCATCTCTTAATTTGGACCCTACACGTCTCAGATTACTTTGGAACTCTGAATTAGAACAAAATAATTAGAGATAATTATTACACCCATGTCCTGTTCCACTCTTCTTCTAACGTCTGGCAATTTAATTTCTGCACATCCTTAAGCACAACGGATCTTGTATAGCTGTGGACAAATAAATTTAATAAATTTAATCTTATTTAATTCTATAAGATAATAAGAATGCAAATTCAGAAATGGTTAAAACTTAAAAACACAAAAATAAAAAATCTTAATTAATTATATAAGATGTTTATGGATTTTAAATCTGAATAATTCATATCAGAGGTGTGCAAAAGAATCGGTCTGAACTAGAACCTGAATCAACCCTCACAAGGTCGGTTCCAATTCTAAAAAATCAAAACTAACTCTGTACAGTTTTGGTTTTGGTTCAAATTTCACCACTGTAGGAACCGAAACTAAAACTGAGAATCACAACTAGAACTAAGACCTAAGTACTCGGGTAAGAATAGAGATTGAATTGTAATTTTTATAAATTTTTGAGGGTGTATTGTGATTTTTTGAGAGTATATTTGTTATTTTTATGAATACTAAGGGGTATTAATGAGTGCCAAAATCAAAATCAAAACCTGCACCGCCACCGTTTCATATTGCAGAGAATTCTAGCTCCACCTATTATTATTTACAGGGCTAGGTACTCGGGTAAGAATAAAGACTGAACTGTATTTTTTATAGGGCCCATTTCAAATACTAATTGATATTTGGATAATGTAAAACGTGATGAAATATAAATTTTGATAAAATCAAAAATAGACAAGATAAAAAGCATGTTACGTACAACAACCCTTTGAAAAATTGACAAGAATTTGGAATGTTGTCAATTTTCAAAAAAAAAATCTGATGGGAAATTTAATAGGGAAATGTACGGTTCATTTAATTTGCATAGTAAATTAATCTTTAACTATTTATTAATCTCTTTTTTTTTTTTAACTATGTCATAAGTAAATGTTCATATCCAAAATAGCTTTAGACTGATCAGGATTAAAGTGTCAGTTTTAGAATCTTCCAGAAACTGAATTACCTTTAGAAATCGCTGGGACAAATTTTATTTTTTTATTTAAATTTTTTTACACACAATATAAGAGTCCAAAACAAATATAGATTTGACACGACAAGTACACCTGCCAGCTATATAGAGTTTTGGCTATTTTTCTGTAACTATATAACAAGAAGAAGAATATCAATTATTTTCACTCAATAAAGCCAAACAAAATTCTGATCACATAACCTAAATTTTAAAAGCACCGCTCTTCTGTTTACTGCCTCTTTATAAATATTAGTCAAAAGGGGCTAAGAAAAAGATATCTAAAGAAAAGAACTATAGCCTGCAGCTGCCGCCAGTTGTTTGTTTGTTTGCCGCCGAGAAGAGAAGCTTCAGCTAGCTTGAGTGATTATCGTTTAAACTGCACTGCACTTGTGAGGTACGTATGATTTTTTCCTTTCTTTTTTCTCTATGTAGTCTGTAGTGATCTTATGCTTTGGTTGTTTTATTTGATCTCTTTGTTTGATCGGTAAGATCTCCTGGTTTTAGAGTAAAAAAGGGTTTTGAAATCGAATCCCACTTGGGATTTGGTGTTGAAACTGATGATGAATAATGTTTTTGACTCTGAACTTCCGGGAATCTGAACTTTCTCTCTGCTCTTTGCTTTCTAAGTAACATTAGAACTTCGTTAAGAAATGAGAAAAAGGGTTGAATTTGATCGGTCTTCTTTGTTTTCAGTCATGAATATGATTTCATGAAGAACTGGGAAAAAAGGGTTGAATTTGATCAGTTTGTGTTAGTGATTTTTTTTTTTTTTTTTAATATAAACATATATATTAAAGAATTGTTTTTGGATTTAACAATAAACACAGTAAAATTAGTTGGTGATATAGGCACTACACTAACAATAAAATATACTACACTCGTTACAAGTACATGTATTATTATCAATTTAGAACAATTTTTTTAATTAATTTAATGATATTTTAACGATCGTATAGAATAGAAAATATATGTAACAATTATTAAATACAACTCTTGTTTTTTTTTAAATTTTAGTAATAAATGATCATACTAAAAGTAGTAACTGAACTCTTCCCTATTTATTAGATGTCTATACACTATAGTTTTACTAAAAAACGAATCTAGTAATAATACTTTGTGTTAAAGCAAAGATATAAAACGAGAATGCCTCCATTGTGCGTGGCAATTTCAGGTTGACAAGACATTCTGTTGAATTTATCTCTCTACTTTTTTTTTTTTTTTTTTTTTTCCCCTAAACCCAATTACCCAATAATTATCTTGTGAGATTATTAACAATTATACGTTTAGGATAACCTATAGTTTCCATGAAAGACTAACTTTAAAATAAACAAAATTGATTGGGTCATATGGTCACTAGAATTAACCTACCCACTTTACTACTTTGTTTTTTTTTTTATATATTGAAAGTCCATTATATATCACATCAGGGATGTTAATAAAAAAAAAAAAATCAAATATATGGGTACAGAGCTTTAAAAAAATAATAAAGATTAGTTTATAATACAATCTTACAAACTTTCTCTTAAAATTTTGATGTGATGGTTTATAATTGATTATTTTATAATTAGATTGATGTAATCTATTGATAACTGATCAATTACGAACTGTTACGTTGAAGTTATAAGGTAAAATTTATGATATTGGATTGTAAATATATTATTGCTCTTAAAAAATTAAAAAAAAAGTTTAATATTTACAAAATGTTTAAAAGAACCTCAAATGATAATAATCGTAAAAAATTATATAATAATTATTAAATAACTTAACCACTCCTTAATAATAATTATGATAAATAATAGAAAAGAAAATAAAAAGACTTCTTAAAATTATTATTTTACTTTTCTCTTGCTTTTGCATATTGTTAGATATGTGTAAATAAATTTTAAATAATTTGAATAATGTAGAAGAGACAAAAGAAGACAATATAATTGTCTTTTTATAATAGTTATGATTGGGAAACCCCAAATATTTATTGTTGGGTCAATTAGCATTTTCTTTTGATTTCATAATCCAACGTCATTAATAAATCATCACTTAATTTAGACCCTACACATCACATATTGCTTTGGGATTCTGTATTTGGACAAAATAATTAGATCTTGTCCCATTCAACTCTTCTTCTATTTAATTTCTGCCCATCGTTAAGCACAAGAGATCTTGTATTATAGTTGTGGAGATATAAATTTAATCTTATTTAATTATATAAGAATGCAAATTCAGAGATGGTTTTAAAAACAGAAAAATAAAATAAAAAACCTTAATTCAACTATTAGTATTTATAGGACCCATTTCAATACTAGTGGATGATGTAAAATGTGATGAAATATAAATTTTGAAAAAATAAAAACAAGACAAGACACATCAAGTACAACAGCCTCTGAATAATCGACTAAATTTTGGAATGTAGTCAAAAATAAAAAATAAAAAATAAAAAAAAAAATAAGAAAAAAAAAAAAAAAATTATTTATTTAATTTTTTTACACAAATATGAGAACCCAAAATAAATATAGATTTGACAAGAGCTATATAAAATAAAACCCCCACTAAAAAAACATGAAAAATTTGTATATTGGAGGTGCCCACATTGTGAGATATACAATGCATGCGTAGTTACGTACTAGAGAAGTTAATGCAACACGCCACGTGGTGCAACACAGTCTGGCCTAGCAATTAACGAGGGACCAGAAAGAAAACCATCACTTTCTTCTTGTTTATGAATTTTGGCTGTTTTCTGTACACTATATAACAACGAGAAGGATAGCATATTTTCAATAAACAAATTTCTGACCACATAATATAAATTTTAAAGCACCGCTTTCTGTTTACTGGGTCTTTACAAATATTAGTCAAAAGATATCTAAAAACTCTACCCTGCAGCTGCCGCAACTAATTTGTTTGTCTGCCGCTGAGGAGAGAAGCTTCTCTGCTAGCTGAGTGATTATCGTTTAGACTGCACTGCACTGTGAGGTACGTATGATTTTTTGCTTTTTTCTTCTCTGTAGTGATATTATGCTTTGGTTGTTCCATTTGATCTCTTTGTTTGTTTGGTAAGATCTCTTGGTTTTAGACTTAAAAAAAGGTTTTGGAATCGAATCCCACTTGGGATTTGGTGTTGAAACTGATGATTAGTAATGTTTTTTATTCTCAACTTAGTTTCTCTCTGCAGTCTTCTCCCTTTTTTCTTTTGTTCTTTGTTTTCCGAGTAATATTAGTACTCCATTAAGAAATTACGAAAAGGGTTGAATTTGATCGGTTTACGTTTGCAAATTTTGTGTTTTTAATTCTTCTTTGTTTTCAGTCATGAATATGATTTCCTGAAGAACTGGGAAAAAGGGGTTGGATTTGATCAGTTTGTGTTGGTGAATTTTTTAATTTTATAAACATATATATTAGAAAATTATTTTTGGATTTAACATTAAATACAATAAAATTAATTGGTGATATAGAGACTAATAAAAAAATATACTACACTCGTTTCAAGTACAAGTATTGTTGTCAATTTAGAGTAATTTCTTTTATTTATTGTTATTATTATTAATTTACTGATATTTTAACGATCGTATAGAATTAAAAATATATGTAATATTAAATGAATAAAACTCTTTTTTTTTTTTTTTAATTTTATTTTTTATAATGAAAGCCCATGATATATATCATGTCAGGGATGGAACATAAAAATAAAACAAAATTGCTTGAGATAAGCCATTCGTTTTTGAGATAGATGCATGCTGTCGTTGGGTGGGTGTCGATGTAATGTCCACATTCCTTATTCGTCTCGAAGTGCAATTATAATATTTTATCGTTAAAAAAAATAAAATAATAACATCAAATAAAATAAACACCCCTAATTATCATAATTATGATAAATAAAGAAATTGTGTTTGGTGAAACGAGCAACATGGGATTACACTGATCTTACGACGATTTTTCTTCAAAAACCGAAAGATAATATTTCTGTTTTTGGGTATCTTTGTCACTTTCGTGACATCGTTGTTATTACTTTTTGGGACGTCGTTGTTAGTTTTTGAAATCTATAGTGGTGGCCAGAAGAGCAATTTTTGTCTAGAAAAGAAAGATAAGGTTTTAATTTTGGGGTGTTTTTGTTACTTTTGTGATGTCTGTTAGTTCTGGAAGCCTATGCAAGCTGTCAATGATCCACATTCCTTTTTGTCCCAAAATATAAGATTTAGAATAAAAATTGTAAGCTCTACATGGATGGAACCATAAGTTTGCACCTAAATCACATGGATAGCGTTAAATCAGCTAACCATGCTTACCCCCCACAACCGTCCATTTCCTGCCCCATCTCTCTGGGTGCTAACCATCTTTTCATTTCACCCTCCAAAAAGCGCACCATTGACTTTCCCTGCCGCCATCTTTGAGTAATTTAATTAAAGTAAACCCTTCTTCTTTTTTCACCTAACCAATGAAGTTTCCACAAATTTAATATAAAATCTTAAGGTAGATATAGTACTTAATCACCTTATTTAAAATATATTAGGTTTTTTTTTTTTATTATATAGAATTATGTAGACCAAATATACATGTCGATTTAAGAAAAAATATAAAAAAAAATCTAAGATCTTCGATAAGACATGATGATTTTCTGATAAATCAGTCACAACTTTTTTAAGGGAAGCTATGAAAATTACATTAACTTGTAGATTTTTTTTTTTTATATATTTTTTAAATAAGAAAAAGAAAATGAAGTGGATTCAATTTAATTTATAAACAAAATAAGAATAACTACACATAGGATGCTCATCTATTAGAAGAGAAAAATAGAAAAAAAGAAACTTTAGTTGAATAAAGAGTGACTGGGAGTCGGTGGGTCAATTTTTCATAATAAGGCAGTCGGTACATAAAATCATAATGACATTTATGAATGTGGTCAGGTTCACAAATAATGTATGACAAAAAAATGTTGAATTTTATGAACATGAAATCATCAGTTGGGTATTATTGTGTCTCTAAAGTCTAAACACATTGTGAGTTCGTTTTGACTCTTATAATAATTGGTGGGTCTTAATCTGGGATCTTTCCGACATTTGATTGTCTACACTATTAGCATTAACGGAACCACAAAATTTCCTTTAATTTTAAGGGTAGGATTTTGAGTCTTGTTAGAGTATTGGGTGTCTTTGAGATTGTCCATTCTTCGATGCGATGCCCATTTGCCCTCAGTTATTTGTTGAATCTTACATTTGGCTACCCAAGATGAAAATTTCTATATCTATTTTATATATTTGTGCCAAGAAAACAATAATCACATCCAGAAGCGTCAATTGTGATTATTGTTTTTTTTTTTTTTAAAATTAATTTATTTAGGTGAAATATGATATTAATTCTCATTTAGAACAACAATATTAAATGGGTTGAGTCGTGTCATTTGAATTTATGAAAATTTCATACACATGAGATCGAGCTAATTGAATTATGAGTTTATAACCAATATTTAATAACAAAGTTTATCATAATTTGGTTCATTTTTTTTTTTTTTTCATATCCTATAGTTGATTTGGTTTTAGATTTATGAGTTTTATTTGTATTATAAATATCATAATTCATGTCATGCATGCATGTTACATGAAACTAATCCATAAACATATAGTATATTTCTTATCTTAAATGCAATCCATTTAATCTCAATAAATTTCATAAAATTATAATTATATTGGGTTTAGTTCCAATTAAATTTTAATTTAGAACCATTGTGGGTTGCAAAGTTGGTGAGAACATTTAATACCCTCTAAAAATTAATTTTTATGTAAATAATAGATTAATATTATGTGATTGTCACATTCTTTATTTGTTGATTTATTCATTTACATTACATTCATTCATTATTCATGTGACAAATAAATTATGTTTTAAATAGTAATTAATTTAAAAATTGATATAATTTTAACCAACATCGTGTAACACGAAATCCCAATATCTTTAATCTTTTAATTTTTAACACTAAAATTAGGAACCTTATCTATAAGAATCACACCTCAACGTGCAATTTAGAGAATTAATTATATAATTAAATTCACGTAATTAGGTTTTTAACTTTTGTTTAATGCCCTGATGCACAATGACTTGCTTTCATGTAGTGGATATGGGGTAGGCCAAAGTTTATGCCACCCCAATAACAATTATGGAGTGGTCCCTATTATTTGTAAAGCTTACAATAATTACTAATTAATTGCCTCAATTAACCATATTTATAAATTACACATTTTTATTTTTAGATTTCTGTTTTTAAGAAAATGATAAAAAAAAAATTATATTTTATTTGTGAAATTTATAAAATGGGTCCAAACAAGATCCCACTTTTGGCCGTCCATTAAATAAGGGATTACAAGTCAGCCGTCCATTAAATAAGGATTAGAAGTCAGCCGTTTGATAAAGTCTCCTAAGTCTTGACCAATTAGATTCCTTTCAAACTTTAGTCAATTTAAAAAATATTTTTAATATTTTCTTAAATAATATAAAGGTTTTCAGTCATGAATATGATTTCATAAGAACTGGGAAAAAAGGGTTGAATTTGATCAGTTTGTGTTAGTGATTTTTTTTTTTTTTTTTATAAAACATATATTATAATTGTTTTTGGATTTAACAATAAACACAGTAAAATTAGTTGGTGATATAGGCACTACACTAACAATAAAATATACTACACTCGTTACAGTACATGTATTATTATCAATTTAGAACAATTTTTTTAATTAATTTAATGATATTTAACGATCGTATAGAATAGAAATATATGTAACAATTATTAAATACAACTCTTGTTTTTTTTAAATTTTAGTAATAAAGATCATACTAAAAGTAGTAACTGAACTCTTCCCTATTTATTAGATGTCTATACACTATAGTTTTACTAAAAACGAATCTAGTAAATATATTTGTGTTAAAGCAAAGATATAAAACGAAATGCCTCCATTGTGCGTGGCAATTTCAGGTTGACAAGACATTCTGTTGAATTTATCTCTCTACTTTTTTTTTTTTTTTTTTTTTTCCCCTAAACCCAATTACCAAATAATTATCTTGTGAGATTATTAACAATTATACGTTTGGATAACCTATAGTTTCCATGAAAGACTAACTTTAAAATAACAAAATTGATTGGTCATATGGTCACTAGAATTAACCTACCCACTTTACTACTTTGTTTTTTTTTATATATTGAAAGTCCATTATATATCACATCAGGATGTTAATAAAAAAAAAAATCAAATATATGGGTACAGAGCTTTAAAAAATAATAAAGATTAGTTTATACATACATCTTACAAACTTTCTCTTAAATTTTGATGTGATGGTTTATAATTGATTATTTTATAATTAGATGATGTAATCTATTGATAACTGATCAATTACACTTACGTTGAAGTTATAAGGTAAAATTTATGATATTGGATTGTAATATATTATTGCTCTTAAAAAATTAAAAAAAGTTTAATATTTACAAAATGTTTAAAAGAACCTCAAATGATAATAATCGTAAAATTATTAATAATTATTAAATAACTTAACCACTCCTTAATATAATTATGTAAATAATAGAAAGAAAATAAAAAGACTTCTTAAAATTATTATTTTACTTTTCTCTTGCTTTTGCATATTGTTAGATATGTGTAAATAAATTTTAAATAATTTGAATAATGTAGAAGAACAAAAGAAGACAATATAATTGTCTTTTTATAATAGTTTGATTGGGAAACCCCAAATATTTATTGTTGGGTCAATTAGCATTTTCTTTGATTTCATAATCCAACGTCATTAATAAATCATCACTTAATTTAGACCCTACACATCACATATTGTTTGGGATTCTGTATTGGCAAAATAATAGATCTGGTCCCATTCACCTCTTCTTCTATTTAATTTCTGCCCACGTTAAGCACAAGAGATCTTGTATATAAGTTGTGGAGATATAAATTTAATCTTATTTAATTATATAAGAATGCAAATTCAGAGATGTTTTAAAAACAGAAAAATAAAATTAAAAACCTTAATTCAACTATTAGTATTATAGGACCCATTTCAATACTAGTGGATGATGAAAATGTGATGAAATATAAATTTTGAAAAATAAAACAAGACAAGACACATCAAGTACAACAGCCTCTGAATAATCACTAAATTTTGGAATGTCGTCAAAAATTTCCGATGGGAAATTTAGTAGGGCTTTTGTTGGGACAATTTTTTTATTTATTTAATTTTTTTACACAAATATGAGAGCCCAAAATAAATATAGATTTGACAAGCTATATAAAATAAAACCCCACTAAAAAACATGAAAAATTTGTATATTGAGGTGCCCACATTGGGATATACAATGCATGCGTATTACGTACTAGAGAAGTTAATGCAACACCCACGTGGTGCAACACAGTCTGGCCTAGCAATTAACGAGGGACCAGAAAGAAACCTCACTTTCTTCTTGTTTATGAATTTTGGCTGTTTTCTGTACACTATGTGCAACGGAAGAATAGCATATTTTCATAAAACAAATTTCTGACCACTAATTAAATTTTAAGCACCGCTTTCTGTTTACTGGCTCTTTATAATATTAGTCAAAAGATATCTAAAAACTCTACCCTGCAGCTGCCGCAACTTATTTGTTTGTCTGCCCTAAGAAGAGAAGCTTCTCTGCTAGCTGAGTGATTATCGTTTAGACTGCACTGCACTGTGAGGTACGTATGATTTTTTGCTTTTTTCTTCTCTGTAGTGATATTATGCTTTGGTTGTTCCATTTGATCTCTTGTTGTTTGGTAAGATCTCTTGGTTTTAGACTTAAAAAAAGGTTTTGGAATCGAATCCCACTTGGGATTGGTGTTGAAACGATGATTAGTAATGTTTTTTATTCTCAACTTGTTTCTCTCTGCGGTCTTCTCCCTTTTTCTTTTGTTCTTTGTTTTCCGAGTAATATATTACTCCATTAAGAAATACGAAAAGGGTTGAATTTGATCGGTTTACGTTTGCAATTTTGTGTTTTTTAATTCTTCTTTGTTTTCAGTCATGAATATGATTTCCTGAAGAACTGGGAAAAAGGGGTTGGATTTGATCAGTTTGTGTTGGTGATTTTTTAATTTTATAAACATATATTATTAGAAATTATTTTTGATTTACATTAATACAATAAAATTAATTGGTGATATAGAGACTAATAAAAAAATATACTACACTCGTTTCAAGTACAAGTATTGTTGTCAATTTAGAGTAATTCTTTTTATTTATTATTATTATATTTTATTATTTACTGATATTTTAACGATCGTATAGATTAAAAATATTGTAATATTAAATGAATAAAACTCTTTTTTTTTTTTTTTTATTTTTTTATAATGAAAGCCCATGATAATATATCAGGGATGGAACATAAAAATAAAACAAAATTGCTTGAGATAAGCCATTCGTTTTTGAGATAGATGCATGCTGTCGTTGGGTGGGTGTCGATGTAATGTCCACATTCCTTATTCGTCTCGAAGTGCAATTATATTATTTTTCGTTAAAAAAAATAATAACATCAAATAAATAAACACCCCTAATTATCATAATTATGATATAAAGAAATTGTGTTTGGTGAAATGAAACATGGGATTACCTGATCTTACGACGATTTTTCTTCAAAAACCGTAAGATAATATTTCCGTTTTTGGGTATCTTTGTCACTTTCGTGACGTCTTGTTTCATTAAAAACACAAAAATAAAAAATCTTAATTAATTATATAAGATGTTTATGGATTTTAAATCTGAATAATTCATATCATATTTAGGGGTGTACAAAAGAACCGGTCTGAACTGGAACCTGAATCAGCCCTCACAAGGTCGGTTTCAATTTTAAAAAATCGAAACCAACTCTGTACGGTTTCAGTTTCACCACTATAGGAACCCAAACTAAAATCGAGAATCACAACTAGAACTAAAACCTAGGTAGTCGGGTAAGAATAGAGACTGAATTATAATTTTTATAAACTTTTGAGGATGTCTTTGTAATTTTTATAAATAATAAGGGGTATTAAGAGTACCGAAATCGGAATCAAAACCTATGACTCACGTTTGGATTCTAGACTTTTAGGAACCGAATAGTTCAGATTCGGGTTCCATGTGATTTGAGCAGGTACCTGCACCGCCACCGTTTCATATTGCAGAGAATTCTAGTTCCAACTATTAATTATAGGGCCCATTTCAAATAGTAATTGATATTTGGATAATGTAAAACGTGATGAAATATAAATTTTGATAAAATCAAAACTAGACGAGATATAAAGCATATTACGTACAACCACCCTTTGAAAAATTGTCAAGATTTTGGAATGTTGTCAATTTTAAAAAAAAAATCTGATGGGAAATTTAATAGGGAAATGTACGGTTCATTTAATTTGCATAGTAAATTAATCTTTAACTATTTATTAATCATTTTTTTTTTTTTTTTAAACTTTGTCATAAGTAAATATTCATATCCAAAATAGCTTTAGACTGATGAGGATTAAAGTGTCAGTTTTAGAATCTTCCAGAAACTGAATTACCTTTAGAAATCGCTGGGACAAATTTTATTTTTTTATTTAAATTTTTTTGCACACAATATAAGACTCCAAAACAAAAATGGATTTGACAAGACAAGTACACCTGCCAGCTATATAAAGTTTTGGCTATTTTTCTGTAACTATATAACAAGAAGAAGAATATCAATTATTTTCACTCAATAAAGCCAAACAAAATTCTTATCACATAACCTAAATTTTAAAAGCACCGCTCTTCTGTTTACTGCCTGTTTATAAATATTAGTCAAAAGCGGCTAAGAAAAAGATATCTAAAGAAAAGAACTATAGCCTGCAGCTGCCGCCAGTTGTTTGTTTGTTTGCCGCTGAGAAGAGAAGCTTCAGTTAGCTTGAGTGATTATCGTTTAAACTGCACTGCACTGTGAGGTACGTATGATTTTTTCCTTTCTTTTTTCTCTATGTAGTCTGTAGTGATCTTATGCTTTGGTTGTTTAATTTGATCTCTTTGTTTGATCGGTAAGATCTCCTGGTTTTAGAGTAAAAAAGGGTTTTGAAATCGAATCCCACTCGGGATTTGGTGTTGAAACTGATGATGAGTAATGTTTTTGACTCTGAACTTCCGGGAATCTGAACTTTCTCTCTGCTCTTTGTTTTCTAAGTAACATTAGAACTTCGTTAAGAAATGAGAAAAAGGGTTGAATTTGATCGGTCTTCTTTGTGTTCTGCTCTTTGTTTCTAAGTAACATTAGAACTTCGTTAAGAAATGAGAAAAAGGGTTGAATTTGATCGGTCTTCTTTGTTTTCAGTCATGAATATGATTTCATGAAGAACTGGGAAAAAAGGGTTGAATTTGATCAGTTTGTGTTGTGATTTTTTTTTTTTTTTTTTAAAAATAATTAAGAATTGTTTTGATTTAACAAAACAGTAATATGGTTATATATATAAAGTATATTAAAGAATTGTTTTGGATTTAACAAAAACACAGTAAAATTAGTTGGTGATTAGGCACTAACAATAAAAATATACACTCGTTACAAACATGTATTATATCAATTAGAACAATTTTTTTAATTAATTTAATGATTTTTAACGATCGTATAGAATAGAAAAAATGTAACAATTATTAAATAAAAATCTGTTTTTTTTTTAAATTTAGTAAAAATGATCATACTAAAAGTAGTAATGAACTCTTCCCTATTTATTAGATGTCTATACACTATAGTTTTACTAAAAAACGAATCTAGTATATATACTTTGGGTTAAAGCAAAGATATAAAACGGAATGCCTCCATTGTGCGTGCAATTTAGGTGACAAGAACTTCTGTTGAATTTATCTCTTACTTTTTTTTTTTCCCCTAAACCAATTACCCAATATTTCTTGTGAGATTTTAAAATTATAGTAGGATAACCTATAGTTTCCATGAAAGACTAACTTAAAATAAACAAAATTGAATGGGTCATATGGTCCTAGAATTAACCTACCCACTTTACTACTTTGTTTTTTTTTATTTTTTTTTATTGAAAGTCCATTATATTCACATCAGGAGTTAATAAAAAAAAAAAATCAAATATAGTACAAAGCTTTAAAAAAATAATAAAATATAGTTAAATACAATCTTACAAACTTTCTCTTAAATTTGTGTGAAGTTTTGATTAGTTTAATTAGATGATGTAATCCATTAGAACTGATCAATTACGAATGTTACGTGAAGTTATAAGGTAAAATTTATGATATTGGATTATAATATATGTTCTTTAAAAATAAAAAAAAAAAAAGTTTAAATTTACAAAATGTTTAAAAGACCTCAATGATAATAATCGTAAAAAATTATATAATAATATAAATAACTTACCACTCTAATAATAATTATGATAAATAATAGAAAAAAAAAATAAAAGACTCTTAAAATTATTATTTACTTTTCTCTTGCTTTTGCATATTGTTAGATATGTGTAAATAAATTTTAAATAATTTGAATAATGTAGAAGAGACAAAAGAAGACAAATAATTGTCTTTTTATAAAAGTTTTATTGGGAAACCCCAAATATTTTTTGTGGGTCAAATTAGATTTTATTTTGATTAATAAATCATCACTAATTATACCCTACACACAAAATTGCTTGGGATTTGATTTGGACAAAATAATTAGATCTTGTCATTCAATCTTCTCTCTATTTATATTCTGCCCATGTTAAGCCCAAGAGATCTTGTTATAGTTGTGGAGATATAAATTTAATCTTATTTAATTATATAAGAATGCAAATTCAGAGATGGTTTTAAAAACAGAAAAATAAATAAAAAAAACCTTAATTCAACTATTAGTATTATAGGACCCATTTCAATATAGTGGATGATGTAAAATGTGATGAAATATAAATTTTGAAAAATAAAACAAGACAAGACACATCAAGTACAACAGCCCTTGAATAATCGACTAAATTTTGGAATGTTGTCTCAAAAATTTCCGATGGAAATTTGTAGGGCGTGTTGGGACAATTTATTATTTAATTTTTTTACACAATATGAGACCCAAATAAATATAAGTTGACAAGAGCTATATAAATAAAACCCACTAAAAAAACATGAAAAATTTGTATATTGGATGGTACAATGCATGCGTAGTTACGTACTAGAGAAGTTAATGCAAACGCACGTGGTGCAACACAGTCTGGCCTAGAAATTAACGAGGGACCAGAAAGAACCATCACTTTCTTCTGTGTATGAATTTTGGCTGTTTTCTGTACACTATTCAACGAGAAGGATAGCATATTTCAATAAACAAATTTCTGACCACATATTAAATTTTAAAGCACCGCTTTCTGTTCACTGGGTCTTTAAAATATTAGTCAAAAGATATCTAAAAACTCTACCCTGCAGCTGCCGCAACTATTGTGTTGTCTGCCGCTGAGAGAAAGCTTCTCTGCTAGCTGATGATTATCGTTTAGACTAGACTGCATGCACTGTGAGGTACGTAGATTTTTTCTTTTTCTTCTCTGTAGTGATTATGCTTTGGTTGTTCCATTTGATCCTTGTTTGAGATCGTCTGGTTTTAGACTAAAAAAAGTTTTGGAATCGAATCCCACTTGGGATTTGGTGTTGAAACTGATGAATGTAATGTTTTTTATTCTCAACTTAGTTTCTCTCTGCAGTCTTTCCCTTTTTTTTTGTTCTTTGTTTTCCGAGTAATATTAGTACTCCATTAAGAAATTACGAAAAGGGTTGAATTTGATCGGTTTACGTTTGCAAATTTTGTGTTTTTAATTTCTTTGTTTTCAGTCAGAATATGATTTCCTGAAGAACTGGGAAAAAGGGGTTGGATTTGATCAGTTTGTGTTGGTGAATTTTTTAATTTATAAACATATATTAGAAAATTATTTTGGATTTAACATTAAATACAATAAAATTAATTGGTGATATAGGACTAATAAAAAATATACTACACTCGTTTCAAGTACAAGTATGTTGTCAATTAGAGTAATTTCTTTTATTTATTTTATATTATAATTACGATATTTTAACGATGTTAGAATTAAAAAATATGTAATATTAAATGAATAAAACTCTTTTTTTTTTTTTTATTATTTTTATAATGAAAGCCCATGATATATATCATTCAGGGATGGAACATAAAAATAAACAAAATTGCTTGAGATAAGCCATCGTTTTTGAGTAGATGCATGCTGTCGTTGGGTGGGTGTCGATGTATGTCCACATTCTTATCGTCTCGAAGTGCAATATATATATTTTATCGTTAAAAAAAAAAATAATAACATCAAAAAAAATAAACACCCCTAATTATCATAATATGATAAATAAAGAAATGTGTGTTTGGTGAAAGAGAACATGGGATTACACTGATCTTACGACGATTTTTCTTCAAAAACCGAAGATAATTTTCGTTTTGGGTATCTTTGTCACTTCGTGACTCGTTGTTATTACTTTTTGGGACGTGTTGTTAGTTTTTGAAATCTATAGTGGGGCCAGAAGAGCAATTTGTCAGAAAAGAAAGATAAGGTTTTAATTTCGGGGTGTTTTTGTTACTTTTGTGATGTCTGTGTTCTGGAAGCCTATGCAAGCTGTCAATGATCCACATTCTTTTGTCCCAAAATATAAGATTTAGAATAAAAATCGTAAGTCTACATGGATGGAACCATAAGTTTGCACCTAAATCACATGGATAGCGTTAAATCAGCTAACCATGCTTCCCCACACAACCGTCCATTTCCTGCCCCATCTCTCTGGGTGCTAACCATCTTTTCATTTCCCCTTCCAAAAAGGCACCATTGACTTTCCCTGCCGCCATCTTGAGTAATTTAATTAAAGTAAACCCTTCTTCTTTTTTCACCTAACCAATGAAGTTTCCACAAATTTAATATAAAATCTTAAGGTAGATATAGTATAATCACCTTATTTTAAATATATTAGGTTTTTTTTTTTTTTTTTATATATATAGAATATGTGACCAAAATACATGTCGATTTAAGAAAAATATAAAAAAAATCAAGATCTTCGAAAGACATGGATTTTCTGATAAATCATCACTTTTTTAAGGGAAGCTATGAAAATTACAAACTTAGATTTTTTTTTTTTATATATTTAAATAGAAAAAAGAAAATGAAGTGGATTCAATTTAATTATAAACAAAATAAGAATAACTACACATAGGATGCTCATCTATTAGAGAGAAAAATAGAAAAAGAAACTTTAGTTGAATAAAGAGTGACTGGGAGTCGGTGGGTCAATTTTTCATAATAAGGCAGGAAATCATAATGACATTTATGAATTTGGTCAGGTTCACAAAATGATGATTGACAAAAAAATGTTGAATTTTATAACATGAAATCACAGTTGGGTATTATTGTGTCTCTAAAGTCTAACACTTGTGAGTTCGTTTTGACTCTTATAATAATTGGTGGGTTTTAATCTGGGATCTCCGACATTTGATTGTCTACACTATTAGCATTAACGGAACCACAAAATTTCCTTTAATTTTAGGTAGGTTTTAGTCTTGTTAGAATATTGGGTGTTTTGAGATGTTCATTCTCGATGCGATGCCATTTTCCTCAGTATTTGTTGAATCTTACATTTGGCTCCCAAGATGAAATTTCTATATCATTTTATATATTGTGCCAAAAAACAATAATCACATCCAGAGCGTCAATTGTGATTATTGTTTTTTTTTTTTTAAAATTAATTATTTAGGTGAAATATGATATTAATTCTCATTTAGAACAACAATATTAAATGGGTTGAGTAGTGTCATTGAATTTATGAAAATTTCATACACATGAGATCGAGCTAATTGAATATGAGTTTATAACCAAATTTAATACAAAGTTTTCATAATTTGGTTCATTTTTTTTTTTTTATATCTATGTTGATTTGGTTTTAGATTATGAGTTTTATTTGTATTATAAATATCATATCATGTCATGCATGCATGTCATGAAACTAATCCATAACATATAGTATATTTCTTATCTAAATGCAATCCATTTATCTCAATAAATTTCATAAAATATATTATATTGGGTTAGTTCCAATAAATTTAATTTAGACCATTGTGGTTGCAAAGTTGGTGAGAACATTTAATACCTCTAAATTAATTATTTAATAATAGATTAAATTATGTGATTGTCACCTCTTTATTTGTTGATTTATTCATTTACATTACATTCATTCATTATTCATGTGACAAATAAATTATTTTTAATAGTATTAATTTAAAAAGATTAATTTTAACCAACATCGGTAACACGAAATCCCAATATCTTTAATCTTTTAATTTTTAACACTAAAATTAGGAACTTATCTATAAGATCACACCTCAACGTGCAATTAGAGAATTAATTATATAATTAATTCATAATTAGGTTTTTAACTTTTGTTTAATGCCCTATGCACAAGACTTGCTTCATGTAGTGGATATGGGTAGGCCAAAGTTTATGCCACCCCAATAACAATTATGGAGTGGTCCCTATTATTTGTAAAGCTTACAATAATACTAATTAATTGCCTTAATTAACCATATTTAAAATTACACATTTTATTTTTGATTTCTGTTTTTAAGAAAATGAAAAAAAAAATTAAATTATATTATTTGTGAAATTTATAAAATGGGTCCAAACAAGATCCCACTTTTGGCCGTCCATTAAATAAGGGATTACAAATCAGCCGTCCATTAAATTAGGATTAGAAGTCAGCCGTTTGATAAAGTTCCAAGTCTGACCAATTAGATTCTTTCAAACTTTAGTCATTTAAAAAATATTTTTAATATTTTCTTAAATAATATAATAGAAAACCTTTCTAACTCTTATAAAGGATCTTTAACTAAAAAAATAAATAATAATAATATTACAAATTTATTTTAAGATTTAACTATTTTATTTATGTGAAATGCAATTAATAATGTAATATAATATTATTTTTTTTTCTATCTCACAGTTGTGTTAAATAATATCTTTAAAATATATTTATCACATATTAGGGAATTTGATATATAAATATTATATATAATTTTAAGTGAATATATTATTAAAAAAATAATTGAATAAAATAAGATTACAGTACACAGGAATGGACGAACCGTTATTTTAGAGAACACAGTTAGATTTCTTTTCTTCTTCACATCTTTATATCTCAACTTTAACTACTTTCTCAGTTTCTCTTTATTCATTCTCATCATATTCTTGATTACACGAATCTCTCTGCTCATTCTTCTTCTTCTCAGCCATGAAACCTAAACATAGCTCAAAGCGCCAGCCGGAGGTACTTATCTTCTTCTCTCTCTCTCTCTTCTCTCTCTTTTTTTTTTTTTTTATGCTTTTTGGTTTTTACACTGCTGCTTTTAGTTTCCCTTAGTTTTTGTTTGGTTTGGTGGTTTTTTGATTTCGGATTACTGAGAGAGACTTTGCAGAGAACATGGGCTGAACTCTGTTTTTGTTTGGCTTATTGCTCGTGCCTAAGCTCTTTTGGCCTCGAGTTGTCGTGCGTAAGTGGTTCAACTCACGCAAAGACTCTGATTATAGTGCCGACAGCGACGACGACGACACTGACATCTTGATGCAGATTCTGACACCGAAGGTTAGATTTTGAACCCATTTGGTTGGATTTTGTTGTGTTTTGTAATTTGCTTAAAGTTTGAATTTTATGGGTTGTGCTTTGTTTGAGTTTTGAGGATGCCTTTGGGGTTTGAGTCTAAATTGCAGTGGCTTTTGCAGAAATTGGGCAATCAAGGTTCAGAGTTAACAAAGAGGAGGAAGCTCAAGTTGATCCTAATGGTAAATTTTGCATTACAATGTTGAAATTTTGGGAACTCAGTTGCTAAGAAAGTTGGGGAATTTCTGGGTTATTAGAGAGAAAGAAAAAAGAAAAAGAAAAGATAAAGTTCTTTGAATTATGAATTGGATAACAGAGCCCTGCCTTCGTCTGTTAGTTAATTTGATTTGTTTATGCGTTGTTATATATTGATAGAACCTGGATAGGGAATCGGGAATTCAAACCTGATATTCTCTTTTTGGGCACTGGATACAATAATGACAGCTATGTTGAATGATCACTAAAGTTAGGTACTCAGCAGTGGAAGAATTAATCAAAGTCTTCTGGCTGCCTTTTGTCTGTGATTGGCTGTTAAGTCTTTGTTTTTCTTATAATTCATGCTTAAAATTGGAGGCATCAATTCTGTCATTTGAAAAGACAATAAAGCCACCTCTTGGAAACGGAAGCATCTGTAGCATTAGGCAAGACTCAGTTTGCGACAGAAGAAAAAAAAATAGAAAAAATGATGAGCTTGAAAATATGTTCAATTTTATTTTTCACTAGACCTTGTTTATTACAACTGACTTGTTTTTCAAAGGCTATGGTTTTACGAGTGTTGTAAATGATCCAAACGGTTTCCAGAATGTCCTCATACTTTTGTTCGGAGGTTGAATGATTTTTGCCACTCCAATGTTTACCCTTAAGTCTAAATATGTGGAATGAGAAGTTTAACTGTACTATTTGCTTCATCTACTCTACTCATACGTAGTGTGATTTGTTGGGGCTTCAGATGCTTTTCCAAGGATAAGAAGACGAAAGTCAGAAACTTTTAGGGCACAATATATAAATACAAAGGAACTCAGGTATGATGCTTCTCCCTTCATGATTTATTAATGCAAGACCAGAAAATGGTTTTGACATTTGGCCACTGCAGAAAGTGCTAATCTACAAGTACTTTTAATCAAGCCTTTATTCTGTCTTTGATTTTCGATTACTTTTCCTTCCTAGAATACGCGTCGGTACATGGAATGTTGGAGGCAAAATTCCACCAGATGACCTTGATATTGATGATTGGATAGGTATCAATGACCCTGCTGACATCTTTGTGCTTGGGTGAGCATTTATTTCTTTGACATGTGTTCTGAACTTCCTCTGGTGGCTGATTCTACACTTATAAAGATGACATTTCCATACTATTTTAATTAATAGCATAATAAAATTTAATGCATAGTCTAAGATGATTTCTTGTTGTATATTCTTCTAATCAGTTTTGAGTAATGCTAGGTCTACAATCCAATTTCACAACCTTTTCTCACAACTTTCGACATGGTAGCTTACAATTGGTCAGTTTGCTAATAGGTAGGTGGGGCTCATAGCAAGTAGGCAGGACCTATTTGTAAGTTGACCAATTGTGAGTTGCCATATCGGAGGTTGTGAGATTGGGTTGTGAATCGAGCATTACTGAATTAGTTTTAATGTTGAAGAGGGCTTAGTTTGAAGTATGATATATGCTCTATGTCTATAGTCTTCAGGAGATTGTACCATTAAATGCTGGGAATATCTTTGGTGCTGAAGATAGCCGTCCTGTTACAAAGTGGGAAAACATTATTCGGGACACACTCAGTAGAATACGGCCTGCCTCTGGCAAGATTAAATGTTTCAGTGATCCTCCTTCTCCATCCAAGTTTAAGCCAGCTGATGATATCCCAGACATAGAAGAGGAGATAGTGCTTGAAAGTGATAGTGATGTTGGTGAGGAAGTTTATCCATTGGATGAAGAAACCAACAGTTTTGATGAAGTCAAGGAGGAACAGATCATGACTTATGGAACTTCATACTCTACACTTGGTGCTAAACTAGACATGCCTGTCGGACAGGATGTACAGAGGCAATTTTCTTCTACAAAGAAGTTTGATAGGTTAAATTGTTTGCGAACAGAATATAGTGAAGGAGATGTAGAAGCTCCCCCAGTGCAAAACAACCGCAGGTTAACTAAAATGCTTAGTGGGTCAGAAAAGATTGGCTTGTGCTGGCCAGAACCTCCACTAAATTTGCTAACTCAGAATGTTTTAGAGAGACCAAATTCCTTCAAATCTATTAAATCTTTCAAAACAGCCAAGTCTTTCAAGACATATGGTTCCTTCAATTCAGTCGTGAATGACATGTCATCAGCAATAGCTTTGCTTTCTGAAATTGACCTGGAAACCCTCATGAAGCGAAAAAGAAGGTCATCATATGTAAGGATAGTAAGTAAGCAGATGGTTGGGATTTTCCTTACAATATGGGTACGTAGGAGCTTGCGTAGGCATATTCAGAATGTGAGGGTGTCAACAGTTGGTGTTGGTGTAATGGGCTACATTGGTAACAAGGTATCATGCTTATCCTATTGTTACAACACTTTTTTGTGAATAATTATCTGATTATTAATCCATTAGCCTAGTATTATCAGTATATATATATATTTTTTTTCTTTGCCTAAGTTGGTTGTAGCTGATTATATAATTGTTCATGAGTTTTGTTTTTCGTCAGGCTTACATATCCTACAAATATTAATAGGGCTATATCTATTACACTCAAGACTAAAAAATTTATATCCCATATAAAGGCCAGACTGGACAATTTGAGTTTTAAGTAGCTCAATGATCATAGAAGTCAGCCGAAGATTATCTAGCATTCTTCTGTAGGTATTCTGCGTAGGTAAATTCTCCTTTTGCCAAAAATGGGAGCTGAAATTATTGAATTTTCTTTAATAAAAGACTATCTAATTTGATTTTCAGGAGTTATGTTCACAGAAGTTATTTTTTTCATTTATTTATCTCACACAATGTTAGATGAGAGATAATTCGTTTATATTGGTGCTTCTTGGTGGACAATGAAATGGTGACTTCTTGCTTCCAATGCCTCATAATCAATATTCTTCATTTGTGTAGTAATCAATGCAGCAAGTCATTAAATTTTATTTTGAGCTGCCTTATGTACTCTTTTGTTTTTCATGTAAAGGAAAAAAATTATCTTTCAGAAAGTATGACATGATTTCAATTTTCCAGGGGTCAATATCTGTCAGCATGTCCATACATCAGACACTATTTTGTTTTATATGTACTCATCTGACATCAGGTGAAAAAGAGGGAGATGAACAGAAAAGAAATGCTGATGTATATGAAATACATCGAAGAACTCGCTTCTATTCTCAATCTGAAATTGGACTTCCCAAAAGCATCTTCGATCATGAGTGAGTATATGGCATCTGGCTATGGCATTTGACTGGTTGCTCTTTGCTGTATGGTGCTTTCATGAATTTCTGTTATATCCTTTCACTATGTATGTTCTTAGATCTTTGAGACTGAAGTAATTGATGGCTGCATGTCCAATACATTCATCACTAAATATAACCATCAAGAGTCTAAATTGGTCTATTTTGACATATTTGTGAGCCATAGTGCAATTATAAACATCGAGAGTCTAAATCAATATTTGTTGTAGATTTTGTGTTCGTACATACTATTTGACAGTTCAAAATTGTCCTAATGTTAAAAACAAATTACAGGTGTAAATGATTCTTTTGTCTTGGAAGCACATGTTAACAATCTAATCTTAATAAATTGGAACAAGTAAAAAAAAAAAAAATAAATAGAAAAGAGAGACTAGGCATCAGAGTTGGAAAATTTGCTGAAATATACTCTCAGATATTTTTAAATATTGAGCGAAAAGCCCCAAAATAATAGAAGTATGTCAAAACATTAAATGTAATGTCATTACTACTTATTCACTGATTTGGATATAATTTGTCAATAAATTGTAAACCAAAATAATGATCATAAGTATCATCTTTTAGGTAATGATCAGAATTTAGTTGATGTACATTTTAGATACATCTTATGTTGAAGCCTTTAGGTGACAATGCTATGTCTCAAGGCGCTTTCCTTCTAGTCTATCTTTGAAGTTTCCCTGCCTATTTATACATGCATGAGTGTGGATTTCTGCTGCTGTTTAATAACTTAAGTGTTTATTTAATATTTTATAGAAGACTGGAATGTTCTATAAATATGGTCATAGTTTCTTGCTAATTGAAGTTGGGTGCATGCCAACCACATTAATCTCCTCACATTTTAGGAATTTCTCCTTTCATTCTGAAGATGGTTATGCCTTGAATGTAATACTTACGTTCTCATTTGTCTTTCAAGATATAATACAAAAATTTCCTATTTTATTGAAGACCACTTATGGTAGCACTATTTTTAGATTTCCTGCTAATTTATCATGTTGCCATCTTGAAAATGGAATATTTATTTTTAACTTGTCAGCTTCATTGTTTTAGGATTAAATCTTTCATCTCAAGCAAGAAAACATTGTTTACAAATAATATCTGTTTCTTTTGCAGAAAAATGATTTGGTTGGGTGATCTGAATTATCGCATCAATTTGCCATATGAGAAAACACGAGAACTTATCTCCAAGAAGGATTGGTCGAAGCTGATGGAGAAAGACCAGGTAGCTTAGTAACATTCTATTAGTTGAAATTATTGGAAACATTGCCACTTTCAGTTCAAACATTTACTGCAAAGTGGAAAAGTCCCGTTCGAATAATTTGAGCCCAAAAATAGGTTTCATATTGAAAACTTTCTATAGGTGTTTATAGGTACAATGTAGCTCCCCACTGATGATTCTTGATCACATTGTTGTGGAATCTTGGATTCTTTGTCAAACCTTAGGAGATCTAAAGCCAACATTTGGCCTGAATGATACCAAATGGTTGGATTTGTGTGTAAATTGTTACAAATCTGATAGGAGTTTCATTTGCATAACAGTGCACTTGCATATCTTTTCTGCTTTTCTTTTTTAATTTTTTTCTGGTCTTGGAAAAAATAATATACTGGTTAATAATTATCTTGAGCTGGTTTCTTGCCTTATTGGGATTGCAAAGTGCATTAAGGCATCCGATCTCATGATGCATAGAGGAACCTCTTATTGCATAAGATTTTTCTTCAATTCTTCTTCTGTGAACCATAGGAGTCTTGAGTTTTTATTCTTTTTCAATTTTTTAGAGAACTACACGCAGGATTTTTTATTTGTTGATATATAATGAAATTGTTTCATGTATGTTGTCATCATTTATAGATGCAAAAGAAGGTCAGCGATTAATTCTGCAGTCTTCATGTTTGGTAATTTTGGAATCATTTGATCATAATTCTTATTCATAAAGAGTTTTTAGAACTGTAGACATTGTGTGTAGATGCACACACAAAACAATTAAAATTTGGTTAACGATTTAACAGATAAATTTCATAATCATTCATCTTTGATCTTCTGTGTATATGATATGTCATGTTTGGTGGGTCTGAGGAGCATGTGTCGTTGCATTAATGTAATTAACTTGAGTTGGGAAGATACCTTATTAATGTTAAATAAATTGTACTTTTTTATGACAGCTTATACGAGAACTGAGGAGAGGTCGTCCCTTTGATGGATGGTCTGAGGGGACGTTGAATTTTCCACCAACATATAAATACGATGTAAATTCAGGAAAGTACTGTGGAGAGGATCCAAAGGCTGGGAGGCGGACTCCTGCTTGGTAAGCTTTTGCAAAATCTTATGTGGGATAAGGGTTGCTTCCCCTTCTGCCGATTTCCGTTAATATGTTTGCTCACTCATCTTCTGTGAATGCATCATTTGTGAAATGAGAATAGTCTTTTTAATTAATAATGGCGCGGAATTCAATCATGAATCCAATATAGTTTCTACTTTCTGCCTTGTATGATTTGGTATTTATATTGCTTTAGAACGACATTTATTTGTCATTGCCAGCCAAACCTAAAACTGTTGCATGACTATAGATTATAAGATGCCGTTTAGGCCAATTTCAATTCATTCATAATTAAGATATTGACTTTATGTTTTGTTGTGTTATGATGATATATCAGTCGTTTTTATGATTAGTTTATTTTCAAAACTTACCATGAGTTGCATTCATATTTTTAGGTGTGACCGCATTCTTTCCTATGGTAAGGGAATGAGGCTACTAAAATACAGAAGGGCTGAACTTAAAATGTCTGATCACCGACCTGTGACCGCCACATATATGGCTGAGGTTGAAGAATTTTCCCATAAGAAGCTACAACGTGCACTCACATTCACGGATGCTGAAATTGAAAATGAGGAAATTGTAGCAGACCTGGGGGTTGTTGATGTTGGATTGAGCAACTTGAGAGTAGATCTGGTGAGTGAAACTTAAGCCAATTTCAACCTGCTTCCTGTACATGTTAATGTTATATATTTGCAAGACATTTCACGTCATCCATGTTTCTAAATGTGAAATCAAATACATAAATCATATTCACATCATGCCGTTGTTATCAAATGTAACATTGCTTTCCGGTGCAGGTAGATTAACCCGTCGCAGAACTTGTAAGAGGCATTGGATTTGGACGAGCTTCGACAATTACGATTCTATCATTGCACGTTAGATTAATTCATTTGATTTTTTATTTATTCTGTTACGATATTTGTATATTGCTGATGTTGTGTATATGTATAGTAGCTGTTGTGATTCTTACGTGTAGATCTCAGGAAAAGAAATATGTTAAAAGAGTTGATGTTGCTTCTCTTGTGTAAATCAGTGTCTGTAAAGTTCGTTCTGTAGCATTTCCAGGCAGCTTTTGATGATTGCACACTAGTGCTGTAAAAGATGAATAGTGTAATGCAATATGCTTTGGTTGTGAGCCAATTTTTGTTATGCTTTTTCATATTAATTTTGATTATGATTAGCGTTCATCATTTTCGATATACTATGATGATTTTATATGACTTAATGCGAGTTATGGTAAAAGAAGATGTAAGAAGGAGCGTTTAACACATTGGATGCTTCATTGTCTAAGAAAACAACGTAGAATTTAAATATAAAAACAATAAATACAAGAAATACGTTGTGAAAATACATGGATTAGAATGTTTTTGAAAACAAATGTTTATATATTTGATACGTATTTCTCTTCTATGATATAAAAGGCCAAGCAAGATGTGGCATACATGGCTGCTACGTGGCACAGTACCAACGAGAAACGATTTCGCTTCTGTTAGTTTAACAAGAAAAATGCAACACTCTACTTTAATGTTAAAAATTAAAATCTCACCCAGGTCGCTTTCAATGTTTCTGATCAAGGTGATAAACTCTTCTTCTACATGTATCTTATTGTAAAAAAGTAATCTTTTTTAAAGATAATTCATGGTTTGTGAATTTAAAGCTTGATTATTGATGGGTTTTGTGTGAACAGACATGGAGGGCAACGGCTTTTGGAGTGTATGGTTACCTGAATTTCACCAGAAATGGTTTCTTGTAAGCCATTGCTTGCTTTTTCTTCATATGGGTGTTTTTTATTTTGTGAAAATAAGTAATTTTAGTGACGTGTGAGGTGTTAGATTTGTCGGGTTTATTGCAGTTTTAGAAATTTATTCACTGGAGAATGGAGATGACAAAACAGATAATTTTATCGACTTTTGGGGGTCCTCTGGTCCTTTGTGTGTTTGAATTATGAGAAAAAAAAAAAAAAAAAGAAACATTGATTATGCTTAAAATGTGGATAAGTTTGAAAACTTTAGGAGAGTTATTTTTCCAAACTTATGGGAAATCAAGTAAATTTTCCCATTGGAAGATGTTAAAGTTGTACTGCAGACACGAAGTAACTCAATTTAGTTTATTGGTTTATTGAAGATGAAGAAATATGTCATCACTTCTGGGTAATGTTGGTTTTGAAGAATCAATAACATTTTGTAGTGAAAGAGGGAGTAGTCTATTTAGTCATCACAGATGAGAATGATATTTTCATTTGTTTGGCTTTCAGGGAACATGCCAAAAACTTCAAAGAAGAAGATATGCAAAAACGTATAGAAGGGAAGAATTGCATAGTTACAGGAGCAAATTCTGGAATTGGTTATGCGACTGCTGAGGGTCTTGCTTTGCGGTATTGATTAGCTTTGGAGTTTTACTGCTTGTTTGATTTCATGAGTCAAATATTGTAGATCAACTGTAAAGGTTTATATTTTGCAACTAGTAGACATTATAATTATTTTTTATTCAGCGGGGCAACTGTCTATATGGTATGTCGTAGCAAGGAGAGAGGAGAAGCTGCTCTTTCTTCTATTCAGTCTAAGACTGGGAATCCAAATATTCATTTGGAGGTATCCTTCTTCATTTGTATCGCATTTTCCATTGCTGTTTGATGAACCTCTAAGATAGTTCTTTGTTGAATCAAAACTTGGTAAATGATGATTTTTGTGACTTTTTTATTCAATAATGGGCTGCAAGTCTTGTTTACATGCATTTTGCTTATTAAATATAGCTTTCAGGTGTGTGATCTTTCATCTGTCAATGATATCAAGTCTTTCACATCCAGGTTTTCTTCAAAGGATGTGCCAGTTCATGTTCTGGTGAAGTTTCCTTCTCTGTTTGCTTTTTGCATCTCCATCACATGTTAATTTTTTGTTTGTACGATTACATGATCGCGTTACATAATCTCTCTCTCCTCTTTTGGCGGTTTCCTTTGGAGAACTATTTAGTTTTCTCCCGTCACTTAAACCTTCCATTTTATATCCTTCTGTACAACTAAATCGATTTAAATGTGAATTTGATGAAAAATCTGATTTTGCTCTACTTTACTTCCTTTAGGTTAATAATGCTGGCTCACTGGAGCAAAACAGAGTTGTCACACCGGAAGGGTACATCTTGCTTCTTGATCTTTTGTGTTCAAAAACCAAATATATTTCCTTTGTTTTGGCCTAGCAGAAAATTGATGCTTGTTTACTTCTTGTTTTCCATATAACTCCAGTTTTGAGACAAATTTTGCGGTAAATGTATTGGGAACATATACCATGACAGAATTAATGTTGCCTTTGCTGGAGAAAGCTGCACCTGATGCTCGAGTGATCACAGTTTCCTCTGGTGGAATGTATTCAGTTCCCTTGACTACAGATTTACAGGTAACTATTTTTGTGAACTTTGCGGCAACCTCAATCAAGTTTCTGATACTTATTGAACTCCCATATAACTGTTTTCATACAGTTTAGCAGTGGAAAATTTGACGGGGTGGAACAATATGCTCGAAACAAGCGAGTTCAGGTCTGTGAAAAAGTGAAAATTTGTACATTACGAATGACCTATATTTGACGCCTTGATATTATTAACATTTGAACGATGAAGCTTAATCAAAACTTTGGGTTAGTTTCGTCCATCTAATAATTGAAATCTTCACAGTAGTTAATTTTCACTGTTACCATTCAGCAAGATGTTAATTTGTGGGTATCAAATGAGAAATCTTTTCAACATCCTGATTAGTACTATGCTTCAAATTTTAGTCAATGGATAAGTGAAAACTTGGAATCTCAATTATTTCCTCTTCATTCTATGCAACTGACGTATGTATCACTTTTTCCCGGTTAAGTTTATTTGTTCTGAATGGAAACACTTCTCATGCTACTTCTCCTTGTTTGATTAGGTGGCTTTAACAGAAAAGTGGTCTGAAATGTACAAAGAGAAAGCAATTGGTTTCTACTCGATGCACCCTGGTTGGGCTGAGACGCCTGGAGTAACTAAGAGTTTGCCTAGTTTTAGTGAAAGGTTTGGATCTTTTCTACAATTCTACTGAATAATACCTAAGAAGTTTTCATTTATTTCATCCACAACTCTTCGTTAAGCTTAGACATATATTTCAGGTTTGCAGGCAAGCTTAGAACAAGTGAGGAAGGTGCAGACACTGTTGTCTGGTTGGCTTTACAGCCAAAAGAAAAGCTGGTACCTGGTGCATTTTATTTTGACAGAGCTGAAGCACCTAAACACCTGAAGTTTGCGGCAACCGGGGGCTCTCATACTGCAGTCGACTCCATTGTTGCAAATCTTCGGTCAATGGCCAACCTGCCTCCATTGAATTAAAACTATCTTCATCTTCTACACTTAAAAAGTCTTTTCCATGGTGATTTGAGTTCTTTTTCTAGATTTACCAAGTCATACTTGAAGAATATAGAATGCTAAACTTGTACCATGTTGCAGATTACAATATTAATGCTGCAAATTTCACATTAAACCATATATACTAATACCAATTAATATAATATCCAAATCTTCAAAACTTTTCTTTAGCAAACAGATATCATGAGCAAGCTTGATACTATTTATTGATTACAACCAACTCTTCAATTGGGGATTGAAGATCAAAAAGGGGAAAAAACATTCTATATTAAAAAATTCTCATCACTTATGTTTATACTTGCAAATACTTTGTGAAGTTTCCATACTAAAGTTTAATAAAATACAATCATCTCATATTGATATACAAGGATTCCAGTATGAATAAGGCACACTGCTTTTCGCTTATACTACATGACCATTTACATTGTTCCCATTTGGAATGGTTGAGGAGTTCAAGAGGCTTGGCATTCTCGACCAGTACTGCTGAAATCTTTGCCTTGCATATTCCGTGTAGTTGAAGTCGATCTTGTTTACATAAGCCTGTAGAGCAGCAGAAAATCATTGATTTGTACAAGTTCATGCGATAATTAAAAGGGCTTGGAAATGAGAAGCAAAAATACGTACCGAAATGATTCCCCATAAGCCCCAAAAGAGATGGTTAGCAAGAGTATACTTCTCTGCATCATGCACTAGTTGATCTACTTCACTTTCACTGGGTTGGTTGCCTACAGACAAAGAAGAAAAAAATGCAAGTATAAAAAAGTTAGATTTGCAATAACGGCGAAAGCTTGGCAGAATAAAACATATAGATGTTAGTATCCGCGGATTTTAAAAATCCCTCATTCAATATTTACTGATAATATAGTTTTATATGCATTGCTAAACCATTATCATAATCAACTTGATGTATAGCTTATTGAGGTTGCAACTACATCATCGTTAGTATGCCATAATTCCAATATACAAAACAAACAACTATTATTTTCTATATGTTCTGAAGGTCTGTCAAGGTTCCCTGTCAGTGTCAGTGTTATGAACAAATAACCTAAGAAGATATCAGATTTGCTGAATTATTGCAAACTGAGCAGATGGCAGAAAATTAAAGAAGGAAATCAAATTTTCTCCTTGAAAGTAGAGTCTCGAAAGGTCATATTGGAAGCTATTTTTCAATGGTAATCAACCATTAACATTTTTGATACAGAAATAAAGTGCAATCACACATTCAAAATGTGACTTCTTGCCTTTTGTATCGGTAAAGTGAAGAGGAGACTGTAGACTAACCTGCATAACTCAGATATACACGGACAAATCGTCGGCGCTCCACCAGTCCTAATGTCAAATACAGTTGAAGAAAACTAATTAGTCCAGCAATGGAACATACGCATATTGGAGTGAGACATAGGCAGGTTTTTGAAATAAATGAAACACAAGAATAGGCATAAATGGTTACTAACCTGGGTATATACTGTAGTCCAATATATGAGGCGTATCAGTATGATAATTTGCTGCCATTTCACAGAAGTGGTTTGCAAGGTCATAAGCAACAGTATTGAAACTTGCATACTCATAATCCTGTACAATGAACAATCAATTTCTAAAAATAAGTATACATCATCAGGAAGTTTAAGAGATCCTCAATAATACTTTTGTTAATCATATCATGAAAAGGTGACAACAAAGAAGCAACGGGTGCTGTTTTGCCCAAGCATTAACATAAATGGAAAGCAGCCAACAAGCAAGCTAGCAGCACCATCAAACTTGGTAGGAAAGATCTGATAAAGTGCGCATAACTATCTTCGCATAATAAATCCTCCTTAAATACCGCAAAAGTCTTTATTCTTGTTATTTTATTTTTAGAGATTTCCAGTGACAAAGCTTAAATATAATTTGGATGGCTATGAATCAGTGCCTGACATGCAAACTAACAATTAAGGTTTGAGCCCTCCATGTGGTTTTCAGAGAGACAAATTTTTTATTAGACAGAAGCACCATTATAGTCTGGTTCGTTTAAAAAATTTAAAGAGCAAACCGGTACTTCTAGAACTTCACCTCAAAGACAAATTACTGACACTCTCCCTTTTTCTAGGCTAAAAGGAGAATCTTACATTGGAAAAATGAAATGTCGAAGAAAAAAAGAAAGACAGAAAACAATAAGGAAGAAATAAAAATAAATAACCTCTGAAACTGATGCAATAATATAGAGGTCATAGGTATAACCACACACAACAGCATTCAAACTTACAATTATGGTGATTGCCCTCGTCTCTTCATCTATCATTATGTTTCCATATTGAAGATCATTATGACAAAATCTAATCTGTTGATGGGGCTGTGGCAACTCTTGCTCTAACATACAAATTTCCTCCTCCAGAGTATCCAAACGGAATTCCTTTGCATCTTTAGTGGAGCACAAACTTTTGGCCTTATTCAGCCAGTTTCTATGGAGAAAAACAGAAAAAAGGCATTAGATATCTTCAAATCTAGAAAGGAAAACACCAAGTTTTCTGAACATATCAGTACCTCAATCTGTCCCAGAGAAGTACATATATTGGACCAGGCATATCAAGATTGTGGAACTCTCTCATCTTAGCTGCTATCAGAGCAGATATTTCAGGATCACGAAGGTCAGCAGCTGATAGTGTCTGAAAATTCAACAAAAAGTAAGAAAACAAAAGGTTTATCTACCACTAATACTGATGAAAGTAGGCGTTAAGTCCTCTGAAATATTTTCCCTGAAGCTCATATTTTTACCTTAGTTCAAATAAAGGAAAATTAAATTCCCCGCCTTGAATATTCCATTGGAATTTAATTGAAAGAAACAAGGGAAACTATAATTGACACTGACCAGGTTGCTATTAATTGAATCAAACGGAGTATAAGGGAGGGGTTGACAGGAATTAAGTCCTCAGTTTGAAGTTCAGCTACCTAAAAGCTAAAACAACTTTACAACTGTAAAATTTATAAGGTTTGTAATCTTCTGCATAATGAGTCCGACCATTTGATATGTTCATAAACAGACAGGCAAAACAAGAAGAAAATTAAGAAAAAGAGGAGCCTCCAAGTAGGACCACCCCAATACCAAAACAAGATATGGGAGAAGATCCGATCTTGAACCAGACCACAGATTCATCGGAATAAAAGGCCCACAAATACATCTCCCACCTCTTTCAACTGAAGGCATAAGCCAATAAATAAATGGTTCTTTTCACATAAATTAATTCACTGTTTGTAAATTAACAAAATTACAGCATCAGCCTACAACTGAATCTGATTATACTACAGAAGTACAACACATTTTCAAAACGAGTGCAGTAAAAATAATGCCTTTAATTCAGCAAAATTAATAAAAATCAGTAAAAACTCAGTAACCTATGTTTAATATCAACATGTAGCCATATTGATTTACTTACTGAAAACATAATCAAGATTTCCCATCACTCAGTTTCAACCAGTCAATCTCAATTCAACGAAATGTCGAACACTGAGAATCACCCCCAAAGGCCAATTAATCTAACATGGTTACAATTTCATGGCATGAAAATCATTCATAAAGAACTAATAACTGAAAAAAAAAAATGACAGGTTTACATACCCTGGCGTGAATGAACTGCTCAATTCTTCCATCACTGAACCGCCCAAGAAGCTGTGGCCCTTGTCCATGCCTAGACATGCACTCAAAAGTCTTAATTTCATCATCCCTATTAAAAAAGATCTCAACCCCTTCTCCATAAATCCTAACCAGAACTTTTCTAACAAGACTACCATTCTTTGCAGGCCAGTTAATCTGATAAACCTCATTAGTCAGAGCACCTTTTAAAGGGGTGACCTCCAGCGCATCCATATCTTCAATAACATCTCCCCACTCAGAAGCCACAGCTTGAAGAACTTTCTTCAATTCTTCAGGAGAAGAACTCGGTATCAATTCATTACTCTTAATAGCCATCCTTTGTATATCAGTAAAAACAACTGATTACACAAAGAACAAAACTTGACCTGAAACAAAGAAAGAAAATCAAACTTTAATCGCAACCTCAATGAAGGGTTTAGAGTCTTTCAAAGCAACATGCAGCACAAAATCAACAAACCCAGTTGAGATATAACTCCACAGAATTGAAAAAATCAATACTTTAAACAAAAGAATCAAATCATTCGTCAAAAAGAAAAAGAAAAAGAAAAGACAACCCATTACCTAATAAAAGAAATCTGAATTCAGTCAAAAAAGTTGCAGGAAAAGCCAAAACTTGAGAATCGAACAAGTTTGAAAGCATGAAGGAAAGAAAACCAAGAAGGCCAGCTAGAAGAGAAACAATGTTAGACTATTTATTGTATAATTATATAAATATATATATTTATAAAATAATGAGGATATAGTTTGAATCCATTAATGGGAACTTACCTTTATTTGCTAAAAAAAAATATCCAGATTGTCACTTTCGATGAATAGCATTTATGACTTTGAGACACAGTGACGTTTGCTGTGAATTGTTACATTACCGACAAGTTATTTGGATTTGAGTCCCAGGAATCCAAATCGAAAGGATCAAGAAGCATTTTATTTAGAGAAAAATTGGGTTTTTCTTTAAATCTTTTATACATTCATTTTATATACAATCAACCAATAAGGGTGCGCGTGAAATTCATGTCTACTTACTTGGAACACACATTATTAGAATTTGTTGTGTTTTGGACGGTAAGGTTGCCTCTTTTTCAATGGATAACTTTATTCTTTGGTTGAAATACTAATATGAGACTACGGTTATGTTTTGATGGGTTACAAACGTCAAGTGAGTAACAAAATACATTTTACATGTTTGAAAATAAATGTTGTTATTGATTTGATAACATACATTATATGTGTTCGTTGTTATTGATTTGATAATGTTATAGTTTAGTGTTAGTCTTAATTTTAAGATTTTACGAGCATATATTATTGTATAATTGAATTTGTGATACTAAAATAAGAGTGATATTAATCTAACAGCGGTTGGATTTCCTATATTATAGGTTTATTAGAAACTTTTTACAATTAATTATTGTTTATATTAGAATTACAATGCGTAAGGTTATTTATACAAAATATAAATTTTATTTTGAATTGTAATTAATTTTTATATTAATGTTTGTGCATGCACTTTATGTGTCTAATGTTGTACTAACTTATAAATCTCATATGATATTAGAAGATATTTAGTAAGTTAGTAGGGATAAAAGGGTCATTCCCACTATAAAGAAAATAAATACATGGGAATTAAATTGATTAATTAAAGATAATATACGTTTGGAATTTGTGGAACTTGAATCTTTGTGGAGATTCTATGACTATGACAACTGACAAGGGGTAGTTCATTTCATTCAAACAAGAAAGTAAAAGTTAAAAAGATAAAAGAATAAAAGTCAAAAAGTCAAAGTCTTCTAGCCTAAGAAATGGGTAATTGCCACGTGTATTGATTTGGTTTGGATAAGCCTTTTACCTAACTGAAACAACTGTCTCCAAAAGAGTAGAAAACTTATAACTTATTGGAATTTGGACAAGGCATGTTATTATTGACTAAGTTTTAAAAATATTTAATTAATTATTTACTAAACATGCTTAAGAATTAATCAACAATGTTTATCCTGTGGTTCATGTTTAATTTCTGAATTAATTGAAGAATAATAATTAAGTATTCTATTAATTTTATGTTAAAATAGATTTTTTTTTTTTTAATTTGGAAATCTCTACCGACATTAAAAAAAAAAAAATCTCATAAAATTATTAAATAAAGATACATAAAATGTTCTCGATACTAGCCATATATTAATTTTTATTTTTAAAAGACTCTTTTAATAATTTCGTAAATAATTAATTATTATTGATTTTGAATTGGAAAACGCGGTAAGAGAGAGTCGTTTTCACACGTCTCATTGCTTTGTAAAATTGTCTGTCCACACTACACTCCACAGCTGTAAGGGTAGACTTTCGTTACCAGTATCAAAAATATGTCCAAAAAGTCCTAAATCTTTATAAGTTTACAAAAGGTACCCATACCAAACTATTCTTACATGTTCACATAAAGAGAGTTAGTTCTTTTTAGTCCCTATAGTTTCAGTTTACTACTGCTTAAAGACAATACTTTCAAATACTAAGATTTTTAGTCCTTATCATTTTAAAATACTACTTTATTAGTCATCTGACTTAATAAAAGGTTAATTGACTACTAACTTCATATTGAAATGACAAAAATACCCTCTTTTAAAGTTATTAAAATTTTATTAAACATTGATATAAGAACGCATTTTAACAAAAAAAATGTGTAATAAAATTTGTACATATATACAAACAAAAAATTTTGTACATTACACATTTGAAAATTAAAATTATATAAATGTGATGAATGAGTAGTCTATAATGTGTTTATGTAATTTAGTGTTGTTTATGTAAATAATTTATTTTTTTTTTCTAAGAAGGGCATTTTTGTCATTTTATAATAAAATTAACACTCAACTAACCTTTTATTAAGTTAAAGAACCAAAACTATGGCATTTGAAACTATTGTCCCTGCTAGGGGTGAGCATGGGTAAAGGGTAGAACTAGAACCAGAACCAGAACCAGAACGCCCATTAGGGTCTGGTTCTAGTTCTGGAAAATTAGAATCGGCAATTCCTAGGTCTAGTTTCGATTCTGATTCCAGTTCCTATAGTGTTGGAATAGGGAATCGGAACTGGAACTGGAATCGAGGTCTGGGTATCTGGGTAGGAATCGAGATTGAATTGTAATTTTTATAAATTATTGGGGGTATATTTATCATTTTTTTTAAATAGAGGGTAATTGAAATTAACTCTAGTACTGGAAACCAAAACCTATGTTTCAGGTTCCGATTCCAAGTTTCTAGGAACCAAATCTTAGGAATTGGCGGGTTTCTTCAAAAAGTGCAGGGTATCTAGACTAGAACCACTCACCCCTAGTCCTTACATAGTAAACTGAAACCGTAGGAAATAAAAAGGAATCAACTCCACTTAAAGCTTTTATGTGATTTCAAAACGTCTCTTCAGAACATAAGTTAAAACATATATACAGTAAAACCTCTCTATAGTGATATTCTATATAAAGGTAAAAACTCTATATGGTCATAAAAACTTATATTCTTAATTTGGGATAGTTATAAATAAGAATAAACTCTACATTGTAATAAGTTATAATTTTTTTAATTCCCGTCTTAAGAAAAGTTGCCTCCACTAAAGGTGGAAAAGTAACCTGCCCGGCCCGGCCCGCGGCAGGTTACCAAGTTTGGCGGGCCGGGCCGGGCCTAACCTGCCCCCCAACAAAGGCAGGCCGGGTCCGGCCCGCCAACCCTAACCCGCCGGGTTTGGCGGTGGTCCGGGCCGGGTTAGCTCGATTTTCTTATTTTTTTTGTTTTTTTTATTTTTTTTGTTTTTTTAATTTAACTTTTCAAATAAATAATTATAAATATAATTGTTTTTAGTTAACTTTTCAAATATCAATAATTCAATTCAATTCAATTTTTTTTTTTTTTTTTGTTAACATTTCAAATATTAATTCAATTTTAATACAATAAAATTGTAATATAAGAAAAATTAGACTTATTCATTTATCAAAAAATAAAATAAGAAATTACAACAATTATTGCCTCGTTAAAAACCTCACCAAGAAAAACCCAATGGGAGAAAAACTTGGTAAAGAAAAAAGAGTGCAATAATTGACAATTAATTTACAAATTACATTTTACAAAACAACTAAATTGGGGGTGGTTCACTAGGACCTCCCTCATCTGTATCATCTATATTACAAAATTGAAATGATTCTACTAAAGTATTGTCGATAACCTCGTATTGATCTTGATGGCGCGATCGTTCCCAATCTCGAAGACATGTGAGGACTTCAATCATTTTTGGAGCAAGTTTAGTCCTCCTTTCATTTAAAATCCTTCCACTTGCACTAAATGTTTGTTCGGATGAGACGGTTGAGACAGGAACAGCGAAAACATCCAAGGCAAGTCTTGATAATACCGGAAAAATACATTTTCTGGCTCTCCAATACTCTAAGAGATCAAAGTGACCTGTTGAAAACATTTCGGGGGTTGCCAAATATTGTTGAAGTTCATTACTCTGCGACTCCATGGAGGACAGCATATTAGTTGTTGTTGTTGTTGGTGGTGGTGCTTCTGAAGAGGAGGCTGTGCTTCGGACTCGGGTCCTCTTCGGCCTATTCAGTGCATTCCAAGAGAATAAGTCTTCATTTGTTTCTTCTGCTACAGCTTCTCTGGATATTTCGCCTCTTTGCGACTGCGGGTTCCCATACCTGTTTTCATATTGGAAATATACTTCGAAAAGACTATTTTTTACCTCTCCTATTTGATTGACATATGATTCGGTTTGTAAATTTTCACTTAAATTGTCAAAACCATTTTCTAAACGTGCTAATTTAATTCTAGGATCAAATATAGCACCTAAACAATAAAGAAAAGGAACGGGTTTCCAATATTTCAAAAAAAAATTTTCCATTGCCTTTATTGGTGCATGTAAAATTTCATTGTCTTTGTTTTTTGTAAATAACTCGGAAATTTTTATAATTGCATGTATTACCAATGGACTAGTAGGATAATACACACCAGAAAGTTGTAAAGTGGCTTGGTAAAAACATTTGAGAAAAGAATGAAATACTTTAGCTATCTTCCAATCATTTTCTACCAAATGATGAGGACCTCTATTATTTGCTACAAAATAACTAATTATATTAGCATAAGGTAAACATGAATCAAGCATTAAATAAGTACTATTCCATCTAACAGGCATATCTAATGCAAAAGTTCTAGGAGACATATTTGATTTTATACAAGCTTCTTGAAATTCAGCATTTCTTTTATTACTACTAGTAATCCAAGCTAAAGATTCCCTAATTCTATCAATATTTTTTTTAATTGTTTTCATACCACTTTTCACAATTAAATTAATAACATGACATGCACAACGTTGGTGAAAAAACTTCAAATTATTATATAAAAGATAATTATTTTGAAAAAATTCTATAGCTTTACTATTAGAACTTGCATTATCTAAAGTTAAACTTATCACTTTATCAATAATATCATAATCTTCTAAAACTTCAATAATTTTATTATAGATTTCTAAACCACTATGATCCACATCCATTAATCTAAATCCTAATAAAGATTTATTTAATTTAAATTCATTATCAAAATAATGACTAGTCACACAAATATAATCTTGTTTAGCTCTACCACTCCAAATATCAGCAGTTAAAGCCACACTAATATGACAAGTATGAAATTTATTTTTTAATTCTAATTTCATTTTTTTAAACAATTTTATTAAATCATTTCTAGT